TTACGGAAGGGAAGTTACGAATTACGTAAAGTCGTAAATATTGGTCGAGCACTTTCACGATTGAAACGAGCTCTCTTCAAAGCAGTCAATTCCGTCGATTGTAGAAAATGAAAGTTTTAAAAAGAAGTTAAAGCTTCGGTATTTGCAGCCGTTTTTCTCACTTTTCTCTCTCTTGCCAATACGTCACCGTGATAATTAATGTCGCGCTTATCAAACAGCAATATGACGACGGGAAAGAAATTGCGTAATGAACCAACGCAACTTCGTCTTTTCGGCATCGGTAAAGCGATTGAGACGGCAGAGAAACAACAATATGACGGGATTTCCCACGATCCGGTAAAAATCCTTTGCGGACCATTGACGGTCCGCGGACCGGCGGTTGGGAACCACTGTTTTAGAATACTTGAATCGAATCCAGAATCCTATTCTATTTTTATAGTTACCCGTATTTAAATAATGGGATTTCTCCACCACAATGCATGATTGAAATTTAAAAAAAAAAGCTAAATTGTAGCCTAAATGTTTAATGTGTAACTATCTTTGTGCAGTATTTAATTGAAAATGTCCTGATCATTGGATTATATTTTACCAAGGCAACGAGATTTAAGAATTTCGACAATCGTTTTTTTGTTTCAACAGTTCAATATTCTCAATTTAACTACTATCAAATATCAAGTATGAGCCAGTGTGTTTATTCTGTGCGAGAACCATTTTCGGAATTGAAATTTTCGAAATTGGTAATCGGAATAACGTCAATAAGTCGGCATCAATGATTATTATAAAATGCTGACTAGGTAGTAAAGTCGAATAATGTTAAAAACGGTGCAATAACAAGTCTTCGTCGCGAGGCAAGCGCAAGTATAATCAAACAAGAGAATACGCTCGTCGTGGCATTGATAAATTGGAAACCCGACATTTATTTTTAATACGATTTTAAAAAAGTCAACTATCGTTTCATAAATATCCGTATACCAGTGTCGGTAATGATAAAATTGATCGCATAAAATTGGGACGGTTAATTTGCGAAGGTGATAAAGGAAATCAAAGCTAGCGCAAAAGATAAAAATCAGAATAAAATTAATTTGAATTCACTCTTGTCTTAACATCTGTCGCCGGCGTGTAGTACTGCCAGGAATATGAAAACCCAAACTCGATGTCCCAATCGAAAATGAAGTGGATTCAATTGGTTGTTATGATAGGTTTAAATGTGTGAAAAAATATCGCAATTACGGGGTCATTACGTAATCGATTTTGCCGTAATTACGGAATTGATTTTTGTCAATTACGTGCAAGCCTAGCATATGAAACATATGATATTGTTTGTAAAATTGTTTGTAAAAAATTGTTTGTAAATTTGTTAAATAGTTTGTCGATTGGAGCGAACGAAACTTTTCGTTAAAATGGAAATAGAGACCGAAAATGTAAGTTACATATTAATTAGTTATATTGATGTTTTCCGTTTTTAGACGCACAATTGTGTTATTGGCATAACGTTTCATTACAGTGTTATATATATATATATATATTACATTTTGAAAAGTATTCATTTTATAACAAAGGATAAATTTGATGTTATTAAATATGGATAATATTTGCTTTGTTGAAAAGACTATCTGAAGATTATTTTACCAATTATTACCGTGCAGGCTTTGCGAAAAATCATTGAAACAAATTCAGGAAAAAGCATCAAGCAAATATAATGTTTTTTATAAAATAAAAAAATTCTTCACCCCGAACGGCTGTCGTCCTAGTCAATCCAATACCTTACTTCTTTTTGAGGAAAATATTGTATATATCTAAGAAAAACTCAGATGCAAATATGCAAAAATATTTCATCTGTTTTAATAATACTTGATTGTGCAACGATAAGTATTTTGTTTCGCAGAGAAATACCAATTTGACGGAATTTATTTGAAACTTGATTTTGAACTAGATTAAAAATAGTAAGCACACTGAAAAAACTAGGTTATACATATATAAATATATATTCTCAAGTTCAAATGTAGTAAAATGAAGAGCATTGCAGTGTTGTCTGGGGGTATACTCAATATATTATGAATGCATGTATTACTAACTATACGGCTGCTATCTATTTAGCTGATGGTCCCATATGTTGAGAAATAACTCGCTATTTGAAAAATTTTACCAATATATCAACGAAAACACAGTTGTCTAACTTCTAGCATATACAACATATATGGAACTAACTTATTTTGAAGACAGTTCGGTGACAACATGATGATTGGCACTATATCATACAAGATTCCACATTTACGACTATACAAAATCGTGGTTGTACTATAATAGATAGATTGTTGTAACAGTTTCATCAATTCGGAAAACTTCAAGCACACGATCAATATTTGCGACTATATTGGCGACTTTGTCCCCTTATCGCGTCAAATAAGATTTTCGGGTTAACAAGTTGTGCTTCTTCGCACACCACAAAGTGTTTCCGGCAGGAAATTTATTTGACATAAAACGGCATATTAATGCATACTACGAATCAATTAGGTGTAGATCGAGATATAGTTACGGATATACGAACTTGATAACCGGAAGCGAAAATATAGCTCGATTACTAAATATTGGATTATCTAATTATGAGAGCTGTACTAACGAAACAACGTTACGCACGACGTCATAACACAATGTAAATATTGTAAACGATTGCCAATGTCAATGAACCCCGCAAAGGAGAAAAGTTGTGTTAAATGTGGCGAATAATATTAATCATTCAATGTTTTTATTGCTGTCTTGAACTACCGACAATCGTGTCGATCGAATTTTGCGGAACACCCCCTAGGCGTCTGCCGTTAAATACTTAGCATTTGATCCGATTTTCTCCTTATTTTGTACAGGTAACGTTATTCTGCGTAGAAAAATTATACTGGCGTCATTGAATAAAGCATGTCGCTGGTGTTTATGTTGTTTGCAAAAGTGTTTTTTGATACACCCTTTTTGACGAATCACATTATGAGTCCAGTCAAAATAGCAACTTTAACGATAAATTCGTTACGAATATAACATTTAACGTGGCTTATTCCAAATCATCATCGAAACCCCCTTAAATCATATATTTAAATTGGTGACAAACAATTTCAGTTTGTGACTTTTCAGCTTGTGGAATTCGTGTCATCAAACTAGTTTTCATTCAGCAAATATTACATCATGATTCAATGACTTATTTGCATCGATCATATTTACTTGTTCGTTCTCACTCCCATATACCTTAGAATTGGATCACCGATTCCCTGACCATTGACCGAGATGTTATGTAACTTATTCTATGATGAAGATATATTACGAATACCCCACCAACGACAAGTGGGAACCACCTGATGCATTTATGCGTATAATATCGTATTTAACATATCGTGACGAAATCAATCCGTTGCGAGAAACTTGTCGTAATTTTACCATTCAGTTGAATGGTCGATTGAACGTCATGTTATTCCGAGAAACTTATTTTGTCATAAACAAATTTTTAGTAACGAATATGACTCCCTTTCTCTTGTAGGGCATTTGCTGCGTGAACTCGGCCGCGTGTGATCCGAAACTAATTGCCGCGTTGCCCATGTAGATTCATAAAAACGACATTGGAAAGAGTTACGTGATCGATTACAGAATGTTCCCTTCTTTAAAACTTGTGGAACGAGATCATGCCATTTTGTTTCTCATGATGACAAATATGTTTTTTAAAATAACTTTTTATAATTGACCCCATGGTTGAATTGTCGTTTTACATACTAACCGCGCTGACTCACTTGAGCATACAAAACAAAATCATCGCTGACCTATCGTTCTAATTTAAAGTGAAGTGCGATGAAATACTTGGAAAAGGAGAAAATTTATAGCAATATTGTAAATTTATCTTCAAATTAGAATCTGTAGTTTAAGATTTTGTTAGCCCACGTTGATATGATTTGAAACTTGACGATGTCACAATATCTAAAATAGCCACTCGACCCTCATATCCCACACGAATCACAGTACGAGCAGTGGGCGTTTTAATGGAGTTACCAAATCACTTGGAATCTAGATAGCACTTAATGCTAAAAGAATATATGTTGAACAGACCTGGCCTTGTTCATTGATATATCTTGGCGTTTTGCATTCAAGCGGCATTCAAATCGAATTAGGGTAAACTATTGTATAGCTATTCTCATGACACCGGAAATTTATCGTGAAGCATTACTGAGAAATCTGCAGATTTATACAACCATTTCGAAGATAAATTCATAACAAATCGAGTCGACGTAAAGGTGATTTTCTCAATACATTCCAGGAATTGACGATTGTTTCATCCTAAAACTTTGTCACTGGTTACGTAAGTCAAAATTTTGTCACAACCGGTAAAAGTCCCTAAACAGTTTCGGTGTGGAGCATTTAAAGGTGCGTCCTCCACCCTCCTAGTCAGTGTCAAACGAAGTCGGTGTACGTAGCTAATGACCCACGTACTATATCGCTTGCGATTGCCGTATATATTCAATAACTTGTAAATTGAATCCTACGTAAGCACGTATACTTCAAATTTATGTTTAGTTAAATGGTACCTTTTGGGCGTATATTATATTGCCCTTAGACTTCTAAAATCCATAGGTTAGAAAGGCTAACGGACGAATGGGAAATCTAAAGAAATCTTTTCTTCTATAACATAATAAAATATAAAAGCATAAGAGTATTGTACTCCCAAATAAAAATGGAACTTGCCGATTGCATTAAGTATATAAAAAGTTTCAGCGTAATGTTATTAGATGTAAAAATTGCAATCTAGAATTATATGTTCAAAACGCGGATGAATATCGGAAACGCCGTTGCAAAAGGCGGGAGATTTTGCAAAAATGCGCTATTTTCAATTCGACCGCGAAGTATGAGACGTTATCACAATATTAGAGTTAAGCCACGTCTTTCTGGGATTCAGGAAAATTGTTTTAATTTTTGTTTAGTTTTTTTGCTGTAATTTTCACACGAAGTTCTTACTAAAATATATTATTAAATATTCAACAGATTCTAATTAGCGAAATTATGTTGTTTTATAACGCGTTACTGTTATGTTCCCTGGGCTTTGTGGGGACAATATCAGGTCTTCCAATTACGAGTACAAATGAAGGAAGATATCTTGAAAGTTTTATGAGACTCGGAGTTGACAAAGTAGGTATTATACCTGACTACACTGTACAAAGTACAATGCAAACTGGAAGTGTCAGAACCGCACCGGAGCCAGTATTTTTCGTTGAAGCAAGGAATCAGTTCGGTGGGAGCCTGGGAAATGAAAAACCACCAAGAAAACTGAATCAAAATGAGCAATATCAACCACGAGTTGATGTTGCTCCTATTTACGGATTGAAATCTGTCCCAGCGGGTTTGAGTGCGCTTACCGATGATCAAAAGGACTCTATAGCTACGGTGAGTGGACTGGTCAAAACGATACCAGTGACAATTTGGAAGTGAATACGTTAGGGCAAGAGTATAAATTATATTTGACTATATCTGTACATCAAACGAATAACTCGTGTTTCTCTATATGTACTCTTTGTTATCGTGAATATTTTTCTAGTTTATTAAAATTATTAAAAAAAATTTGCCCAACATAATTTCTTACATTAAACTATTCACTTTTAGTACTCTGTACCTAAAATTTCTCTTTACGTATCTTTGACATGTTTTCAAGTTTATCTATTTATATTACGACTTTCATGATCCTTCCGCGCATCTATAAATTTTAAATTTGATCTTTTCAGGAATTTTTGCTAAAATATAAATATGTGAAAAAAGAAACACCAACAAAAAGCGACATGATCGCAAAAATGCAAGAAAATTATGGAATGGAAAAAACAGGTATGGCTCAAGTATAAAATTATTAATGGAATTTTTGCGCTTCTAATAAATATGTATAAAAAAAACTGTAGTGAAGTGAGAAAACTGTGTTTGTTATCAAACAAATGCGTGATACGTTTTTAAAAATGTTGTAAATTTAATATATACATTTAGGCAATCTGGACGAAGAAACCGTTATTGAGATGTTAAGGCCAAGATGTGGAGTGAATGATGGCCCTTCAGAATACAACACGTATCCTGGTAGATTGAGGTGGCTAGACAAGAATGTCACATATAAGTAAGTCGGATCATTTTATCTTCACAAGAACCTAAAACGTACCTACCATTTCAAATTTTTATCTTAAAATTCTCACAATTGGCATCATTCGGAGTGTCTTGCACTCATTATTATGACTCTCTACTAATTTCCAAGGCCACTACTTTTTAACAGCCCCGTTTAGTGGATTTACAAGGTTAATGTAGATATTCTGACCACGAAGTTTCAAAAATTATATTATTATTCACAGAATCAAAGGTTACACACCGGACATGAGTCAATGCCAGCAGAGAAACACATTCAAACGTGCATTCAGAGTATGGGAGGAAGTGACTGACCTAACGTTTGAAATGTCCGACTCTGATGACGCAGATATCATCATCTACTTTGGATATAGTGAGTAGAATTTCCCTTCAACTTGGATGAATTCAATTTTGCTCATAGTTGGGGCGTTGCTTAAAATACGTATGAAATTGGCATTCAGATTTCAGGTCATGGTCAGCATAGTGGTTAAATAAATTTCTCATCTTCTGGTAATAAATTAATAGAATATTCCGTGCGTCGGAAATCCTAGAATTCGCGAACATATTTTCCGTAGCCCTTTGAAACGCTACCTGCAGGATTTTTCAACTGTGCCAACAAAATTTCATATTTTCAATGATCTAAATCGCAATTCTAACTATTATTCTTTCCACTTTTCTAGGAGAACATGGCGACGGATATCCTTTTGATGCCGAAAATGGCTTGTTAGCACATGCTTTCACACCAGGTCGTAGTCCTTTATCTGGTGACAGCCATTTTGATGAAAGTGAATTCTGGACGTTGGGTAAAGGAAGAGGTGAGACGCATAATAGTTGAACTAATTTGTACCACGATAATAAGTGGTGCCAGGTTTTCGTGCATACTACTGTACATTTTCAATTTCACATAAATATTTTTAATAGAGAGACTTAATTCACAATTTTACAAAAGTAATATATATAATCTATGTTTATTGTTCAAATTCTAAATCTTCTTTCTTCAGTTTTTGACACGTACGACGGTACTTCTGGTGGCGATGCCTGCGTCTTCCCGTTTTATTTTAAAAATAAATCATACAGATCCTGCACGTCTGTTGGTAGAGACGATGGATTGGAATGGTGTGCAACAACTTCTGATTATGATAAAGATGAGAAATGGGCTTTCTGTCCGCATGAGAGTAAGTAACGTGATATGTTCAATCGTAAAAATTAGTCACTGTTTGAGCACTCGGTGGTGTTGTAGACCGGATTTTGTAGTTCGAGAAATGTTCTATCCGACTGCGAGCCATATCGACTCCGGTTACCAACAAAAACAGTCAAACTTCAATTCAGTATTCCAACTCCGCTCTCTTAGTTATGGTTGAAAAATATTTTGGTGTCTTTCAGAACTTTTTACATACGGAGGCAACAGTGACAATAAACCTTGCGTGTTTCCTTTCGTTTTTCTGGGAAAGACGTATGATAGTTGCACGTATGATGGAAGAGATGATGGATATAGCTGGTGTGCTACTACATCTAATTACGACAAAGACGAGAAATATGGATTCTGTCCAAGCAGAGGTAAACACCCCGCATACACTGCCTATACTAAAAGTAAATTTTACAAGTCCCACCGTCCTAACACATCCCTTTTTTTAAGCTCATGGAACTAAAGGAGGCAATTCTGGCGGTGATGCTTGTCATTTCCCATTTAAATTCGAGGGATACGTATATTCTTCTTGTACTACAAGTGGTAGAAGCGATTACAAACTATGGTGTGCAACTACTGATGATTACGACAGGGACGAAAAGTGGGGATTTTGTAACGGAAACGGATACAGTTTATTTTTAGTAGCCGCTCACGAATTTGGGCATGCCATTGGATTGGATCACTCTAAAGTGCGAGGGGCACTCATGTACGCGAGGTGAGTAACATTTCACAATCACGCGATAATATACATTAAAATAAAATATATTTTGCATACTGCAATTTCTTTAAATTTCTCCTCACGTTTATTCTTATTTTCAACTGTTTTCACAGTTACGCATATTACGAAGATTTCAAATTACCTGACGATGACACTAGGGGCGCTCGAGATTTGTATGGTGGTCCAAGAACAAAATATTTACCTCCCCTTGAATTAGAGAAATGTGGCGGTACTTTGAAGGGTAGTACAACAGGTACGTGCAAATTTTGACACGAAAATGTTCATTTTATACATATACTTTGTAATATTAGTATTTGTAACGGGGTTTCTATATTTTAAGGACCAACTGCTACTCCAACAACCCTACCCTCCACATCAATAAGAACTAGGATAACTTCACCAACAAGAAGAACAACTACGGCCGGAATACCAGATCGATGTGACGAAAGTAACGAGCCGACAAATATTGGCGACAGGAAGATTGATGCCGTCATGCTGTTTCAAGACGAAACTTTCATATTCCAGGTAACGATCTGTTGTAACTTAAGTGGTTGTTAACTCGTATGATCGGTGTTGTGACGTTCACAACTTACGTGGAATCTGAATGTGGATATTATTTCAGATCTATTATTTTAGTAACAGTTTATCCTAACGCATTGCTGTTTATTCATTGTTTAGGGACCTTTCGTTTGGAGAGTAAAAGGATCGAGAAAATGTAAGAGTAAAAGATTAGAAAAAGTTCAGAGCCACTGGCCTGTTATCAAATGCGGAGTCGATGCTGCGTATCAAAGACCTTGGGACAACAAGCTGATATTTTTCAAAGGTAGATTTTTGTATGGTGTGTTATTTATTTGTAAATGGTATATTGCAATAACGATTCGTTGTCTGTGAAGATAATCTCGATGAACCTTTCTGAAAGCCTTTGTTTGGTCACTCCAAACCAACATCTAGTAACCTAACCCGATGTACTTTTTAGGTAGCCAATATTTTGTTTACAACGGAGCAAAGATCGAACCCGGTTATCCCAGAGAAGTGACTGAACTTGGACTACCGGCAAGAACAGTAGTTGATGACGTAGTTTATATGCACGCTAAGAATCCGAATACCAAAAAAACTGAAGAAAGAACATATTATTTTGTGGGAGACAAAGCATATCGGTAGGTATCATGGATATTAATTATATCGTAGTACAAACGCGAAACTTTCTGTCTGTTCTACTCCAGTGCCATTACGATTTTACTAGTATAAACCATTCATGCGTGACTGGTCAGAATAATTTCATAACGGATGAGTCTATTTCATTGGTATTTAAAATTTCCGCAGAGTTAATATTCAAGATGGAACCGTTTTGAAAGAATTCCCTCCAACTACACTTGGTGAAGGAGAATGGAATAAAATTCCAAGGGATGTCGATGCAGTGTTCAGAGAGTCACTATATAAACGTAAGTTAAAAATGAATAAGTATTAAACAAACTAGTAGGCAGATGAATAGAGGATACATTGATGGAAGTTTTGCCAAGTAGCTGTTTTAAACGCAGTCACTTGAATTGGAAGATGAATGAAGATCTCATAAAAATTACATGCTTTTTAATTGAAAGTTCACTGATAATATTGAAATGCTATGCTCTCACACGATAACTCATCGAAATTTGTAGAGTTCTTATTTCAAGTTTACAGTAAAAGTATAAAGATATTAAATTTTTAATCCAATTGAATAGAAAGAGAGTAGTGCCATCTGATTGCAATACTTCATTGATAAATTTATTTCTGAGAAATGGAGCAATAATAAAAAAATATAATTCAAAAGAAATCAAGTGAACAAGACGGGGCAATTTCACATTAGCGTTATCTATTCTATAGGCGATATCAAATTTTAAATACCTCGTAGTGTGTGTACCAATTTAAAGTTAGGCCATGATTTCATTCCGATTTTTTTTATTTTAGTGCTTATACAAGTTCGGGGACTGTCTATGTTAGCCAAGTACCCATATGTTTCAGTCCCTTTACAGAACTTGATTTAAAGTAGGCGAACAAAATTAGTTATCTCCATATTCGTACACACATTTCTTGAGCGCCAAATTTTAGACATAAAAAATTTCGAATTATATAATTTTAGAATTTGTGCTAAAATCAATTTTTATATTTCCAGCATACACAGTTTTTGTGAAAGGCGACACATATTATAGATACGAAAACAAGAAGGAAAAGCTTGATTTTTCACGACCTTCAAATACAATGTTCCGATGTCCAACGCAATCTCGCTAATATGATTTCACGTCCGAAATGCTTCAAAATATTGCGTGTATTTAGCGTGTTGAAATATACATTTTTCAATGTAACCTAACTTTAATATAACCAGATAGTGTGTGAAAATTCTACTTTCTATATATCATGAAGATGCATATTACGTTCACTTCTTATTTGTATTTAACGCTATTTTTTTTCTTTGGACTCGCTTTATTTTTATTGCACTTGTTTTTATTTACGGTGTCATGTCACAAAAAATCCCAGTTGCAGGGTCGAATTAAGTTTCAGCCATCCTCCGAATACAGGTCATTGGCGAATCCGACAAGTAACAATGAAATGACAAATATTTCAGCTTCAACTGCGACTTCATTTCTCTGCTTTTGCAGTAATATTTCAGTGCTGGCAAACTTTGAACCTTGTATTGATTCTGAAAGTCTAAAACCACAATTTAGGAAAACTATAAATTATCATAATGCGCCATAATTTAATTTATTTTTGCACTTTTCCAAATGTAATAACTGTACTGCTTTTTTGATTGTTGATATTTCCATTTGTATAGGAGAAAGAACCTATTTAATTCTCATTATTGAAAAATAAACAGAATTCACGAAGATTACTTGTCTTAATTTTTGAAATTTTGGTGTCGTAAATTTCAGACTTGATGTATACATTGAGAATTCAATGTAACATTTATATAAAAGTTTAGTTTTGCGTGGAGATTTTTCTGTCCCTATATCCAAAAGGTATTGTCACAATTAGCTCTTTTAGGAAAAGTTGTCTCGATTATCTACAACTTTTCAAGACATTTTCGTATTTGACGTTGACATTTGTTCATAATGAACATACGATTTCTAATAACATATTGGTCCCACGGACCAACAGGGCAAAATCGAGAGAAAACTCCATCATATTCAATCTCATTTGTTTCGTATTCTAATCATCACAAAACATGACAGGAAGACAAATTTGACGCTTTACCTTCTAGGCAAACTTCACTACAAAAATATGTTCCCCACTCTAGTATGAGAATAGGCGTATGACATTTTGGGCCAAAAACAGCGCTCGAAGTATTCTTTTGTAAATGACTTTGCTGCCATCAACTCCTATTTTTATGTTGTCATTTTTTCAGTTGGTAGATAGATATATATCATTCGGTAGCGTCAGAGAATTTTTGACACAATTGGCTATAGATTTGCGCTAATTTCGACACTTTATGAAGATATGATTATTTTGGTTGCAACGCCAATCTTCACACTTCAGCGGCATAAATGAATTTTCAAACTTCATACTAAATACCATGCTAATATACGGCTAATAAATTACTCATAACCACAGAAAAGAACATTTTGAACTCGGGGGGAAACCAAACTGCCAATACGTAATTTTCCCGCCAAGTTGAACCAAAATTAAAATTTTGTAGATAGTATAAACTTTACCAAGTATGTATCATAGAAGGACCGCGCCTCATCGGCGCGTTCCACTTAAGATACATACTTGATAATACCTTGTTGACAAAATACACATTTGTTGAATTTGAGTCAATGAATAAATGTTGAGTGATGATGAGCAATGAGGTCTTTCCTAACAAATAAGCAAATATTCATTGATTACTTGAGCAAAACATCTCAACCGGAAGTATTTAAAATTGCAGACTTTTCAAATTCATTCAATTACATCATTCTGTAAGTCCAATGAGTCAGTTAGAATTTGTTTCGTTTTTTTTATTTATTTCAAATTTGAATATTTTAATAGTGAGTTTCTTGCTAATAGAAACTGATTCAGTAAGGGATGCAATGATGATAGATATATCTGCATATTTAACTATTTTAATCTAATTTTCTCATGGAAATATTATTTCTGAATGGTCATTGAGGTTAGTTATACATTCGAAGTACAACTATGATTAATTTGGCTGATTGAGCCAGTTTCAGAAGGTACCAAAAAAATGAAAAAAATTATGCACGAAATTTTCAAAAACTTAGTGAAAATGCCGTGATGTATTTTTAAAAATATCATTGTTTTACTTATGTTAATAAACTCAGGTAATCAAATTGAACGGAGTTTGTTAACCTTTCAAAGTGCGAAGCGCCCCATAAAAGCAGATCTTTATTTGGCCATGACAATGTAGAAGTATCGCTCTCCGTAAAGTCAGCAATCCACGTAACCTATTCTGTTGGGAAAGAGATGACGAAAATTGTTAAACGAGAAGAGACTTTGAAATGCATATGAGTGTGTATTATATATTAAACACTTCTGTAAACGTCGCATGCTTCGGCTGCTTAGAATTCTGTAGACATTTTTGACACTTGTGCATTTATATGAGGTAATCCGATATCTCAATAGGATTGAAGAAAAAAACTTACGTTTCAAAACCGGTATCGGTGTCAACACGTACTGCTTCATTTCATCTACCGATGCAGTTTTAAGCGAAGTAGAACGAATACAGTTATTGCAATGTTGTGCGGAAACCTCAAGCGTGAACGCTCAGAAGTTCTTTGTTCGTCGATATTGTAGTTGGAAATCCGTCAGCTTGATCTACAGTTAGAACTATTCTGTTTGCAATTTCGTATAGTAGTTTTACAATAATGCTTGTTTTTATTTAACATGTAACTATAGAAAGGTTATGTTGACTTCCGCTGGACACCAGGTATCATTGCATAACAAATGCAACAGGCATATTGTTTTCAGATCTTTTTCCCGGAAGTATTTTCGACAAGTGCCTGTTAACATAAAACTGAAGAAAAAAATGAGAAATTTTACAAAATAGGATATATATAGAAGAGCGGATGCTTTTCGTTAAAGTAAATTAGCACGTCGACAGCGACAACAAAAGCTTTCGGATTGAGCACTCTAGAAATTAACAGCAAATTAATTTTCCTTTCCTAATTTAGTGTTGAGTTACTTATGTCATAGCATCCTTTTTTGAACCTGGGGAAATAGTAAAGTAAAGGAAGCTTACATTTCACTCGGTATCATTTCGAGTACATTCACTCCGAATAGATAACAACTTTGGGGTGTTTTTACCTAGGGGGTATGTCATTACGAATGTTTCTATATCATACTGACACTTCAGAGAAGTATGCTATTAGTCACGGAATTGACAGACCCCTAGTTTCTATTACCGATAATGAATTATGAGCTTTAACTGTGTGGTACAATAATAGTTCTCTAATCGGCCGTGTCTGATATAAAAAAAAATATGTTGCCAGACGAAAAACAACGACTTAAATGAAATCACATATACAATTTGTCATTGCAAGGTATTTTTCGATTTCCGTATTGGGTGTGAGGTGGGATAAGGAGAAAGTGTTGTAATATTTGCTCTGTAACATATTATTTAAACATGCTATATATGCATAGATAGATGTATTATTTGAAATTCTGTAAAATCTACTGGTAATTTGCACCAATTTAAATATACCCGTGCATTGAACAGTATGAGACATTTTAGCATGTGTTAATTGTACAAGTACACATAACAAAAGTGTTGTAGTAAAATGAACAGTGTAATCCGTGTTATTCCTGTTAGATTTACAATTTTTTCATCCGAAACCACCATTTCAAACATATAAGTCAGATTCAAAACATAAAGATTCATTTTCAGATATTTTTCGATATGTACAAATACTCTAGAACTGTTATAACAGGGTTGTTATGTTTTGCACTGCTGGTTTGCTACTGTAATGCGAGGCCACGGAATAGGCACGGAGGAGCTCCCGGCTTCCGAGCTCCTAAGTTTATGAGATCCACTTCATACGGGAGAAAACAAGAAAACAAGTTTCGACTTGGGGTCGACAATACAGGTCTCATCCAGGGATGGACAATCAAAAGTCCATATCAACAAAGTCGACTTAGAAGTGAAGCAGAACCAATACAGTATATTTCACCACGAGCTCAGTTGAATGGAAACTTCGGTAAAAGCCCAGCAGCACCGCAGAGACTTGGCAGACGACAGTATATACCCAAGCACTTTGAAGCCCCAGAAGCAGGACTCGAATCCGCTCCACATGCCTTGAAAATAATGACCGAGTCACAAAAGAACGCAATTGCCCAGGTAATAATTTTTATCAACATGTTCATGTATGCCTATGTTTTAATTTCATTGCAATCAAAATTTCTAACAGGCGAGTCACAAAAAAAGAAACTAGAAATATGATCATTTTTAGTGAAAGTTGGTATTCTATTGATATAATTTAAGACCGAAATATTTAAATAGATTTAATACGTAATCAATATACATTGTAAAGACGAAAATCTCGCTAAAATAAGGGTTTTTCCTCGATCTAATATAACTATGAGATGACGGTAATCTACGTTCAACAGATTGTCCCCCATTATTGAGGAAAGGGCAATTTTTTAAATCTTTGTAACTTTTATATTGTGTTCTGGTCTGACGATAGTTTGTGTTTTGTATTTTATTAAAAATTCTATTTTTCCGATTTTTAAACACAGGAGTTCTTTCTGAAGTACAAATATGCCAAGGAGAATGCTTTAAATGACAAAGGAGACATGATAAGAACGGTGCAAAGAAATTACGGACTCAATATAACCGGTAAGAATTATATCTGCACGAAAAATACCAAGTTATCGCGTGGTTATGTAACCATACTCTATGTCTATACCTTATTGATTATCTTTCAGAAACAATTTTCAAAAGTTTACTCAGCCTTTTAAAATATCCATATTTATACCTAGGGTTGTACTTTTCAAACTCAAAATTTGATCAACCCCGACTATACTAAAAATCAGTGATGCCGATTTTACACATTAATTATAGGGGAACTGAATGACGAAACCGTTGTGGCTATGATGCGACCAAGATGTGGGGTTCCAGATGCACCAGCAGAGTACAACTTATTTCCCAATAGAGAACACTGGACGCACAAAGACATTACGTACAAGTATGTAGAACGACACAGAATAAATCTTCAATAATCTGTTTGCAATTATGTATTTGTATGTTACAAATTCAGTTTTCAATGAATAAAAAGAGAAGCATAAAAAATGAAGAATATTTGTGGATTTTGTTGTACCCATAACCATAAACTCACACTCGATATCTTGTTATTCTCAAGTTATCCACCCATGCGGAAAATGACTCATTCAATGTTTAGTCATTGTAGATCGTAAATATTATTTGCCAGACAGACTATGAGCAAAACATGACAAATAGCAGCTTTGATAATACTGAAAAATGAAATAGTATGGGGTTTTCCACAAATGTACTCAATCCTTATTTTAATATTTGAAACACAGAATTGAAGGATACACTCCGGACATGAGTCAATGCCAAATACGAAACGCATTTAAACGTGCATTCAGAGTTTGGGAGGAAGTGACTGACCTCAATTTTGAAAAGGTTGATAGAGATGACGCGGATATCATCATTTATTTTGGATACGGTATGGCTCACTTTATTGAGATTTGAAATTAACTGTATATATACTACCAAACCAATCTTTTTGCATACTGCACACTACCCGTTAAACGTCATTAAACAGTCTAGTTTTTACATTCTGTAATGAAACATTTGATGATGTTTTATAATTGTTCAGTTTCTACTCCTCGCGAGGTTTAGGAGTCTATTTAACTTTGTAGTTATTAATACCAAATAAATACTCGTCCGGAACATAACATTACAATACCAGTGGCCTGGTCTCGAAAATCATATTGCATTGAACACCGCATTCAAATAACCTTAATCGTAGATATATTTTTTCTTAATTATCTACCCACCCCCAAGTCCTAATTTCTCTTTTTCTGAAACATGAAACTACTTATCATTGCAGTTGCCAGTTTTATTCATTGTTGACAAATGTGTTAGTTTGTCTGCATATGGATGTTTCCACAGCATCGATTTCCTTGTTTATTCCCGTGACAATGAAAGCAAAATGTCAGCGATAGACTGGGCTGAAGTTAGCTAGCTATTAGTACGAGTAAGCGGCACGTGGTTGTATATTTTGACATAAAGAATGTTTATTAGCTTGTAAATCAGTTTGTAAGTCTCAACTCTTCAAAACACTCGCAAAATAAGCATCCAAAATCATATTAAAGTATAGGAAGAATTTTCCTCGACCTTTGACTCCCAGAACATTTTCTGTTTTCTTCTAACAATTTTTGGTGCGAGTCGACATTCATAAACTGGTTTATATGTTTTCAAACATCATTTTCATCATCATAACATTTAACAACCTGTCATTTAAAAGTACCGGTAGAAAAGTTTAGCCTAATCTATCACGGCTATTTCTAGACAAATTTTTGATTACTGTAATTACACTGAAACTACAAAAAAAATGATCATGGTTTTATTTGTTTAATACTTAGATTTCCGAAACACAAATAACAAATAGCATGCAATAACGCCATAACGAGGTAATGCTCACAATCATGCCGGAGAGTCTGGCTGCGTGAAAAAGTGTCTGAGCGACTGCTAAGTTGTTTATTGTTACGTCACATTTTTATATCTTGCTGATTAGACAGGACACGGGAGTAAACAAGGAAGTCTATACTTAAGGAAACATCCACAGTTTACCGATAAGCGAAGAGGCTAACGTAACAAAATAAAAATTAAATTGAATATGTCGTCATTAAAATGCCATCAACTTTTGCGGTATATAAAAGTTGAAACACATGGATTGAAGAAGATGCTTGAAAATGAATCAACTATTCTTGGGCACAATTTTTGTTGATTTTATTATGCTTTTAAAAAAATAGCAGCAATCCATAATACTTATGATTTTTTGTCGTGATTTGTGTCTTCAGAGGAACATGGAGATGGATATCCATTCGACGGCCCTAATGGGCTTCTTGCTCACGCTTTTACACCGGGTACCACAGCTATATCAGGCGATAGCCACTTTGATGAAGGGGAATTTTGGACTTTGGGAAAAGGTAGAGGTAAGTGTCTTTTTGTGATATAACATTTCGAGACTTATCTACTTTTTTGCGTCTTGATGTAATGTAATTAGCCGATTATTGAAAACCGCCGACAGACAGTAGTGTTATCATATTGCTATATATATATATTTCATAATATATTTTTCTTCTCTATATTTTACAGTATTTGACACTTACAATGGAAACTCCGGGGGAGATCCGTGTGTGTTTCCATTTTATTTCGAAGGCGCGAGTTATAGTGCTTGTACCTCCGCTGGTAGGTCCGATGGCTTAGAATGGTGCGCCACTACAGCTGACTACGATGCTGATGAAAAATGGGCGTTTTGTCCTCATGAACGTAAGTATTGTTAAGTTATTGTCATATATATTGTTAAGTGTATCTATCGTGCGGTTGAATTTAGCTATGTTTGTCAGATTGTGAAACAAACGATTTTGTGCAATGGCATAGGTCAGCAAGTTTAAAGCATTGTCATGGTGATGAACACCAGAGAAATAAAGTATTTGTATTCAAAGATGTTCTAACATGCCAATTCCTTTGTATATAATATTTTAAAATTGTCATGTTAACTCGTCGGCTCAAAATGACGTAGCGATCAACTTTATATGAATTATCATTTATGTCTCATACATTTCTAGTTCTATTCACTTACGCCGGTAATGGAGACAATGATCCTTGCGTATTCCCCTTCGTTTTCCTCGGAAAATCATACGACGAATGCACGCCTGAGGGAAGAAGCGACGGTTATCTATGGTGTGCGACTACTTCTAACTACGATACTGATAGTAGATGGGGATTTTGCCCTAGTAGAGGTCTGTAGACTTTTGAAAAGCTTACAGTTAACATTCGTATAGCTTTACCTACAGCTTTTATAGTATATATATATACTTTCCGTCAAACAGTGAATATTAAAATGCTGTACTTCTAACTTTTACACACAGCTCACGGAACTGATGGTGGTAACTCTGGCGGCGCCGCCTGCACGTTTCCTTTCAAATTTGAAGGCTATACATATGTAGATTGCACGACGGTGGGTCGAACCGATTATAAGTTGTGGTGTGCAACAACAGACGACTACGATAAGGATGGAATGTGGGGATTCTGTAATGGAGAGGGTTATAGTTTATTTCTTGTTGCTACTCACGAATTTGGACATGCCATAGGACTGGATCACTCAAACGTTGCAGATGCGTTGATGTATCCAATGTAGGTCAATTTTTGATTTTACACAAAATGTTTAACGATTTTCTTTGCTGTTAAGTATTTTTAGTATTTTGCTGTTTTAATATTCAACTCCATTACCTCCCAAACTCAGGTATTCGTACCATGCTGATTTTATTCTTCCCGACGATGACAAAAGAGGAGTTAGAGATTTATACGGACCAAGAAGAAGGTATTTACCTCCATTACAGCTGGAAACATGCGGAGGAGATCTGACAAAATCAGAACCTACTGCAACTCGTGAGTATAATCACTATTAGTGTTGGGAGTACGTGTTTAATTTAGTTATTAACTTTTATAGACAACAGTAAGCATTTATTTGATAGCCACACTATTTACTCCATTCTCCGTGATTTGGAAGACAAAATGCCTTCCAATGAAATATGCCATGAGAAATCGTGTTGTTGTTTTTTAATTCTTCCTGATAGTTTTGTTACATGCCTCTAACGTATCGTTTTTATTGCATTGCTCATATGAACTATATGCTCATTTGCCAACTACAAAATTTAATTATTTTTTTTAATGTCGTTTAGGTCCACCAAGAACGTCAACTCCAACTGTCACACCAAGAACGACACCACGTGGAAGGACTTCAACTCCGACACAATCTACAACTACACACTCAGGAGACAGATGTGACGGCGTTGTTCCCCCAACTGACATGTGCCAACGAAAAGTAGATGCAGTGATGTTGTACCAGAATGAATTTTTTGTTTTTCAGGTTGGTTAAAATAAGACATTAACAGATATATCGATATTACTACGCATAACGAATATTGGCACCATAACCTACTGTCAAATTTAAGATATATATATTCACAAATTGCATACCCATTATTGAGTCTCTGCTCAATTCCTGTTTGCTTTTACAAATTTACCAAATAATTCATACAAATATAAATTTAATTTTGTTTATCAAATTAAAAATCTATCTATTTGAGCTATGCAATTTGTTCCAATATTGATTATGAAACCAATTAATAAACAATACTGTACATTCTGGTTTTCAAGAATTGTTATTGCCGTAATTGATATATTTTAGGGTCCTTTCGTATGGCGAGTAAGTGGCAGAGGTAAAAACCAAGTTCAAACTCCTGAAAGAATAAGTAATCATTGGCCTACGTTGAAATGTGGAATAGATGGTGTATACCAGAATCCCATCGATTTGAAACTTATGTTCTTCAAAGGTAAATTAAATTATTCAAATTTTATAGCACTTACTTTTAAAATGACCGAATAGAAATTTCCGCTTTGTCGGACAAATGAACACCGCAATATATATATGATTTGCGTCATATGCGTCCACACGATTAATATGTATTCTGAATGACCGAATGTGTCAATTTGCAGTTCCTTTGTCCTGGCTTCAAAATTGAAAGCCAACTCGAGGCTCATTAAGCTTCAACGTGTATTTATTGTAACTTCCAATTCAGCACAAACCATATCTGACAATGCATAGTGAGATGTTCTATGTCTAAGATGTAAACAATATTCCGAGTGGGCAACATCCAAACATGCTATAGCGATTGGGTTTTGCTCTTCTATTAAATATCGCCTCCACAACTTTTTATTCATCTCGATAAAGGTGTTGAGCATAGTCATTCAAAATATAGTACTAAATAGTCGCGTATAGGATTAAGGGATTAAGTACTCATTTGAAGAAGTCGAATCACAAATTGTGAAAATTTACCTGCGTGTGAAGTCATTAGCTTCAATTAATTATTTGATTCGATTATGAGAAACTTGATGCTATAATTATCATTTCATCAGGAAGCCAGTACTTCCTTTTTGACGGTGAGAATATTTTACCCGGCTATCCACGAGAGGTGACCGAACTCGGACTTCCGGCAAGAACAGTTGTTGACGATGTCGTTTTCATGAAAGGAAGGAACCCGAAGACTCGTAGAACGGAAAATAGACTGTACTACTACGTCCGCGAAAAAGTTTACAGGTAAAATCGGTGCGATATATAAATGTACAGGGATAAAAGTAAGTTTTTAAATGCTTTAGCACACGAAATTTCCTGTAACGTATATACATATGAAGTCAATGAATATCTTATCTAAATCAATGAGTTTGAATATTTTTTCATCATAATATAGAATACAACAGGGTTATCCTATATGTATTCAACTATTCTTTCATTTAAATTCTCTGCTTTACACTTGAGTTATTTGTGAACAATGTTACATCATAATTGGTACATTGTCCCTGAAAAATAAAAGATTATGCACGACGCCCAGAAATATACAGACAGTCAAATGTTACTTTCCATCTCATTCAATTTCCATTGGGTATAATAATGTCAAATAAAATCTCATCAAAGATTGTTCCGTTGAAGTATATAAAGATCTCCAGCGCACTTAAATACAATAATATATTTAAAAACAGTGACACACAGCTTTGCAAAAATTTTAACTTGCGTTTCATTTTAAGAGCCGATCCTAAAACAGGTATATTGATGGAAGGCTTCAAACCTTCAACGTTGGGTGTCAAAGGAACAGCTTGGGAAGGCATACCACCCAATATTGACGCAGTTTTCAGTGATGCTCAAAATAGGCGTAAGCTGCTAAATATATTTTATATCCGAACTGTTTTATAGCCGTAAAATATAAATATAACGACGCAGGGACATTCATATTAAATTTGGTTAAAACGAGTTGCTCATAAAAAAAAATGTTTTTCGACTGTTAGCTGGTGTACAAAATACAAATAGCAACATTACAAGCTAAATGGATAAACATAAATTTATGTGACTGAACTACTTTTATCTGCCTTCACATAACACGACTAAAAAGTTTTGTTGGACACACTAGAAGGTTATTACTTTTATTAATTTCAAAATATTTATTCAGGATGTATGAAATTCGTTTTCACTTTAAATTTTTGTGTGATGACGGATGTAGTCGAAATGAAATAATGCGCATCGTGCCGTGGTTACGAGGAATTGTTTTTAGCTTTAGAATCTGGGTGATTAGGTTATCCATCAGTGAGTGTTAAAATTTTCTGATAATAAAGCAATCGCCACTATTACATAAAATGAATTTCTAACAATAAGAAAAGGATATCGCTATTAGACTGTAGCAAAATCATAGTAAGTTCTCGCTAAACAGCCCACAGAAACAGGGAAAAAGCTATCCACTTCTTCCAGACTCTCATTGTATATACCTTTCATGTTTTAGGTTACACTATATTCGTGAAAGGCATGAAAATCTTTCGCTACATGAACGTGCGAGGACAGCTGGATTACTCTCGCGGATTCAAAAAATTCTTCACTTGTCCCATCAAAGTAGAAGAATTTATACCGTTGCCTCTTCGTGAATAATCATAATGTGTATATTTCGTTTTCTTCGTTGTATTATAAGGCAAAATTAGTTGTAAAATAAATTTCTTTGCCTGAGGTGTTTGATGTAGGCTATGATACAAAACAGAAGGCTGTGATGATATAGTTTATGGTGGCTTTCAAACTTCCGAATTTATGAATTCTGGAGATAAGTGAAGTAAGATTGTACTAAAAACAACTATGATTCTAATATAATATATTTATATCTGCATTGTTATCTTTCCCAAAGATGGCAAAAGATACAAAAACGTGTGAAATATTAGAATCTGAACATGATGTGAAATTAGACACTGAAGATTACTGCAGTATATTTTAAAGTGAAAAGTTTAAAAGACCTTTGTTTTGAATAGTATTTTTCCAGTTGTTTTCAACTTTTTTGTGCATTGTGATTGAAATGATAACAAATTGCACAAACATGTATTCTATAGCAATAAAGCATAAAATTACAAATAATTGAAAAAATGGTTCTGTTTACATAGCTCGGGACTCTTTTCTCCGTATTAGGGTGATAGTATTTCGTAGGAGATGTTTCTTATCTTTACGTAACAACATAATTGCCTGAAGCTTTTGCTTGTCGCTCATTTAGCGTAGATTTCTGCATAAAAATCCTATGCATGTCGGTATCATTACGTTTGAAAAGACTTCTACAGGCACCGACCGTACGACATTACGGAGTATCAAAATTATAGACCATATCTTGTCCATTCGCTCAACCAGGAATCGATTTTGAAATAAAGTTGATTTATTTCTAACAGCGAACATTCAGTATATCTTAGTGTTAATCTTGCCACGTAGTATAGAACTCGGCGTAGTGCCAAAAGATAATGATGAAAGGCCGTCAAAAATACCAGGGCTCGCATTCAATCAACGACAATGTTGATTTTTGTTTTTTTCTGCTGATTTGGTGATATAGGGCCTCCTAGCGGATGAAAACATCATCTTATTCACAGCCGCTGATAGACATACTTCGTTGCTCTTCAAGTTGCGTAGGAATCTGCGCGAACTGTGTTTTTTTATTCTCAAGTAAAACAATTTTGTCCAATGATGGCCGGAGGAGGATAATGAACGGCTTCAGAGTAAAATCACTGTCAAATACATATGTGTACTTTCAGAAAACGGTGGGCAAACGTTACCGTTATTCATACGAAATTGTGGGATTTTTTTTTTATAAAAATAGTAATCCTGGCATATAGACCGATTTCACAGTTTTACTGACCCTTGACCCAGCAAATTTCATCTTCTACTTTACAATTATAACATTGTTTATGCCTATTTTGTCAGTGTTTTTGCGAGTTGACGCTTGGAAACCTGAACATGTTTATAGCGTTCGTTTCATTTCAAAATGTTCAACCACGTGCCGACAGCTAATTTTAGCCTAGGTCGTAGTATATCACAGCTTTTTCGTGACTATTTTTTGATCAAAATAAATCTCAAAGACAAAATGAAGGCTAAGTTATTTGATTTAGACATAATTTTATTACAATATCTAAAACAGACGAATAACAACAGTCAAAACCACTAAAACAAGTCAATATTTACAACCATCAGCAGAGGTTGCGCGAGACTAACTCCCAATCCTTACTTTGCGCTAGTGGGTCCGTATGCGTATAATTCAAGGATGCCGTAGCAGGAATAAAAATACCATACTGTGCAATTCAAGAGTGTGCTCTTTTTGCTCGGAATGACTTTCCAGCATGATTATAAATTATGCAATTCAAGATTCCTGCTGCACACTAACACAAATGTATTTCTGTAAAGTTTCGTCTGACCAAAATCTGCAACCAGACTGTTGTAAACTGCTTGTCTGAAGAAGTCTGATTTTGGTCAGACGGAACGTTACAGGAATACATTTGTGTTAGTGTGCAGCAGGAATCTTGAATTGCATAATTTATAATCATGCTAGAAAGTCATTCCGAGCAAAAAAAAGTTACCGGATAACTGCGAAAATATTAATTATCACGTCACATTGAATTATTGCGGATCAGTCGATGATAAGTTAATACAATATCCTTTTAATGGTCAGGTAAGCATCGAAAGCGAAATACCCGTTATTGCGTTGGTTGTACTAAACAACAATAGTCTGGGTGATACGGATTTTTTAAAGAATCCTACGCAAGACGGTGAATTTATTTACGCAATACGTAAGACCATTTCGACCCCATTAAGACATATTTGTTGGACATAATCGCGACTACTATTCAGACATATTTGACGTCAGCAAAAAGGTAAAATAACAAATATCGATAATACTTACAGAGATCAAAGCAATTGTTGGTAACAATAGCCGACTACTGGAAATATCAGACAACAACAATGTATTCATAATAATCTGATCAAAACTATTTTGGCAAATCATCAATGAATTTCCCGACAGATTATGAGCAACGACTTGAATAACTTTGGTCCCGGATCTTTTCGCATGCTCTAAATTGAAAGCAGCTTATGGCAACAGTGGCAGTTTTCAGCAGCTTATGAAGTATGAAAGTGAATTTCTATTTCAACATAATTGTCTTTGTATTTTGTGTTGGTAATTGATGTTAGTGGTATACAGAATGTTATATTCTTATATTATGACATTTTATGCTGTTGCAAAATCCAAGCGATCAATAGTTTTTGAAATTTAAAAAAAGGGTAAAGGATCACTTTATAGAGGTAGAGAATCACCTAGATAAAATCAATCTGTAGACTTCTTGCCTCTTCCTCCATCATGCATCTGAAACAAATGACCGGTTAACTAATCCCATATCCCGTCTTGTCGGCATCCTTCTCCTCATGGATAATTGCAAAAATACGATTTTATGGCCACGGCGGTCATACATCTGTACCGTAACGCTTAGTCCTGAATGCACTCGGTTTTTAAGAAAAACGTCGGGCAAGCACTACGTAGGTCGTAGTAGACGGTCGAGTATGCAGAACAAAAGTGTTTTCTTTAAATTAAAATAAAACGACAACATTTTGGTGTAATATCGGGTCCTATGGAACTCAGAAGAAAATTGAATGAAAAACCTCTTTTCGATTATCATCTACTGACATATTGAAAACGATGATTGCTCGAATAATTTCCGATGAAAAGTGTTTTTCTAAATGTGCTACCGCAACAACATTACCAATTTAGCACATGATCCATATTTACCCTTAATGTCCAACAAATGTAAATTCAACAAGCTTCAGTCATAATCCAGTAGTGGAGTAATGAATACAGATTTGATATAAATGTGCTGTTTTTCGGTAAAATAAAGGGAATAATAAGCATACAAGATGCAGAAAGTTTCATAGTCACTTATCACAAATATTTTGTCAGGTTATCGTTTAAATACGTTTCGTACTCGCCTAAGTTGTTCAGCTTATTCAAACCATTCATATTGATGATGGATTCGAAATATGTGTGACTTCTAATAGAGATTAGTTCGTAAAAAAAAAACTTTTCAAATAAAATAGGGCAAATCTATTCATTTGACTTCACACTTGTCGTGAAACCTTCAATTCCGTCGTTCAGGCCACCTTTTAAAAGAGATTTCGAAGATAAGAGAAGTATGTATATTGAAAAAAAAAATTAGTTTAAAACCGAGATTAATATACTAAACCGAAAACGGTAAACCAATGAATAATACAAATGCGCAATTAATCATCCTGAAAATTTCAAAAAAGGAATAATTTTCGACACAAAATCATACGACAATTTACCGTTGTTCCTTGTTGTGAGATATATTTCAGGGTTCTCATCATTTGTTTACGTCAATACAACGTCACGTCAATACTAATAAAAAATCAAGAATTTTTTGGCTTCCTTCTTTTAAACAAATCAGAGGGTTATTTATTTATTTCACGCAAATTGATAGCTTTCTACCATGACGAGGTTAATTTTATTTGCCATTACCAACTCATCATAATAATGATAGTACCTCGACCAAAAAGAGTGAGCAAATTTTTTTGACATTTTGGACATATATGTATGCAAAAAAACGCTGTTACTGTTTTTATATTTACTGTTTTACTCTAATATGGCGGTCCACAATGTTGCTCGAGTGAAAATGACAAATGTGGGTTTTCTCCTTGTTTACTAACACTTAAGGATCCGTATGTGTTCTTATTTGAATTGTGAATCCGGTCCCAATTAGAATTGGGAATTACTAAGTACAAGTTTATGAATAGCATATTCTATAAGCATGCAAATTTTGATATTATATCCCGATTGTTCATTGCCCGAAGTTTTCAGACAAAACGAGACATATGAGTATACGTAAGTATTTTGAATGAATTATTGTTGAAACTATTGAGACTTCATTTGTAAAATGACCCATGATAAGACTCATAGAATTTGTCAGTTTTATGATGCGCCACATTTTTTCACATCAACATTAGACATATATCGAATGGTAAATGGAAAAGAGATTTCATAAGAAAGTGGAAGCAAGCATGTAGCAAGGTACATGTATGTTTTGCTTCTCAATAAAATGCCATATGTAAACGATTCTATCTTATTTTAGTAACACTTTATTGTAAAAACTGCCTGCAAAACGAGCACAGCCAGATTTGTTAATTAAAATATATTACGTGTTTTTATCATTTTTATTATTAATTGTATGGATGCATAAAAAATATCTCCTCATTATTATTTTACATAAAATTCAAGTTTTGATAGAAAATTTATCATCCCGTGTTATTTATTTGATTTTTTCATTTGATATTTTTGTCAAAGAATGAAAGTGCTTTTATCATATTAATAGAATAATAAAATAACAAATCGATAAAGGACACCTGAGCAAACTCACTGTATAAAAATAGCTGACAAAATGTAGACAGGATTGTTATATACATCAATCATTTACTGTGACAAAATTAAATTAAATACACTGAAATCAGGCAGTATATGTTTGCTGCTGCTCTATTTATAAAATTAAAAAAAATATATTTAAAAGAATTCTATTTAAGACAGTTTATATCAAATACAGCTAACGTTAACAAATGCTCACGTGCCGTGACAACAAACATTATAAAAAATAAACGATGAAAAAATTGACAAAACTCGTATTTTGACTATCTCAAATATGCAATTTTCTAATAAAGTGTGAATGTAAAACAACTATCTGTACTTGGTTATTATCAACCTACTCTTCCTAATTGAAATATTTTTTGTTACGACTGCACGAATCTTAATTGATTGATTATATATGTATGCATACTTCATAGTCAAATATCGAATTGTTCTCATACTAATTCATGCCTTTCAAAACAATATGTTGAATAAATATGTTAAAAAAATATTTTATCAGCACAATATAGTTTTAGGACATAGAATTATAGTCTTCGCTTATATAATGGTCGATAAATTTGAATCGCTCTACATATGCTCAAAAATTTATTCATAAATGTAAAGCAAATGTCATACCTGAATATCGACGTCAATTTTGACACAAATGTATCCGTTGAAAAATCATTTTTATCTTTTGTTCTGCAACAATAGTAATACACGTTTGATATTTTTTGAGCCAACTGTCAATATCGTATGTTTTTCAACGATTCTAGGCGAAAATTCAATTTAAGGATTAATAGTCAATAAAAATGTCCAAATATGTAAGCTGATTATGACGGAAAATTCTTTGATCTTCACAAAAGCATATAATGGTTTAAAGTCGCCGAATTTACAAAGGGTTTCAATATGAAATTGACCATTAATCTTTACTTAACCATGGTTGTTTTAATGGAAAATTATATTTTGTAGCTTATACTGTGCTCGGCCTTTCTTATGCAGAAATTACGTCAATGAATTATGTTGAAATAAATACAGAACATCTGTTAGTGATATATTTTCATTTTTGCCTTAAAATCACGTAATTCGGATTAACCAGTTGTTCGTGCCCACGCTACAATTTTATCCCGTTTGGGTACCAATTCATTCGTCTTATTCCATCGTCTCTATCCAAACTGTAATCCGTCTGGTTGGCTCCGGAATAGAAAAGAAAATGACTGTTGAAAAGCACGTCAAGAAGTATCATATGTCAAGTATGAAAATGTATATTAAAACTCATAGAAACTTCCTTGGCGGGCGTGGACGGGAATGAAGAGTCACGTACAAAATATTCTCTCATCAAAGTTGCATAACATAGTCATCAATCAGTGTTTACATTCCCGGTATCATTGACCCAAATGAAATATATCTGAGGCTATTTAGCCATTTGTAATCCGCATGCTACTCTATTACTGGGTCGTGCGAAAATTGTATAATTGAGTTATCCCGATACGCCCATGAGATAGAAAAGTCGCGAAAGTTTTCCAACGTTGGTTGCCCCGATGTGCATATGAAACTTCAAATTTTCTTTACTGTTGAATAATGTTCAACTTTTCTGAAACTTTTAATCGTAACAACGTCATTAATTAATGTTTGTATGACTTATTTTGTTCATTTACACACAAACAGAACTACATACGGATAACTAAGGAACATGACCTACCAGGGGTGGGGGTCTTTTCGAATGGGCATGCCATATTTGAATTTGTAAAAACGAGATATGTTTAGCGAGATGGTAAAACGATTGGTGGCGGCGCACTGTATCACAAGCTTATTAAACAAATATTTTTTCGTCATTATTTTATTCGCTTCTGTTGAAAAACGGGGCCCTCATCATTTTTTTTTTGCATCCGGCAAAACTTCGAATCTAGTCAATAAAATCACGTGGCGACCCGAAAATATTCAACGTCGTGAGAGTAGATCATCCATTGAACAGATAAATCATCGTCGACGTCGAAAATGTGACAGAACGGCGGAAAAAGACGATCGCACGTGCCGCATAAAATTACAAAGACTCCAGGGTTGACTTATTGTCTTTATGTTGGTTCACCTGGCGCGATGTACGACGACGCCCAACACGACAACGAGCCAATCCCGTCACGAAATTTTGACGCGATTCAAATGATTATTTACAACTATAAACTAAATCGTTTTATGGGCTACTGCATGAGTAATCAGTCGGTTACTAAAGTGGTTTGATGTTCAAACAAAAACGAACATCAATCTAATAAAAGAAACGATCGGGAATACTGAGAATTGGATTATTTAAAACTAATTTCTTATTTTTAGTACAAATCAAACTGTACTCGCTTGTTTAGATAGATATAATGAACCCTTAGGTAGAATTATCTTAAAATTTCGAGAATATATAGAATTGAATTCCCAGTTAGAATTGGTTTAAAGTGGTCCTCCATGCCTACTATAAGTCCTATAATATTTCAGGTCTCACAATGTACAAATGACTATCAAAAATCTGATGCTTAGTTATTCTAAACTTCATTTACACTTCCAAAATATTAGTTATCACAGCTAAACAGTCGCTAACTTTATTTGAAATTCATGCCTTCTACAGAAAACTTTGTTTGACAAGGAAAAATGAAAATCAATTCGTGACTTCCATATCCTCATTATGAGAAGCTAATATTATTACTTTACAAAATGACTTCAAAAACCACCGTCATAAAAGTTGAGACAATATTTACAATTCGATTGCTTTCATCTCATATGGCGCGAATATAATTGTTATGAAGTAGAAAAGTAAATCATTCGTAAATCAAGAAGAAATTAAGTATTTCTCATAAATTTCAAACAGGAAATGAATATTCATTAATTATTTGAATTAATTTCAACTACACAATGGAAACTCACTGAATTGGATGACGTTTCCCACGAATTTTATTGGCGATACTTTAATCATCGGCTTTGAATTATAGACTCAATGTTGGTCTTTAAGTTCTTTATAAAAGGGCTTGGTTGTTTGAACTAACCACTTTGTGTAAGTTTAAAAAAAATGTTAATATTGCTCAAAAATAATTATAAATCTGAAAATATTGCTAAAATTACGATATTGTATAAACATTCATTGTTGACTATTTTGAGCCTTTCTGGCAATATCGTTGTGTTGAGAGATCTGATAATGCTGTACTTTTCCTGAGATAAATACATAGTGATAAATAGCCAATATCGATATTTCTATATATATATATATTCTACACATATTTTGGGTCTGGGGCTAGGTTACAGTCGTAAACTTTAAAAGAGAAAGCAAGATTCGATCACTAATGTAAGGACTACATAGAGCTCAGGAAATGCTATTAATTGCCCGTAGCACCAACGCTTAGCGAGCGCAGGTAAAACACGACGTAAAACTTGAACTGGCGTTATGGAATGATAGTTTACAGCTATCACAGAATAACTTTCTTCTAAAATTGGAAACGGCTGCTAACAATTCGTCGTTAAATATTCTCAAATTTTCACCATTTCTGTGTTTTTAAACTATTCATTCGATTTGTAGTATTGAAATTGGATTTATCCATCTCTCGCTCTCAACAATTAGTTACTTCTTGGTTCCTGCCTGACTACATACTCGCTATTCATCAATTATATTTTACCGACTATCCAGTGGTGTATTTCAACGTTATTCGTCATTCGTAACCAATAAATTTTTATAGATAGATCAAGATTTACCATTTAAACTGGCAAGTTCATAGTTCGGTCTCCCATTTTCACGCTTGACATACGTGGCGGCATTCCAGTAACTTGCCTCTTGGACACTTAGAAAGTATTTTTGTTGTCGCAAAGTCAAGTGAAGGCTGGCAGGTTGACAAATACAATAGCAAGCAGCAATACCCAAGGTTATATCTTACATTTGGACATTTACCTAATTTCAGGTCGATTTGTTTATACTATTAAATGAAACAGGTTAGATTACAGCACTCATATTGGCATGGAAAAACGGAGAATATCCTATTTTTGTGTATTATTTACAGGAGAATATATTAATTTTAAAATTATTACACTATAAGTAAAGAAAATGGAAATCTTGAATTGCACTCATAATTTGTATCAATTTAATTATTTATCAATGCATGGTAAAATATCATATAGTTTATTGTGGTGAACGGTACCAAAATGGTGGATGATTTGTGGTAATTGTAACGAACCACCTTTATTATATACTAACCAATGTGTATTGTGAGCGGGAAGACCTCCGCGGACGCCATTTTATTTTGCCACATAAATTTGCTTTTTATTGTTGTCGCAGCGACGATTATCGCCATTTATAAAATGTTAGTCGAAGAATGGATAGACTAGTGATTTTAGATGTGATAGTGAAAAAAAAAGTGCAAGATAAGAGCGATGGCTTACCAAATGTACTTGGGACGTATTTTCAGTATTAAAATGTTACTAGAATAGTTTTATTTGTAAAAAATGGTCGTTTTCATTCCCAGAGTAGATATATCTCATTACATTTAGTTATATTTGTGATTAGGAAAAATCTTATTACCTTTATAGCTTATTTTCGAGAATTTTGTAAGCGTGCCTTGAGCAAAATTCTCATAAAATACTGTAAGAGATGTTCCAATTGTGAATGCATAACTACACTATTGAAGAACGTTTGTACAAAAATGTTTTTGGGTCTCATTTCCATACAAAATACATGGTAATATCACAGGTATATATATATAACTTATGTGAAATTGCCCATTATCCCTCTATGAAATAGGAATAAAAATTGGAATCCTATAGCCATCCCAATTCCAACTTCTTTAGAAATTTTCAAATGTTCAACAAATAGAAAGGTAGTTGTCATAGAAAATTTTAATTATATTTTGTTAAATGGATACTATCTAAATATAATGCCTATTGTGTTTGTGATTTTTCTGGGATTGTGGTTAGCATAAGCAATAGACTAGGTTGATATGGAATATTTATGGAATAACAAAACGTTTCTATAGCCAAAGTTCCTAGATAATTTAATTGCAATATTTCAAATATCGAAATTTAAAAATGTATTTAGTTGTTGTAATAATATTTACCACATGACAAAATAAATAATAATTAAAGCAGATGCCATTTGAAATGCCAATCGAGTCGTTTCGTATAGAGTAGTTATAATCACTGTCAGTTTAGTTCTAAAATTTCTGCAAAGTCAAAGCATAGTGGTATAAAACGAAAATTATCTATTATTTTTATCTGTTTAGGAAATATTGTATTAATTTATTCACTAATCGTGTTTCCAGCTCCCTCGAAAAAGCAGATTAAAATTCTGCAATATGGATAGAGACAGGGACAATACGGGGGCCTTATTCTACTGTCGGGCTGGATTGCTAGAACCACGTTTATTGTGCCATACCTTCCCATCATCAAGCCACTTTTCTATGGCATGTTGCACACCTGCTGTACATGGACATAGTCAGCAAAACTGTAATATATTATGGCCTTCTCCAATCTGGAATACAGATCTCAATGATATTGCTCGGAGATTGCTCATTGAACGTCGTTGCGTGAGTGAAAATAATTTTAACGAACCGAGACGTGAAGATAAAAACTTGACCCTGAGAAGTAATTATATGGGTCGTTGCTATAATCCTGCTAAAAATTTGCAAATAAATGTCGAAGGTTGGGGATGTTGTGACAAAACTGACAATGAACTTGGAGACGAGACTAAACATCATAAAATTCTGTCAGAAAACCGACTTTATGACGTCAAAAACAACGAAAATAATAACGACGACATATTTTCGTCTTCTTCCGCTTCAACAAATACTTTTTCTACTTGTGATAATTTAAATATTTCATCAAAATCTGATATTTTAAAAACGGAATCTGATGACGATACTCCCGATGAAGATGACGATAGCCAAGAACACAAAAGCGAACCGTTTTTGAAATTTGGTGTAAGAGCAATTCTCGCCAAAAAATCTCACAAAGAATCTAATTCTGGTGTTTTGTCAGGTTAGTTATATTTTATGTCATCCATTTTTCGACTCATAGAACTTCTAACTACAAACGTTATCAAAAGATCCAAAAAACTTCATTGAGCATGCCCCAGATCCAAGAGCCCTTCATGTCCATTAACATTCTCGACCATGGCTGAAAAGATAATATCTTCTATCGCGCAATCATTTTAGTTAAAAACAGTTTTGAAAATCAAATATCAATAAATATAGGTATCTAAACTTGTTCCAATTGTTATTACAATTTTTAAGACGATTTTTTCAAGCTATTTTTCAGGTGAATAATGAGTAATTTTGTTGTTTTACACTTTTTCATATACAGTTGATGGGTTTGATATAAAATTAACAGGAATGATGGTTCGAATTATTTATTCCCGTTTCTGCTTGTATTTTTTTGTTTCTCTATACATCCATCACATTTATGGTTAAAATAAATCGGTCGGTATTCTGGCAATTCGAACAGGGCAGGCATGAAAACTTTGCAAAATTTGCACTAATATTTTCTCTTTCCGGTCGAAGTAATGACATTTGAATTCGTTTTTAAAAAGCCAAACTTCGATATTCAAACGGAGCCATATTTGTACTTATAACTTTTTATGTTCTTTATATATCTATATATACTTAAAAATTTTGTGCAAATCCGTTTGGTATTCGATAGCTTATTGCGTTAAAGTTGCTTCCATCTAAAAATATTAACCGTAAATTAGCTGCGCTTTTAAAAATCTCCTTATAATTTTAAAACACGAGATATACTTGTAGTAAAAGGTATATATTGTGTGAGTTTTATGGCATAAGTATTGGTCCATATCCGCCATGTCAGTTTAAAAAGCGTTTGAATGATGAATTCCATTGTTGTCGTTTGGGACATGTATTGCCAACTTCAGTATACATAATAAGGCTTAAGCAAACACCTTCTTTCCACACTTTTAAAAAAATAACGACAAAGTTTACCATTTCTATTATGAGCAATAAATTAACCGTGCACATAGCGCGTGACTCTACACAACTATGGAAGAAAATTCGTGCTACTCGGCTCCTAAATCAATCCACAAGTTATAAAGTTACTTCACTAAATCACGTTCAAGTAAACAATTGTTTTGAAAGCAAGTGCCGAAACGGACTAAATCCACAAAACACTATTTCGTGTCTCGCAATTCTGGTCATGTTTTCAAGGCTAATTTAACACGATTGAAATGTGTTTTTTATTTGAAATTTTTTGTCACATTATTTTCTATTGTGAGAGAAAAGAGTAAATTTATATACATTTATCGGTCAACTCGATCACTTTAAATAAATCAACGATCTTTAAACTGGTTGCCCCAAATCACCATAATTATATGTTTAAAGTAGCTCTCAAATCGCAAGCATAAAACATTTTTGTAAGTAAAAATGAAGACAAATTTGTTGAGAATGTAGCAATTTTTTGTTTTCGATTTATAATGCTACCAATAATGAAAGTTGCAGCATGGGATTCATGACAATGAAGACTAAAGAACTCATATATAGCAATCAATTTTACATTTATGCAGTTACATTAACTTACCCATGTCAATCTAATTTGAGTTCTACTACTTTAAATAAAATTTCAAAGAAAACAATCCGCTTAGTATGACATGGGTTTATCTAATACCAAGTAAATTTAGGTTATATTTTTCTTCAAACTGTTTTGATGAGTTGACTGTTGTCTCGTCCAATATTTTTGTTTAATTAGTATCCATTTTAGTCTATGAGTAAAACGACGATCGTTTTAATTAACCGTCTACAATTTCAATGTCCACTACATTGTCGAGACAGCCATACTACGGTATAAGGTTACAATCCCACGGCTTCAATGACCCTTGCCTTTCTAGGTAAGCAGTATATACGTCTTTTCATCAGGAGATGGGTTGAGAAGCTCTCTACTGGAATCAACACCAAATGCCATTGACCATTTGTTAGCCCTCCGTCACGCCATGCCCCTAAATTCACAATACGTCATTAGCTTTTTAACCTTGCCGTGAAACTGACCTCAAAGGGTAAAACTTTGGCAGATGCCTCAAGTAGACTTGTTTCCGTTTTCGCTAATTCGTACCTACCGCTTGTTAAAGTAGGCCGACTTTCCTGTTGTGACATTTTTGTTGAACTTCGATTGTAATTTACGCATTGCCGTATTTAAATCACATATAATCGTTGCCAGAAACGATCTCGTACTATTCTAGAGTATATACTGGTCGACATATTAGTGACAATGAGTGTAGTTCATTATAAAACATATATTGATTTTCAGTTAATCTTCTACAAACAAAAACTAATTTGTTGGATATGAATCTTCTTGACATTTCTTTGAACAATTTTTAGCAAAATTTTTTATAGTAAATCAAACTTGAATCGAGCATAAAATGATTACCTAAGCAAAGTGCAATTTCGCGACAAAAACGTAAAGTAAGCACTTTTTAAACAAACAAAACCAAAACGCAATAAAACGTGGAATTTAGGCAAACAACGTGTCAAAAAACATCACTCCAAAAACCAACTGACAAGTTAACTAAGCCCGCTATAAATGACACACATCGACACCGATATTTAAATTAGGTGTGAAAAGCAAACTGAAACGTCTCAAGGCCGCGGGAGGAGCCATATTGCGGTTACGCTACGATACGCGTGATTGAAGCAAAGATTCTAACAAGGATTCCTTGAACAGATTAATGCAATTGCCTTGTCAAAACAAGCTCAAGTTTTTCATAAAAAAACTTATATCACCTTCGTCGGTTGCAAGTACATACCATGTTTAAAATGGCGTCAAACTTAACCACTTTTACAGCTAATACAAATTCTCGGCAATGTACAATTTCAAAGTTTCTAACGAACATGAAATAAAAGAAAATGCATCATATAATCTACTTATGTCTGCTGAGTTATTTCAATTTTTGGATAAATTTTTATATGCTTTGCAGATTTTTTTGAAATGTCAAATTATTGATTTTTGCAGGCACCAAATCAAGTCCATCTCACATTCCACCCACCTTACCATCTCCTCAGCAATTTGATCCGATTGATCAATATAAGAGCTACTTCCAGCAATTCGCTTTTCCTCTTCATCGAACTACATTTGGATGTAAGCTATTTTTATATTTTTATAAAATGCTTTATAATTGTATTCCCGACAAGTCATACTGCACGATGCATTTACACATCTTTCTCCCCGAATAGGGCTCTGAACAACACTCCACATACACAGAAGTAATTTTAATTTGGTACGATCGCAGTATTTTCAGATTCGGCATTGCCTACCGAGTGAGTATGGATTTTGGACGCGACGTCTTACCCTGCGATGCCGTTATAGTTAATTCTACCGCTTTGAAGGACAGTGCCAGTGCGCAACTTCAATTTCATCATTTGTAGTTAATCTCATGTAGGGTATATAGAAAACTACGCAACGAGTTTTGTTTTGTGTTACTCCATATGTGAAAAAGTTACTTTTGTCTTATTTCCCCATCACAATTATTATTACGCAGATGTAGTTCAGATTCGCTATTTGGTCTATCAACTTGTGGTTCAAACTAAAAATAATTATTCTAAACTTTTTATCTTTTGATAAATGACGATTTTTAGTAATCTGATTATTTTAGATTTGTCTTTATAGAAAACGTACATTATGAGTATGAGTGTTTTCAATAACATTAATATGTATAAATTGGAGACTATTGAAAGAAGTTGATAAAGTGAGAAAAAAATTGATATTTCTATCTAATGGATATCAAATTTTAGTTTTTTAATTCATTCGTCAGATTTAAAAAAATTCGAAAACAATCTTTCTTGTTTTCTAATGGAATTCCGAGGAAATTGGGGTTAACCTCAATGTTTGTTCAGTCGCTGTTTGTTTGAAAAATAACAGAATTTCCACATCGTCTACTTTTTCTCACTAATAACGTACAAGTAAGTAACAGCATCTGAAATAAGAGCATTCCAAATTGAAATCCAAACCACGCCAAGGTGGTTAAAAAAGAATCTATCTAAGTATAAAAAATAAATAAGTTATCAAAAACCTGATCGTAGCGCAGTCAATTGTTTTTCTGAATGAGAATTACCGAACAAAAAAATTCCTATGGCAGATGAATTATTCGTCGAGATTCGGTTTACATTTTTTTCTGAATTTCCGAATTACATAGTTAAAAAACATCCTGAATATCATTTAGTCATGATATTTGTACGAAAAGATGGTCAAAAAAAACTAATTTCACTTAAATGATTAGGTTACTGTGGTGCCCAAGATTACATGAGTGTAAATAAAATCATTGGAATCACCCTTACCCAACGTGGGTGTTATCCATTTGTAACTTTAATTTAATTAATTAATCAAAAAAAATCACAAAATATTATATAGAAAATTAATGTATGTATGAGCAACGTTTATGTTAAATAACATAGGGTGTCCATAAAGTCTTACATTTTTTTTTAATTGCAAGAGAATTTATCGATGCCATATATTGTTTTGACCCTCACAGATGTATTGAAGTAAAAATACTTGAACAATTGCTGATTAAAAAAACAAACCTGGTTAAGATATATTTAGAACTGACTTCGTAACAAAATTGAAATTGTAAAGAGACTTTATATAAATGAGTTGTACAAGTAATCGAAAAAAAGGAATACAAAGTTATACAAAATTTAAGAGTATTGTACAATTTTTGCAGAAATTGTGTTACCTGGGAGTTGTTGAATTCATTACCACACTAATATGCTTCATTTATAAAATACCTGTACTTATTTAATTTAACTCATATTTTGACTTTTTACGGACTTTTGGTGCTAAACATCATATATTATAGACTACAAATATTTTTATTAATTATGATGAAGAAAACTATTCTATGGTATTTTAAAATGTACTTTTAATTTCAACTGTATTATTTTGCCGTGATATATGGCAAAAGTGGATTACTAAGATGAAATATACGTCACTTCAATGGATTCTTTTGTGTCGTTTGCGTAGAAAGGTAATAATAATCGGAAAAGTTAATATAACATGATGTAATTTGCTCATATCTCAGTCAAAAAGTCGACATCAAAGCTAGAAAGCCGACATGTTCTATTGTATTAGATAATTCTTCCCAAATAAAGCGGTGTGTTAGACAAATATCTAAATCCTCTCTCACAATGTTATCACGCTCATAGTCATCTTACGTAAATCTTAGATAGACTGCCTTCGAACTACTGTTGAAAAATAAAAAAAATTATTGGAATTTTGATGGATTACCGGATGTGAAAAACGTCCCGCCATGCGAATAAAATATGGTAACAAATTAAATTCTTGTAACAACAAGGGTTTCAAGTGAAAAAAGCTTAGGAATAACATTTACGTTTATTCCTATTTAAGAAAAAATTTAGAAAAATAAATTCTAAAACTCCGTAAAGGGTGAAAATGTCTTAAATAAATTCTGAATTTTCGAAAATATGGAAATATAACTTACAGAAATAGAGAAAAATATAAGCTGAAAATATGACTGTAATTATAAAATCATTTTCTAATCGTCACAAAAGTAAACTCGCACTGATTACGGTTATTTATTTACAATATGTGTCTTTATGAAAAACATAATTTTTGTTTATTGCTCATAATATCGGGTATGTTTTTTAAAAAAAATTGTTATAATATACTCGTATAATTTAAGCGAATACATCACCGCTTTCTAGAATACGCGAAAATAGTGACTATAATACGTTTCCCATGTTAGAAATATAAGTTTTGACCATATTTGATCCGGCACTTATTATAAATATACTGCATTCTACAGAAGCGAATTATTTCTCGTCTTTACTCAACTAACTATTGATGAGTAGTTTTGTTATTTTGTTGTTTGAGATTTTGTTCTTATATTGACATGTTTTGAGAAAAAGACATGCTAATCAAATAATTCAATGAAATTCTAGCGAGAAGCCAGAATTTTCTCGTTTAGAAAGCACTCAATAATCGGAAAGGACAGATTGTATTTGGGCAATGGCTTGAAAATACAACATAGCAATGCTCAAATATAGGAATACGTCAAGTCAACTAGAAAAATTTGCCATTTTTTCTCTCTAAGTTACCGAGAAAAAATCGGTAGGATTATTATCGGATCGGCATAGTAAATAAACATAAGATTTCAAAACTCAGTCTAAGCTAGGGTTTTGAGGTTCTACTAGCTAGATCGGCCATACACCAAACATGACATCTTGTTCACAATATATAGAAATTATTCCCTGATTTTGTTACATCTATCAAAAGTTCAATCGAGTCATCCAAATTGAAATGTCTTTTTTTTGAAAAACATATGCCATTAATCCTAACGCATACTTTTTGGTCTGCATTTCTCTTATTAAACTGAAGGAATCTTAATCGAACCACATTTGATTGACCGTGGTTAAATACCCGCCCATATGGAGATACAATATTCTGGGTTTAAGCACAAGTAAATAAATAAATAAATACCACAACTCTTCAAGCTTCATATAACTAATTAAAATAATTTTCATCGAGTAAAAATTCGAAATTTTGCATCGCACAATATTACCGATATGTATCCATTATTTTGCCGTTTCGATCACGGCTGATATACTTTACTAATCGTTGCGACAGAAAAGTGGATGCAAAATGGCGGTGCTATAGTTTTACAAGCATACGCGTGATTTACGGCAAGTGACACCTGAAGATGCCATAAAATATCACTTTATTAATGTATATTAAAACGCACCTGTGACATTAGCTGAAGCTACGATTGAGTAAATGTTATCGCAAACAAATTTTATAGTTTAATTTACGTTCTACATGCTTTATACTAATTTTATTATTGTGTTAATAAAATGCCCTAAGCCAATACATATTTGAATTTCTAATATAAATATTTATTATGTTAGCTTGAGTTGGTTTAACTATTTTAGAATCACACATCTTGGAATCAATTTCTCTTTTCCCATGCAAGCCATCGATGAACTCCAGAATATAAATGCTAAACGAATGTTTAAAAATATAAAAACTAGTGTCGAACAATAACTATTCGAGTATTTGAACTAGTTCGCATAGTCTCAATGTCTCAAAGAATATCAAATCCCACCTGTCCGAGTTGAAACTGCATTTTCAATTATAAGTAACTGAAGGAGACATTAAAAAAAAAATTCCAAACTTTGTTTTGCAGTGCGAGTTATAATTTCAAATATCCTGATCACCAAATATTTTGGAGGATTACAGGCCCTAGGTTGTGTTTCTAGTTCCTTTATGTGATGTTTTAAATCTACGCTGCAAACAAGAATATATAAAAGCAAATAGTTAAATGTAAGAATCTGTGCTAGATTTTGAATATTTATTTTCGACCTTATACAGCCTACTGCATTATTTACGTCGTAAAAAAGCGGGACATCAGATTTAGTTGTGAAATATTTTAACGGGGTTGAATGTATTTTTCAGTACCGCATCACAATGTGGGCGAAATAGTTCCTTCCTATTCGTGGCTTCCTATAACAACAAGAGGAAAACCTAGACGAGGAATGCTACGAAGAGCTGTCTTTTCTGACCATCAACGAAAATCATTAGAAAAGAAATTTCAGCAGCAGAAATACATTAGTAAACCGGAAAGAAAGAAACTTGCAAATAAACTGGGTCTAAAAGATTCACAAGTACGTTTATTTACAAAATGTATAAAGATTTATGACTTCATAAATGATTGATTGCGTGTTTCCGAAATATTATAATAACCACTTTCTGATACTGAAGCGTATTGTTGTTGTGCGATCATACGATATTGGAAACTAATTCCAGAATTACGATAGTTCCAGTTTCACCATATTGCCCAGACAAAGAAAAGTATCGCCCTGTATGTAAATTGTTTCTTTATCGCATTCAACAACGACGCAAAATCCAGAAAAATCCAGTATTTAGGGATATGGAACTTACACGATTTTATTTTTTGAAAATATTTTTAATAAAACTAATAGAATACGCAGATTATTAGTCAATAAAATATCTTTAAATTCAAAACTTCGAATAACTTAAATATAGTATAAATGTTTTGTGAAGTAGAAGATCAATCGCAGATTTGTTCCTATACTCAATCCTAACACGGTAATTTGTTTGTTTCCATTAGAAACATAATATCTCGAATGAACTGGAATGAGACCATAATTTTACCTCCACATAAAACAGGATTTTGTTATTTGAGGCGGTTTTGAGACGGTTTCGGTCTCCTACAACAGGAGACTTAGAAAACATAGATACCTCAACATCTCTACTTTATACATCCATTCAGAACTCAATATTTAACAATTTATAGGTTAAAATCTGGTTCCAAAACCGAAGAATGAAATGGAGAAACACAAAAGAGCGGGAACTCCTCGCAAGTGGTGATGGAAACCGCAATTCAACTATTCCTCATAAAGACAATCCGAATCCCGATCTTACAAACACGAAAATCGAAACAGTAAGGGTACACACTTCTATTGTGGACGACAACGAAAAATCAATGTCTACTGCTGGTGAATCAGTGTGCCATTTATCCAAGCCTCTAGTAAATGGTGTGAACCCGGAAGTGGCACCCAACTATGACGAACCGGAAACGTCAACTTCTAGTAGTTTTCTAAAATTCTGTCAACGATATGAAGGAAATCCAATCCCGTAGATAACTTAAAAATAAAACCGAGCACAAAAGACAGAGCCAACGTTGGCAGTGGGCGAAGGTAAACTTGAACTTAAAGCCAAGCAACCAGATGCTGAATCAACATTGGTATTCTGATATGCGTGTTGTAAAAATCATAGAAAACTTACTATATCAATCATTACACCACTGTAACGCCACCAACATCTTAAATTAGGATATGTGTTAAGAGTTGGATTTGACTTTTAAAGTTGACGAATGTTATTTTTATACATAAAAATATATTTTGACTTATTTTGTATATTTTCTGCTACTTGTGCTCACAATATAATTGAGTTATTTTTCGCCTAAAATTGGAGTTTCCTGTAAAAAAATTACAAAAAACCTTGGCAAATGATCGTGTACATACAAATCATCCAGTTAGTTGGTTCATATTCACAAAATCTGCTTTCGTTGGTCAATATAAAAAGTTTCGAAGTTCGTTAATGAGAAAACAAACGCTGCTCATGTAGCGCGCTGTGTGACAACAATGGAATTTTGATGATAAAATAATGCCACAGTCAAATTTCAGTAAATGTGTCGCGCTTTTGATATAGGGAGATTGGTTGTACTATAAACCATTACAATGCTGCTTTACATTGCTTTTTTATATGATGTAGTGATAAGAAAATGTCCATGTAGAGCATTATTTCTACAATACTTCCGAACTTTGAACTCTTGAAACGAGGACCACGAGTATCGAATATGTTCCTAATTTAAGTCTACATTCTATTGTATATATCTTGTTATTTAGAATTGTCGATGCAAAAATTAAATTTTGTAATAAGTGTCTTTAAACTACTACCGGGAAGTTGAAAAATTTTAGGTAAATGGTAAAAAATTTAGAATAATTGATTTTTGTTACAAAGAAAACTGTAAAATATGACAATTGATTTCTGTTGATGGATGCAGTGAATTATAGTTACACAAATAAAAATAAACTAGACCCTTTATTCTTTTATAGAGAAAAATACATGCGCTATATGATGCTCATGTCATATGTGTAATACTTTTGGTTCAGCCTTTATCTACATGAGGAACGATACCAAAATGAACAGATTATCGCTTTAAATGAAAGGCTTATATGAGTTTTTTCAAAAGTTCGTTTCCATCTTCATAACCATCATTCTGATCCAAAATGATAAAACATCTTTCATTTGAAAGTACAGTACTAATAACAAATTTTAGCTTAGTCTATCCCAACTTTTTATGAGCTGGTTTTCGATTATTGCTACTGAACCAACAGTTATAGGAAGGCAGTACGACAATTATATGATTTATTCCCAAATTGAGGGGACACAACTAAAAACTAACAAATTGGTGGAAAAACCACAAAACAAAAATGAGCTTAGATTTACAATCATATCAGAACACTTGACTGAACGGCCGCTAATCTTCCAATAATTACACCACCTATGACATCTTGCGGATTACCCAACGTTACCGAAGTAACCAAGGAAGTCGATGCCCTGAGGAACATCCATTATTGTAGCCTACATGGAAGTTAAAAATATATAAAAACATCATTTGTAATATACACCTCTGTCAATTTGAGGCGACATCAAAAGAAATGTTCTACGAGAACACATTGATTGACTTCTGCTGCACAATTACCATGTATGTAGGAAATTAGGTGTAGAAATGTTCTCTTCATTTGTGCAAGAAGCATGAGTGAATGGTTAGGATGTTGGAACGGTAGAGCAACAGGGATGACAGTATTGTCAAATTGGTAAATCCTAGACAAATAATCGTCGAGTCACTGTCATAGAATTGCGACTGTCACTGTCTTCTGAAACGTGAAAGATGCCGAAGTAGAAGAAAATTGACGGTTTCAACGTCAATTTCTCCGTTGGTGAGCTCTTCGATTCGAAGCAGCATTGAAGTGATTATATATATAACTGGTTAATGGCTGTTGCTGTTAGTCATGGGCCCTCGTATGCATATTACTGAGAATTGTTCTGTTTTTTTTTTATTATTAATATAAAGCAGATTTAATCTGATGAAAATATATAACATAAAACACTGCCAGAGAGGTTGGAAATGGCAGAAGAGATTTTTAAAAATCGGCCACTATTTTACCAATCAAAATGAAGAAAATTCTGACTACCAGCAAAAAGCGAAACGTAAAAAGATAATCTACAATTGTGAGGTATGTGGCAAGGAATCTCAGAATAACATCATTATTTCCGACATCAACAGGTCCATTCAATTGAATAGCACATAAATGCGAATTGTGTTCGAGAAGTTTTTCAACTAAAGATAGTCTACAAGTACAAGCACACATATATTGACATACTGGACAGTTGCCACATAAGTGTGTTCACTGTGACAGGGGTTTTCGAAGCAAGTCAAGCCTAACGGCACACGTTAGGGTGCACATTGGCCATAAACCTCACATCTGTAATATATGTGGGAAAGATTTTATACCCGTGCCGACCTAAGAAAACATCTACGAAGTGACACACATTAAATCATATAAATGTGAAGAATGTGGGAAGTGCTTTGTTGATAAGGGGGGTTTGTGTAAGCATGTTGTCATTCGTCTTAAAGAAACAGAATTTAAATGTGATGAATGTGGCGAAGATATGGAAAACAAACAAAAAAAAACACTGAAGGAGCATATGCAACCCATGCAAAGGAAAAGCTATTTTCCTGCACAATTTGCTCTGCTTTATTTGTCAGAAAAAAGGTTCGAAAAACTATCTGATATGTCATTCAAACAAAAGACCATTTCCATGTGTATGTATGTGAAATTCAAGAGCTCATTAAAAGGCCATTTTTAAACTCATCTGAAACTGCATATTAAATCCATGCATACAGTGATTCGTGAATTTGAATGCACAGTTTGTGGTAGAAAAGTTCTACATCCCATATCACTTCGCAGCCATATGAAAACGCATTGTGATAATAGGCCATTTTATTTTGAGATATGCGGGAAATCATTTCAAGAATAAACATCTTTAAAAATACATCGACGTATACACATGAGTGAAAAACCCTTTTCGTGTGAAACATGTGGAAAACGATTCAGTCAAAAAGGGGGTCTGGTGATTTTAATTGTGTTGATCGCAATTGCTGTTTATAAGTGTAGAGTGATATTTCGAAAAATCTACCGGAAGTGGAATCATAAAATATGTTTGTCGTCATTTGGTGTGTCTTGTCGCATTGTTGGTTTTGTGTTGATTTTTAGTAATAGTGTCGAACGGGTTCAGTAACCGACAGTACCACGAGGAAGCAGCTGATGACACAGTTTAATTATACGGTCGAGCATGGACAGTCGTCAATTCATTTCAAAGAAGGGCACGCGATACCTAGGCAGTTGTCTTTGAATTGAGCGAAGTCAGGGAACGGAAAGCGCAATAAACGTGCTGTCACGCGAAGCTCTACCTCACAGCGAGGGAGATCTTTTATTACCCTCTCCCGGAGATTCTGATAGTAGTTAGCGAAGTCCTGGCGGTACCACAATTACCGTGAGTTCTTCCGACTCTTTGCAAGGTTAGATAAATTACGTATAGGATAGGATTTACATATATATCGCGGGGTGAGCAAAGGCGATGCGATGGCTTAATTGGTGACCGTACATTTAAACCCACGTACATTTGAACCCATACATTTGGACCTGTATATCCGCGGTTCAATCTACATGAGGGTGCTAAAATCCATGGGTTAAGGTTAGCATGGGTTCAAATACCCGTAAGAAAAAAATTCCATGCAATTGTCGTGCGTTCAAATTACGGGTTCAAATGTACGTGGGTTCAAATGTAATGAAACCGGCTTAATTATATGGCGAACTGCGGCCTCTCGTCCGGATACCAATACATGTCGGGTTATGGTATTAATCAGCCAAAACAGTTATTTGTTTTCAGATGCACGGACTTAAGGGTGTAGGAAGCCGTAACCGGCCAGCGGTTATGTGAACCACCCTACACGCCGAGTCACATGGACTACTTTCGATTGCTTTTGATGCACAAGTGAAGTCACAAAGAAGGAGATTTCGTTGTTTATATAATATCGAAGCGAGGCAGCAATATTTAAATATTCATGTTGTGATATCGGCGTGTTTGTAATAATAACATTATAGGTATAAACATATATATATTTCAAATAGGCAGGATAAAAATTAAAACGATTAATTTTAGAGTCAAATGTTTAAGTGTTTCACTGTTTATCAAATGTTTAAGTATTTCACGAATAAAATTTTCTTGACATAAATATTTATGGTTTTTTAAACACATTGAAAATTGAGAAAATCATTAGATTCACTACCTAAACATACAAATAGGTGGCAGGACGTACTTGTATCTTAAAGTATAATAATTAGGTACTTTCGTATTTTCGGGTCGTAACATTTCGCTTGTGTGAGAAACAAAACTTGTGTGGGGCCGGGAGCTTGATCTCGAATATCCAATCGGTACCTGAGTTACAAGTTTATTATCGTACATAAAAGTTTTGTATTCCTCTGCTTCTTCGATAAGTAAAGATTTAGATAAAGTAGGTTTGACGACTTCATGGCGTCTATTTTTATTTTGAGATATTGATACTCTTGTTAGAGGTGTCTGTACTCTCTTTTCCCCAATTGGTGCGCTTGTTACATTTCGATGTCCTTCCATAGCTTTACTCTCATTTTCTAAATTGAAAGATGTTAAATAACATAAAAACACTTCCACAATTTTGTAAAGCAATGAAACGTATTTTGTTGCATTTCTTGCATTTTCGCTATCGGTGGAAGATCTTATATTCGCGCCTCTTGTCCAGGCTACCAATTTATGGATATTACAATCAGTTTCATATACTTTACGACAGGAGTCGGCAACCTTTTGTCGCTCACGGGCCAGAATCAAGGGTTACAAGTCATTGTCGGGCCGCACATATTTTTAAAAAGTTGAAAACCCACGGGTGATACTTTTTACAATAAAAATAAAGCAGTGATAAATCTCACGAATAGAATATAGATTTATTTTCTCATTGCAATGCATCTCAAAAAATTCCACTTGAATATTTCCGGCGCCATTGAACCATTTGCACTTAGTATCAACTTTTCTGCGTTTTGGTACCATTTGTGCAATTATAATTAAATTATACGCTCATTAAACGAGTAATTGTGAATTATATACTTGTTAGGTTGTAATATAATCTAGTCTACACGTGTCTCACAATAAATTATGTTACGTAATGAATATAATCGTCAAAACAGCTGTTTTATTACTATACTTCAGTAAAGCATCGCGGACCGGGTTATATTACTCCGCGGGCCGGATCCGGCCCGCGGGCCGTAGGTTGTCGACCCCTGCTTGACGACGTCGCCCTATGGTACAACGACGTAGAGGTCTTTCAGTTTGCAAAATAATATTTTAGAAATGCCAATATAAATACACGTTGCCAAAGTTCAAACGCTCGACGCTCTTTTTTGTTTAAAAATCTAAATATATATAGAAGTTTAATTTATGTTGACTTGAATGTCCACTGTCGGTGGCACAGGCCACCCAGTCACGTTTGATTGTCGTCAACGGACTGTCGTGTAGTTACTAGTCCATGTCTTTATGGGATCAGTTAATCAAATATACGACACATATTTTATCAACGAGTGTTTCACGGCCAATTATAGTATATATACAATACAATATATATAGTATATATATTGATTTGAATTAAAGGTTACCTGATGCATCAAAAAATATTCGGTTCATGTTCGAACAGAATAATATATAATGAACTAGTAAAATAAAATTTTGTACACTTGCCATTTTCATTTCCGTTTTCTACTTTTCTCTTTTTCGCTTTTCTTCCAAGGAAGTGTTTCAGTAAGACAGGCCTTTCTCCCATTATCATGCCATACATGACGCAACATGTAGGTCTTGTTTCAGGTACAGTCTAGGAATGAAATTAGTTTAGGTATTTCATAGAGAATTTGGATTTTTGTGCGCTTTTATATCAGTATTTTAAGTGACACCGATGCTGCAAACACATACAAAGTCGCTTACCTTAGGACGACTTTGAATATTTCTCATTCTGGCAGGGTTTGATCGATACGTTCGCCCAGTAGTTTGCCTCATATTCATCGCCCAATCGTACGCGTTGGTACTTGCCGTATTGTGATAATTAAATTGTCTGAAAGACAATATTTTAGAACAAATTACGGAGATAAGAATGAAAATATTACTTTTAATAGGGCATTTACTAAGAACGGTCAGCAAAACTGAGAATAGGCTACATGGTTCGCCATAAGAATAAACGGCGTGATCCACTTTGTGAATTGAATACGGTTATATTTATACCAACAAACAAACCTTTCAAAATCATTTTCTATCTTCAATTGGATTTTCTTCAACTTATTATCTTCGAGCCGATTCACTCTCAACGCGCTTTGATAAAACACAGAATCAAGCAGTGAAGTTGTCGGTTCTTTCTGCTTTTGTTGAATTCTGGTGCTCATGGCAACTGTACGGTAATTTTTAACAGTCAGCCTATAATGCTATTCTAGTAATTTTATTTTCCTAACAAAATAATACCCTTAGTAAAAATAAGCTTAACTTCAAACTGCTAGCCATTTTAAATGGGTGAACCGATAATAAACTAGTTTAGTCTAGCGGCCTAAATAAAGATCAATTGTTAGAAGAATAAAGCAAACAATACGCCAATTCATAAGCACGGCTATCCTAAGCTTTCGACAACTTTATACGTGATTAGATACACACGTTCAGCAATCATAATATCCACTTCACATTGTTTGGTCTAACTCGGAATCTATGCTATATTGAATTCGTTATCGGGCTTGAATAGAAGGCTACATCGCTTAGTTTGGCTTCTAATCGCGTTGTCAGTAGAGCTTATTTGCAGTCTATTAGTTACAACGGGTGTCGTGTGCTGTTCAATGTTTCGCATGGTATAAGTTACATTAAATTAAGACAGAACCCTCTTATAAGTTAGGCTTTCCGGCGTGTATTTATATTCATTTTGGACGAAATGATAAAGCCGCTGTTCCGGTATATACTGGGACATGATGTATGATATCCTGCCTGAAATTATTAGTCTAATCCTGTCCACTGATGTAGTCTGTTTTAGTGGGTATGTTGCAGGATCCCAAGAGAGCGTTGATCTCACTCAAATTCGATCGCGATAGTACCTCATACAACTTAGTTTAAATGGTTGGCATCTTTCTTGTCTATGAAGTCTTGGTAAATGATTCTTCGTGTTTACTATGTAACAATACGCTGAACTGTTTCGTTCAGTCTTTTATTTACAATGGAACCATATCGCTTGACAATTGTTATTTATGTATCATTGGAGACTAATTAGGTGATATAACAATACAATGGTATTTAAAAGGAAACTATATTTAAATAGTGATATTTGCTACAACCCGATAAAAGGCACCTTTCACAAGTATAGATGCAATATATGAAAGTTTTATTCCCCATGTACAAAATACCCTTTTGGTTGGCATTTTAACGTTCGCCTATAACATTTGCTCGCATTGGCCTAGAGACAAATCAAAATAATGCAGGCGCCTATCAAGGCAATACAAAGCTGAAGTATCCTTATAATTTTGTTGCGTTCACCCCGACGAAGAACGACTCAATCATATAGAGAAGCCCCTAATTTTGTTACTAGATCAAACTAGCCAAATATTCTAAACCAAGTTATCTTTCCTGATGGGTGGACATAGCATTCGGATAACACTAAAGGTAAAACACCAAGATATCCACCAATTGGCGTTGAAGCCTTATTACTCCACAGAAAAGCCACGATAAAAATAAAATTTTGTCTGAACCACAAATATTCCTGGGTAAAATCTGTACGTGGTTTTAAAGACAAGGAAATTGAAATTTCAAATGGAATTCTTGATACCAATACTTCCGATTTGTGAAACAACTCTTCGAAAAATAATATCATAAGACACAATTCATCATTCGATATTAGTTCTCAGGAAATAAGCATCGGTATACCCCACTTTAATCAATAATGAAAGCCTCACAACATCATGCAATTTTTATTTTTAAAAACCAAATTGACAAACACGATTGAATCATTGCATGTATAAAGTAAACGTGCCACATTCCAATCCCACAGACACCATATTCCCAATATGTGTGCGCATACAGGACAACACAAATATAAGTGATAAAATAAGCACAGTGGTACAACAACGATACACTCTTACAACAGAGCTTGAAGATTATATTTAACATATATTTCGAAATACTGAATTTTATTTGCCAACTCTCATTTCAATTACAGCATATATAAGGAGAACTAAAAGAAAAATCGCAATATAGTTTATACAGCATCTCTGACACTCAGTTAATAGGCTCCACACCATAGAAGTCACTTCTCCAGAGACTTAGAAAGATTTATTATTAGTTGTCATCCAAAAAAAGTACATTTGTGAGTTGTGACTAAACGGGTTATTATTATTACATGAATTCTGATGTGGACTGAGAGACAGCAATACGACCTGACTGAATCTTGAAGTCATCTGCCGGGCTGTTAGAATTTAATAACCTATAAAGAAAAGCCTGAAAATATCAGACATTCAGTATATGATAATGTTACAAATACTAATTCTGGAAGGTATCAAACTACTTAAAATATTGGCACTGCATCGAGAATAGTCTGTACCTTAGAGTATATAAAAAGTAAAAAGGACACTTCAAATTTTATACGTAAAAATAGCAAGAAAGAAAACGCAACAAATCATCTACATGGCAATGCAATATGGAACATTATATGGCTTCACCATTCGCCACTCACAAAGGCACACATGATCGCACCCTATGTTTTAAATTTCAGTTTCTTCTTCGTCTTCTGAAGCTGACGGCCGACCTCTGACCTCCTCATACCATTTGTTGGTTAATTGTTGCATTTGAGTTCTATTTCTAATCAATTCCTGTGAAAAGAGATGGAAACAGGCATTCGAGTATATGATTTCATTCTGATGAAGAGCAATGTCAGCAAGACATACCAAGCCTCTCATCCTGCATCAGAACAGTGATGAAAATTAAAACTGACCAGCCATTATATGTACGATAAGGCTGGTAATATCAGCAAAAACCATTAACTTGACAAAATATATCTTGAGTTACTATCATGGATTTATGCAGCGGTTTTACTTTCGAGTTTCCAGGTGCTAACCAAATACTAATCATACCAACTTCATTACTCTTTGCAATCATTCACTACCCAAGATCAATTAAGTGATAAACGAACGGGCTAACTATTCTCAACTGTAGTCAACACCCTGTACGAAAGGGAAGAAAAGTACAACAAACTTGCACATTGCAAAACCCACACATTTGATCTGTAGAACAGGCTCTCTCTCAGTCTCACCCTTTACTTATTTATAAATGTCAGTTTACCCCTCTTGTGGACTGTTTATGATATCGCACTGTAAGTAAACTATGAAATATAGCACAGAGGCTAGAAGTCTCTGCAGCAAGAGCATATTAGTATCTATTCAACAAAAGTACTTCTATGCTGTCAACAGCCACATTTGGCCTTGTACCCCTAGTTGAGAATCGCTGCTGTAAGTATGTGTACCAATATGGAGTTAACTAATTTTGTTCGCCTACTTTACATCAAGTTGTGTAAAGGGACTGAAACCTATGGGCAGGGGGTATATCCATTTGGCTAACACAGCCATTCCCATACTCGTGATAGAACTAAAATAAGGGAAATCGGAATAAAATTATGGCCTAACCCTAACCTGGTACACATATTACGGAAGTACCGGCCACCAAGCATAATACATTAAAGTGTCAGGTAAAAAGCCTACCATTTTTGTTATTCTTCTTGTAAAAAACGGCATTAGATATTTTGCATCAAAATATGCAAATCCTTTCAATTCTGGTCTCGCAGAAATATATTTTTCTTCGTATTCTTCTTCCGTTAGCTCAGAAATATGATCTGATTCGATCGCTTTTCCTAACTCTTCAGTTTTACTCATTGTTAAACCGAGTCCGACTGTTTTTAAATCCTGAACTTTCAGACACTGGAATAAATTGTAAAGAGCTTTAAAAATAGAAAAAGTCATTTCTTGGGTAGGACTGTAAAGATAAATGATCAACCCTTACCCTGACAACTGGGAACGTTGCTCCACCAAGTAATAATAAAGTAAACAAAACAATAATTAGAGAAGTTGTAATGATAACTTGACGTTTTTCATCGCTGTCAAGCTCCAGATGAAGACTTAAAACATAACAAATGGCTCCTCTCAAACCTGAAAAAGGATGACATATATTAGAAAACAAAATATCCAAATCTTTGACCAATCGCCATTGTTCTACGATTTCGGGTCACGAAAAGCGAATTACCGTGGGTATATTTCAAATAATTTGGTTATAATAAGTCAAAAAAAATATTTATGAGATATCAACTGCTTGTTCACAACCCCTAATGCGAAGGATTTGATGATGATACTTTTTAATTTTTATAAAAAAAAATGGGAAATTCTGACTAACTAATTTGAAAAAAAGACTCCAAAATCCAGTGAAAACAAGCCAAACGCAGAATCCACAACCCTTCATCAAAGATTGTTAACATTAGTTTTAAGAATTTAAAATAACACATATACAGATGACAATCAGCAAATATTTTATTACTTACCACTGAACCACATGATAAACTGCATTCTTTTTGTTATTTTTGTATCTCGGAAATGATTTAATATCCACGATAAAGGATAAATATTGAGGGCTCTGGCAAGTAACAGGAGAACCTATAGTGAAAGGTAGCGTTCAAATAATAGAATGAGCGCCTTGCTTCATACAGTCATGTAAGTATAATCTGCCAGGATTGAGACAATAACTGTCAATTTGACAATTCTTTCGAACTTCCTGGTGTCATGTTAACAGTCTGAATTTAGGATTCAAATTATGATTATTATTTAAATTAATATGAGTCAAGACTTTAAAAACCGAATAATGAATATTTGTGTGACAACATTATGATTCATATCAGAGAAATAATGATTTTGTTATGAGGCCATAAATCAATAGAAAAATGTGAGGAGGGGCAGCTACAAGAGGTTCTTTTATAACTCAAAACTCCCTAATAATAAGTAGGGGTACCGAACAAAAATTAATATCAATAGACTTAATTAATAACATTGGCAAATGAGGGAAAACCAAAATTTGAAATCATCATCACACATTTTGAACAGAGCTCGAAAAACTATTACGAATCTAATGAAAGAAAGAAACTCGTCCTTTTGCCACAAAACCAAGAATTAAACAAATTGTGATCATGCCGAATGCGTGGCCTAGTGGCTAAATCGTTAGAGACTTAGATATGTTATCATTGAAAGGTAAAATCTCAGGTTCGAATCCCATTCCCATCACCTCACCCAGGGTGTATAAAAATGAATTGGGTAGGTTCTGTCGAACCCCAAATATTCCCGTTCTTCAGGGCAATAGTAGATTCTTACCCAGCAGTCAGCTGCTTGTATAGAGCCTTGTATGAAGTGAAAGACGCACAAAAAAATTTGAATATTCAAATTGAATACAAATATAACATTAAAAAATATTCAGATTGTTAAACTATGAAATTTTAGATTACAACTCACAATACTCCAAATAACAAATGCTGGTTGAAAATTGTGTTGAAAACTGAAGATTGCCATTCCAAGATATGCAAACACACTTGTTTCTGTATAAATTAAATTAAATGTTCCATATTACTACTACTATTATCAATATTATTACTATTCAGTGTAGGAAAGGCTCGAGTAACCATTTATCAAACACTTAGTGGTTCTCAAACTTTTTACTACGCGCTCCCTTTTTGAGAATTTGCCAAGTCTCGCGCCCATCCTCAAAAATAAAGAGCTAACAATAAGCTACGATACAAATAATAGGTAGTAAGGTGAAAGTATGTTTCAGTCAAAAAACCTGTTAAATATCCGCAATAAGGCGGGTGAGATCAAATCAAACAAATATTTTCATTTTTAATTAGCTTCACGCCCTCAAAAAAAGTTCTCATCATACCTGCCATATAAGCCAGTGTTCTGAGAGTCTGCTGAATGTTTATTTGTGTCACGAGTGATAGATTGTGATGTGTATAATGTGACATAACTATCCCAGCAAACAGTATTGCCATTATGCCTGAAAATTGAAAATATTTTAGGAATACATTTGGGAGAAATCATAAAGCCATGGATGGGTAGGATAACTGTACTAGAAAACATGATTTTATACTATTCCGAATACTTTAATATCTCTTAAGATGATTAATAACATAATTTTAAATATTGGAGAGTAATTCTGATCATGTCATTCCCATCCTATGTTTTATATTAAGTAACAAGACCATAATATATGCCAACTTTTGATTTGTAAAATATACCGGTAACATAAAATATAATTTTCTGTTTTAGAAATCCAAATTGAGCATTCGCATGATTTGCGTGTTGTCGATCTTTATCAAAATAACAAGATTTTAACACATTGACCACAGAAACACTATTTCATAAATTTGAAATTTTCAGGAAAATAAATATAAGTTTAATAATAATGTCGATCAGAAAAACATCTTAGTTTCCGTATACACACTGCAATTTAGAAAAGTTCAGTAATCCTCTCACACATTATCACAGTCCTTGGACAAAGGCAATATTATCATAACTTGATTAAATAATATCACAGAAAAAGTGGCACATATTAAAAAAAACATAAAGATGGTATTTAGGCGTATATGGTTGACTAGCATGTTTCTAACTACTGCTCTGTTGACTCTGCCTATGTGTTTAGTATATCTATATCAACCAACTGTAAGGATAATGTAGCAAAAATCAAAACTAACTCAATAATAAATTTCTGTAACTACTATCAAATTAATTTACAAATAATGTCGAAATTGATTATTTTCAAAATAAAACACGAAAAATTATTTGTTTAAAGCAGGATTTGAAAGCAACTAAATATAAATGCAATGGATTACTAAATTAAGTATTAAGACTAACTGCGTCTGCATGACAAGCCTACAATAAATAAATGATTTTCCATTCCACAAAATGTTAAATCTGACACAAAATCAGTTCTAACAAAAGCAAGACTTCAAACTGAACGCAATACCTGAAAATCCAGCTGCATGAACAATAATAGAAAAAGCAGTATGATGTGAATTTATTTATAAAAGCATAGCATTTGTTATTAAAAAATTCAATTGTCTTGTTATCTGGATTTCAGATTTAAGGTGCGGAACGCATAATAAAAATTTAACAGAGAGCACAAAGAAAGTAAATCATAAATCACTAACTAAGAAGCTTAAAAAAACTTGTGAAAAAATCAAGATTTGACCATTTTATCATTGCACAAAATCAAATTCATTGGGATTAAAAGTTATGTTTGTAATATTGACCTTTAAAATAATTGGTAACTTTTTACTTTAGAATTGACAAAAAAAGACTTTTGAATTAGAAATGAGGTTAAATTCACAAACACAAATTAAACAAACCATATAACAACTTACCTGAGAGTTTTAGTCCTTCTGCAAGGCCGTATGGAATATATGAAAATATCAACATCATTCCCATCTCCAAAGAAGGAGTTTTACGTAAATCAACCCACTTCATCAAGTAAAATACAGGTTAAGGAAACTATTCATTTGAATGCGTTGAAATTACCGGTTAAAGTTCAATAAATAAATAAATATTGATGACAAAAATAAGTTTTCATTTTAAATATCAGTGTATTGGATAAAAAACGGTGGAATGGATAAATATATGTCACATTGACACTAATACCACATTGTGTTTGACTAAAGTGATTTTGAAAGTCGAATTCAGATTTAGTAATATATTGATATCATTTACTTCCTCACCGACTCTAGTCTCCTCAACCCTGATCATCTTTTTTTCTACGATATAAAATCTCCGAAATAATAGTTTATGCATTTTGTCCGATTAACGAGCAGGAATTCAAAATAGGTATTAGAGACTAATTTTCAGATTTATTTAAAAAGATAATCCCTGGGTAATTCAATTCAAACAAAAACATTATTTATAAAGTGTTAAGTGATTTGAGTATGATTTGAATTACAAACTAAGCCCGGAAGATAGAAATTGAGTTTAGAAATTGTGGAAAAGGATATCAATGCGCTGATTAAACCCAGCAGAACACCAAGTAACGCAGATCCAAACATCATTCTTAAGAAGTCTGTGATTGCATGAGCGAATCTTGAGGATGTGTCATCCTCCGTTTCATTTGCTAATGCTTGAAAAGTGCTGAACAAAATATTAAAAAATTCATCAATAAATATTACATTTTCATTATCATATATCATTCAAATCTTTCTATAGGCTCAGAAAAAGTGACATTTAAATGCAAATTTCTATTTAAGTTGTAATGCAGCAAAATTATGATATTGTATGCTATATTGTATTTCTCAATTTATTAATGTTTAAAACTGGGTATTATTCTATGAATGCCACATGCACCCACATTATTATCTGGCAAACTAAAAGCCATTATCGGTAAATTCAATAAGTATACATATTATTTTTATGAAATAAACTTTTTAATCAATACTTTTATAAGTCATAAAACATAATTGTATTGAAAAAAAACGTGAGACTATGTATGTCATGTGACATGATCACATGTCTCGGGATCAAGAATAACAATAGAAATTACATTGTGAATCTTTAGAAATTTTCAAGGCATTCCAAGGGCATGCTAAAAAATATGAAGCTTTATGGTTATATACCACTATGACATTATTTAAAATTTCTGATTCTAAGAATTCAGATAGCTTATACAAAATTACAGTTTTCTCCTATGATAGTTAGCAAAACAAATAGATAGCAAAATCGCCATTTATTTTAGGTTTCTTGAATTAAATTTTGCTATAGATGTCATAATTTTACTTTAAATTAGATCAATTTAGAATATTTAAAATTAAAATTATATGAAAGATGAGGAACTATTTATATATTTACAACAGGAAAATCATAAATCCTCAAATCTTTAATTTTTCTTGGACAATAATAAGATTTAATTTATTTTAATCTTAAAAAAAATCAGCTGTACAAAAAGTCACAAAATTGTTGCACTAGAACAAAATTAACTGATTGAAGATCACTAGTATTGAAAATTGAAATCTGAACAAAATCACTCATTTTCTCAAATAACCAAATTTTTCACAGCTATAATTTTTATTATGCAAGGTTGCACACCAATAAACGTTTCTGACAAAAAAATCTCTGCTCAATATTTGAGAATGTTTAAATTTGATCCAGAAATTTACATTCGTAATCCTTACTTTGTCAGTACAATCGACACTGCGTCGTTGAGAATACTTTCGCCAAACACCAACATATTGAGAACAGGATCAACATTTAATGCATTAAATATTGCAATAGTTGCTACAGGATCTACTGCTGATACGAGAGATCCAAATGCAAAACTGTAAAGTAAAAGACTTTTTTTTATTAACCAGAGGACAAAGCTCAATTACAATTCGTATTTATAATTCATATCAAATGAATAATAACATGCAATTTACTGAAAAGCTCAAAATCAGCGAAAGCGGAAAATTTAGGGTAAAACAAGAGCCCCACGAAACCCAGAAAACATATGAAAAAAATGATAGCTTCCAACACTGCTCAGCGTAAAATTTATTATAAGAATTGATTCAATCTGCTGATATCACTGTGCAAACCAACCATTGAAAATGAAAAGAAAGAGTATAATTGCTCTCTTCTTTTTATTAATTTTGTAGCTGTGATATAACTTGTAATAATAAATTCTACCTGTCTAACAAAGTAAGGTTATATGCAATTCCTGCAACTCCCATCAAATAAATTCCTCCGCCTACAAACATTGCAGATATTGTTGTTCCGATCACAGCAAATACCAATATAGATCCGATGTTTTGAAAAAAGTTTCCCTGAAGAATTATATATGATTGTATTAAGGACGAGTAATACAGCTTGCTTTTGTGCACGTAAATGATCATACCACGATAGGATGACCAATACAGACCGTCGTACTTTTCTTTCAAATTTAATTTTAAACAAATTTGATTACCGTATATACGCACATATGTATAATACGCAGGGCTCTTTTAGAATATGGACTGAATGAAAATACCAAAGTCCATGCATAATATGCATGGCTGATTTCTGTCACTCACTTGTGTCGACCGCATTTTTTTTTTTTCGAGAAGCCAGTCTGGACGACAACAACAATCAAACTTTATCTTATCACTTATTTACACTGATTATTGAAATAGATCTGTTTCCCTTTCATAAACAGGATAGTCCATTCCGTGGGTGTGATTCTAGTGCGACAAGCATGATCTGGTTATAACGAACTTTGTCACATAAAATTAATATAAATAATATAAATATTCGGCAATTGCGTGTAAAATATCAATCAGGATTTTTTTAAATTTTTCTATGTCAATGCATAATACCCCCTAACTGTTGAGATGAAATACGGTACCATAAGTGCGTATTATGCACAGAGAAACACGGTATTTTATGTCAATTTCTAAATGCGTTCAGATAAGAAGTACCGTCATTTTTAAGGAAGTAGATCGAATTTCAGGAAAGCACTTTTAATTCGTCATGACAAACAGTTTGGAAACTCTCAGAGTAGAGCACGGTAAAAGTCAAACAAAAAATTCAATTCAATTTGTGATTACAAACCTTATGTAAAGAATATCCGGCTTCAAAAATGATTGGTGGAAGCAATAACAGGAAAAATGTATTTGGACTCAACATCTCTGCATCCTGAAATAAAATAAAGCATATATTTATGAAACAATTAGGATAGTAAAAAATATTTAAGATCTTTGTTTCTGTAAAGTCCAGGAGGTAAGAGTTTGGCACATGTTCTTTAGAGTGGAAGCCATACGAACCAGAGTCGAGAGATGAGAGTCAAAATTTTGAAACCTCCAAAATCAGGATAATACCCCTACTTTTGATGGTGATAATAAAATTCAAAAATTCAAATTTTTCTACAGAAATTAAAAAAGAAGCGTTCAGTCTATTAAACAGGGGTTGTATATATAGCTTTCAAAAACGAATTTATAAGAATCCTTTCTTAATTTTGAATTGGAATTATACTTGAACTAGACATGACCAATTTTAATTCCAGACAAAATCCTAAAAAGTTAATTTCGAATCATTCGAAAAACAAAAATTCATCAATAAATCATGATTTATCTATGATTGATTTAAAAAAATTTAAAACCCCCTTTTTATAAAATCAAACGAGAAAGATGAATTATTTCAATATTTTTTTATCTTACCAGCCAATTTCCAACTCCTGCTTTTTGCATCATCCTTACTACCCCTCCAATAGCAGCCCCTACATGATAAAAGAGTAACAGTATTTTAGAAAACAATATGTGTTTCTCAAAATCAGAAAATACCCAGTCAAACGTTCTTCATACTGGAAACATTGCTAGTTCTTGAACTTCATCTAAAGTTTTGCTTGAGTGTTAATAACTTGAGGGCTACTCGGAGGACAAAACAATACAAACTTTATTCTGCGTTTATGAATCATGAACAAGAATATCGGTCAGAGACCGAAGACTTATCGATCGAAAGTTAGGGGATCCCACCAAACAGCGCTCTTACTCCATAGTGACACCGTGTGTCCCATCACTAATTAATTAATAACTCGCTAATTAAACGACATAATTCGCCCAAAATCAATAGGCTTCTGGTCCGAGATAAGATGAATGCACATGCAAAATCTGGAGCAGATTCAATCTCGCTTTCGTGAGATATCGCGTGCATCTAACAGACATACAGACAGACATACATACATACAGACAAATACCTATCAACATACTTACCGATTAAAATCGATAAGTAATAAGTAAGTATTAGAGAATAATAAAAAACTAAAGTATATTAGTAATACTACAGTATGGTGGCCCATCGTTGTCACGCGTAAAATTGAAAATAAAAATAAAAAATAAAATAAAAAACCGATAATAAAAAAAATTTTGTAAAAAAAGATAAAAATAATTAAAAAAAAAATGAAAAAAAAAATTAAAATTAAAAAAAATAAATAAATAAAAAAAAAAAAAAAAAAAAAAAAAAATAAAAAAAAAAAAATAAAAAAAAAAAATTGAATAAAAAGAAAATAAAAAGGTTGACAACGATGGTCCGCCTCGTGGCCCATCGTTGTCACGCGTTTTTATTTTTAGAAAATTTGCTTCTGCTTGGGACCAACGTTGTCAGGCATAATCCTACGCGCACAAATGTGTTCCCTGGGTTTCAAACTCACTACTGATTTTCTTGAGCAATATTCAATATGAAAATGTTCTATAAATTCTCCATGCTACAAGTTCAACAAGAAGTAATATATTTATAATAATGATAAGAGAATATAGAATTGAATACGAAAATTCGGAAAATTTGTTTTTACGTGTATAAGGTAATTTAATTGGAGAATGCTGCTTAACTACTCAGTTGTCTGGACACTCGCGATGCCGGTACCGTACCGTCTTACCAAATACCGATAGTCGGTTATAGTCGCTTTGCGTCTGACCGTACCGGTAGCCATACAATCACTCATCATCTCCCATTCTTTCACGAGTGATTGCATGGGTACCGGTACGGTCAGACGATACCGTACCGGCATCGCACGAGTGTCTGAGCAGTTAAGCAGCATTTTCCAATTAAATTACCTTCTACACGTAAAAACAAATTTTCGTATCCAATTCTATATTCTCTTATCCTTATTATAAATATATTGCTTGTGGTTGAACTTGTAGCATGGAGAATTTGTAGAACATTTTCATGTTGAATTTATTGGATATTGGTCATGAAAATCAGTAGTGAGTTAGAAACCCAGGAAACACATTTGTGCGTGTAGGATTAAGTCTGACAACGTTGGTCCCAAGCAGCATCAAATTTTCTAAAAATAAAAACGCGTGACAACGATGGGCCACGAGGCGGACCATCGTTGTCAACCTTTTTATTTTCTTTTTATCCAATTTTTTTTTCAAATTTTTTTTTTTTTTAATTTTTTTTTTAATTTTAATTTTTTTTTCAATTTTTTTGTTTGTTTTATTTTTCAATTTTTTTTTTTAATTTAAATTTTTTTTTATTTTTATTTTTTCAATTATTTTCATGTTTTTTCACAACTATTTTTTTATTTTCGCTTTTTCATTTTATTTTTTCATTTTTTTTTTAAATTTTACACGTGACAACGAGGGGCCACCATACTACAGCAAATACAAGGCAAAATTCCACCCTGGAGAATTATTCCTTCCCTGTTAGAGGAACATTGTTCTAAACATTGAAATCCCTGATCGGAATAAAATCATTTAACATTTTAATGCCATGCTCAAGAGTAGAACATGTACAAAAGCTACAAACTCGCAATTCCCAATATTTCAGATGATATACATTTTCTTATTGAATAATAAGTACTAAACAACTTACCTAAAAATACAACAGCAACACTGTCTGGCAAAAGATGAAATTTAAATTTGATAAGAAGATGAGTGAGCAATATGCATAGTGCTGTAAAAATAATAACATAAAATTGAAAACCAAAGCGATAAAGGTATAAAGGTTGTTATCTGTTACCAAGGTCAACCAGACTTAATTCATTCAGTGATCGAGAATCGAGATACTAAGTTATAGAGTCGAAAAATCAGGGATTCTAAAATTTAATATTTCCTAAAAAAAAATTAAATGTGAAGGAAGTGAGCCTTATTTTTTAGTCTGGGTAATTTTCTGCAGCCAGGGGGGTGAGGTGAGAAGGGATAAAAACACCCCTTATTTGAAATTTTTAAAAGACTGAAAAAGACGCCAATAATAAGTGACTTTCAGAAGGTGCTGATGGTGAAGAGCCTTGTCCAAAGCGAAAAGCATAAATATGTTGTAAAAGAGGAAAATTGTTTATTCAGTTTAGGATTAGACAGTTTATGTATTTATACTCGACATATGAGGCTTTAACACAAAATATCAAAACTTGAAAAATCTGTCTTGAGAAAATAAGAAAACTGAATTCCCTGTAACTTTTTATTGAAATATTTTGGTGACTAATGCTAATTTGGTAACTAATCTAAACATGATTAGATACCAAGAATGCATTATTTTTGTTAATGTAAAATATCCAAATTTCAACATTTGCCTTTCCGGCTTGAGACATTTGAATCAGCTAAAGTCAATCAATCAACATCATAATCAATCTTACCTAAAACAATTAAAATAAAGAAAATCTTCATGCTACTGCTCTGTTCTTCCTTCTGGGCTTCTTGGCCAGTTTGAATATTTGATATGGCTTCTTCAACTTGCTTTTTTCCTTCATCTTCTGTTGTTGTACTTATTGCTGTTGTTGTTGTTGTAAAATTATCAGACGCTGTGCTTTTGATTTCTTGAGGCCTAAAGTGATAAAGTGGAAAACAGTTAAGCTTCGTGCCAAAACTGAGCTATATTTTAGCCTAAACAGTAAAATTTGGTTTTAGTTAGGTTGTGGCCGCATCAGACGGGCCAAATTGATGTACCCAACGAGCCAGATTTGGCTTGCGGGCTGTAGTTTGCCCATGTCGGCCTTATGGTCACAAAATTTACTGACTAGTATAAAACAACCATTTTTAAATAAAATTTATTTTCTCAAAAATTAACTAACGTGAGATATTCTTTTCTAATGACTTTATTAGAGTTATATAGCATATCGAACATACTGGAAAGGTAAGTGTAAAACATTTAGAATATTGTTCTGCCGCATTCACACTTCATTACAATAAGAGACAGAAACAAATCTCAACAAAACACCATAATAAAACCATTTACTGTATTAATTGCTACAAGAAGCAAATACATGTTCCAATTTCGTTCAATTACATATGTCGTAGCGAAATCAACATGTAAATACAACATATAATATAGCATTCTAAAATACGACACTAAATCAGAATAATGCCTCAAAAAAACTTGAAACATAAATCATTTTGAAATTTACTTTCTTACAAAATATTGCAAAACAACCTAGAATAAACCTGTATTCAATTTTAGGACCCATGTCAAATAGAGCCATTTCAATATCTCTGAAGTAAAAGCTGATTATATCTCAGTGAAGGCTTGTTCAAAGCAAAGCAGTTATACACTTTATATTAATTTACCAAGCTTGTATAAGATTTTATTATTTCTCAATAAAATTGATAATTATTCTCAAAAAAATAAATAATTTAAAATTCACAAAAATCATTTTCAAAGGCAGTTTTCGAATACTAAATCTATTCCATTACCCAACATTCCATCAAGATTTTTAATTAAATTGCTTTTATAATATAAAAAAAAAACATACAAAGAGTCCACATTCGTCTTTTTTGGTGCATCTTCTAAGGCTTGGCATGATATACAAAGAAATAAAACCAGCAATAATGATAATTTCCTAATCATGTTTAACTACCATCTGTTAACAAAAATTGCACAGTACAATGAATCCATTGAAAAGAAAAGAGCAAAAAAAGCACAGATTAAACCTTATAATATCGCAGGATACATTCCAGTTCCAAATCCCAAGCCCCCCCCCCTCACCCAGGGTATAACGAATTGAAATGGCAAAGTCGAACCAGAACAATTCCAGCCCCCAAATTCCATACCCCTAGATATCAGTGGCTGCCTATACAGGCCTTCATTTCCGAGCGAAAATGTGAATTAGCGTCATATAAGAAAATTAATAAACACACAATAATATAGAATTTACATTAGAGATATAGTTCAATTTTCAAAATTTATGATAAGGAAAACAGCATTTTAACTGTAATTCACCAAAAGTATGGCTTGTGAATAAAGTTTTCTTTGAAAAATAAAGTAGTTCTTGAAACAAAGTTGCAGAACTGTACAATTGATAAATGGGAAGTTTAGATTTTAGAATATTCAGAAAGCCTATTCATAAGAATTCAAAGATAAAAATACCGGTAACTCCCATACCAATATCAAAAAAAATTCAAAAGTAAAACCAAAATTCCAATCAAAGTTTTTTTACGATATCGCCATACTCAAAGCACTCACTTAATATAACAAGTAGGCCTAGTAAAGCACGCACAATTTTAAATCAAAGTATGTATATTGAAATCAAAATATAGATTGATCTTTGACAATGCACCATTCATGATAACCAATGCTTAAATTTTTTTTGATCAGATTCACAAGATGTGCAGTACCAAATGTTATTCAAATATCCAATAAGCGACTCTTATTTATTCTGCACTACATTTTGTCTCAATGTCAATCAACAGATAGATATGTCATTGAGAGGTTTCATAACCAATAGCCTTATGTGCAAAAATAAATAGACAATACATTGAAACATTTAAATTAACAATCTCATATGAATACAGGATGAAAGGACCTGGTATTTCCTGCAAAAATAGCACGGAAATGAGTAATAATTGTAACAAAGAACTCATGTACTACCTAGTTATGTTGTAAGTATTGTCCAATTAATTAATACAATTCAAAAAAACAAAAAAATTTCTATCTGAAAATGAGTTTAATTAAACCAGAATTTCGAATTCTCAATAATTGGGAGGCAGTATATCAGACTTTCATTGGCTATAAGTGGTCTCATAGGGGAAAAAATGAATTGAAGGCTTGCATACCCCAAGCTTTTGCTCGATTTGGTTTCATGAAGTTCAGAGCTAAAGTAAAAATTTTCTTTAATCTGGAATTAGGCGAGATTCAAAAGTCAGCATTTATATGGCTTTCGGAATTTAAGGTCAGACGCAAATTTCTCCATCCCTGATCCATATATTCAGAAACAGTTTGATTTACATGATTTGAAATCCCACAAATATAACTCAATTCATAACAAATATTTTCTGAGATACAACTATATAAGTGAATTTGAAACAAGGCACATAATGAGATGTATAAGAAATAGATATCACCTATGAATAAGTCTAAAATAAAATTATGTTTGATGCTTCGTTATATGATTTAAATACAATATTTGTGACTGTAATTGATTATTATGGTGTTATGAAAACTGATGTATCATTCATGTTATGATGACAACGACGGTTCATGTAACTGCTGATCAGTTACAAGCTACAGTTTCCTCCAACATCAAGTCCATGCATCTGAAACAACTGGTTAAATAATCCCATACCCGACAAGGACCAGAAACCAGACAAGAGCACTTGGTCGCCAGGTGTATTGACAACTGATATCACAGGTGTGATATAATTTGCTATACAAACGAGCATTCGTTGAAGTTCACAGTACAGGTGCTTGCTAATATCCATGTTAATTTGTACATCATGACAATTTAACCACAAGTTCAGAACCAGATCATTTGATAGCTAGGTTGTTAGGTGGATTTGCAACTAAAATACATCATTTGCCAATTTGCATTGCAATTTCAGCTTCTTAGAAAAATGTATTCAAATATTAAGATACCCACATACAAATAACTAATGTTAAAGATAAATCCCAGTGAAAAATTACATTCCTATGTACTAATAATGTCTGGAAAAACCTCTTCAACCATTTCACATAGTAAATTATAGAAAATATGTTTGTTCAATTTCTCATCTTGTAAGGCATGAAAAATCTTAAGAATGCCACGTCTCGCATTCTCTTGGCCAATTAAGCTTTGAAACGCTTCAGGGATATTCTGTAACAATTTAACTTGTGCCTCCAAAGCCGTTTGAGTTTTCTCTTCTTCAGATCTTGAGGATGTTAATTTTGGCTTTAGTTGTCCATCGGGCCACATCGAATCCATAAATAATTGAAGATAGTAAGTTAGCATTGGATCAGAAATAAGCCAATGTAAAGTATCTTTAATTTGTTTATTAATGGTTCCACCGAAAGCAAGCCTCACAAATATAACTAATGTTTTACGTAACGGACGAAACAATCCTTGAATTTCAAATATTTCTCCGACAAGTTCATACAACGGTTCAGCAATTGAATCTAAATCAATCACATCATCTGCATCTGTTTCATCGCTGTCAGAAAGATCGTCTTCGGATCGCAGAACCGACTCAAAAATATCTTTTGGTAATGTAAAAAGTAAATCACCAATTTGCCATAATGATTTTTTACGAGAAGTTTCACCGGTAGAAAACAATGGATTTGAAGTATTCCTGCGATGACTTTTTCCTCGTAGCAAGGAATCATTTTTGGATTGTTCTGGTGGTTGACTGAGAAAGGCATAAACTAATTCACTTCGACTCAGTATTTCATCTTCTAAAATATCTTTCAAATATTCGTTTAAAACTACCTTCGATTTATCGAGAAATTTATCTGATATACCACCAAACATCGGGATATTTGGTAAACGTTTCTTTTTTAACCAAGGTCGGAGATCACGAAGACTACGGTGCAATAATTTAAATTCATCAAGATTTCTTGCAACGACCCAACCAGAAACATCATCTGTAACTTCCAAAAGAGGGACACCAGAACATAATACAATTATACTGTAAACAGGTACTTTTGCTGCATTTTCATCGTTAATAGGCAAAATAGCGGCATTATCAATATTCGCACTCCAATTTCCCATTCGAGACCACCACGTTTCCGTTCTTTCGATGTGTAATTGTTGCTGCAATTTGTCCTTCTGTAAATCAGCGATATCTTGTTGCAATTGCTTTGTCAATTTCTGATCTTGTTTGCCACCAGGTTTGAGACTCTCCAAAGCTTGTGCTTTATATTCCAATTTTTCTTCAATGTTGCGGAGTTTTTCTATTGCTCCATCAGATGGTGACTTTCTATTTCCAAAAGCAGCTGTACGGTGCGAATAAGAATCGTCTTGCTCAGGTTGAAATATTGCATCCTCGGAAGTACTATCATCCCTTAATTGTGGCATCAATTGGTAGATGTAAAAATCGCTGACCAAAAAAGATGGAAAATGATCCTTTTCTAGTATTTTATAAATCTGTTCTTGGAGAGTGAAAAAGTCATCTGGAGCTTTATTACCCACAACACAAGTTTGCATGCCCTTTAGTAATGATTTCTCAATATCAATTCCTAATTCATCAGAAGTGCCTGGTACTACATAAGTTTGATAAATATGACTTATGATTTTAGCAAGGTTTTTACCAGTAGGTTCGGTATCACGGATAATTTCAACTTCACTCCAAAATTTTAACAACGACCCACGTCCAATTTTTTTCATGTATTTCATGAAATAGCTGCGAGCCATGGGAGATGCCATTACCTCAGAATAAGAAAGCAAATGAACGCTTGATGTAATGGCTGCCCCAGATGCCTCGTCTCCAAATTTAGGTTGATTTGAATTGCCATCTCCTCCTAGTGCTTTTATTCGTTTTTCGCACTGTTGTCTTGCGACTTGACACTGATTAATATAGCGTTTCAAGTCTCGAGATATCAGTAATTCTCCCTTTGCCATACTCTTCGCTTTCCCCAATTTTTTTTCGTTTTTTTTTAAACTGCTTATTGCAGTAGCATGCATGAGTTCTGTCATGATGTGACGTCTGATTTGATATAATTGATTAATATTATCAGTACTGCTAATTATTCGAATAAAATCTTCGTAAGTTGCGGCATACATATACGCTCGTGTTTTCTCCTCTTGCTCAGATTCTCTATGTTTGATATAAGCTAATATGCTTAGATTAATATAGTCAGGATCACAAATACTATCAATCATTGGCAAAAATACCAAACCAGCCAGAATTTCTCTCAAAATCAATTTTGAACTAGAATTTGACGATATATGAATGGGGAAACATAACTTTATAATATATCCACTAATACGGCGAAGAAATTCCTTTTCTGAGTTGGTATCATAGAGACAAGGGTGAAGACTAAAAAGTTCAGCATTCTTTCGTGAAGGATCTGATGCACTCAGTTCTTTAAAATATTGTACCAATGTTTTTACGAATCTATCCATCACTAGATGTGTTATGTCAACTTTGGAGAGATGTTTTGAAAAATATCGATACGCCTCCCAAAAGTCAGCCTTGACTAACTTATGCAAACGTCCATGATCATTGCTAACAGTGGCATACCATGTTTCCACAAAGTCTCGGAATGTGTATTCAAATATTCTATTCATAAGCATATCAACATTTTGTGAAACACAAACATAGGTTCCACTTTGTACACTGCTCCGATCAGGAATTTTACCAAGCATGGCTATTTTGGTTTGTATATGTCGAAGAGATGTACGAGGAGTCTCATGCATGCGGTAATGCATGTGAATACTTTTTGATAAGCCTTTCAAGAGAACAACAAAAAACTTTTTAATATGGAAAATGAATCCCTCACCAGTTGGTATATCATAATAAGTGCGATTCCGTAATATTCCATTCTGATTTTGCGACCACGGATATTTATCAACTGCATAGTCAACAGTTTTAATCGCAATATAGATTCCAGTCAATATACCAATCAATGCAGCAACAATCGCAGAAACCATATTGAAAACTTTAGAAGGGATTGCTGTGTCAAACATGTATACGATCCACAAGATTAACAAAATGAGAGTTAATTTCCTCCAATTAGAAAAAACAGTAAAAAATTTCAATTTCCGCAAGACATCCATTATTAATGTCTAATCAGTCTTTTTCTTTTCTACAACTTTTTCTGTGTAAGCGGCGTAAATAAAAAGTCCGAGAACAACATGAACCACTACAATTGAAGTTAAAGCAGATGGCACAATACTCGCATCTTCTGTGAGTTTGAAAAATCCTTCGAAAACCAAATTTTTTGCAATATAATATGATGATATTGGACCGGTCACCATAAGAAAAGTATAAAATAGCATTTGTATCACTGTTGAAGCTGGGACAGCACCTTGTTCTGCTTGTTTCACTGTTTCTTCATGTAGTTTTTTCTTTAAATATTCTTCTGAACTGGTATTTTCTGACATTTTATATCAGTATTTCATTTATGAATTAGCTGTTAATTATGAGTATTTTCTCTGGATCAGAATATAGGCATAGCTTATTTTGAATTGTAATCCAATCACATAACACTGTACGGTAACACTACAGCATTACTGCACTAAGAGAGAAAACAATCAAAACATAAAATACAGTACTGCAGTAATACCAGGGACCCTTCAGAACCGCTGTACCTACCCAACTTGTAGACGAGTCTGCCAGTGCTGTAGTGTAGTGACACAGTGATACCGGTACGATTGCTTGCAAATGCAGAAATGTTTGAATGTAATTAGCTATAGGTAGTACTATATTTACCTTTCTAATGCGAAACTGTTCGTTCATCACATCACTAAAACACATGATTGAAAACATTGACTCGTCTTCGTAGGTTAGCGAAATACTAAGAACGATAAACCCTAAGTGACTATAACCCTTGGATAACCCCAACCTCTAAATCTAAATGATTGACTTGCATCTTGTCTCATGCGACACAACAGACAGACAGACTGACAGTGACAGGTCAAAATTTATTCAATCAGGAATAGCGGACTTGCACGGTTCACGTGACTTTGTTTACGCCGCCATTTTGGACGGCAAAAAATAAATAAAAACGTCCAGACCTCGCTCCTGTCAGTTGCAAGTCGCGTTGATTAATGACATAATAAATGACAAATCAGGCATAGGGCAGATCTCCAAATGTTTAAATTCAAACTGTGAGTATTTCAACTTACAATGTATGTGTGGATTCAAACAAAATATTTTAGATGTGGAAAATCACGGGACTTGCCATTTTAATATCAGCAAGACTACAAGAAGATTTATCTAAATTGTGATCCAACAGGCGGAGTCTCAAAAAGGTCGTGTCCCACTAGTCCCACGTGTCTCCCTTGTCCCACTTGTACCACGTGTTCCACTTGTCCCACGTGCCCCACTCATCCCACGTGTCGCACTTGTACCACGTGTCCAACTTGTCCCAATTGCCTCACGTGTCTTACATGTCCCACTTGTCCAACTTGTCACATGTGACAAGGGGGGTCAATGAGTCATGCACTAGGTGACTAGGGTGTCCATTTGACTTGTGTAAGAAATTAATCATCAGTTGTCATAAAGTATTATGCCCGATACATTGGTACATTTTTAATTCGTGGTACTAGAAAAAAGTAGTTCCCGGCATTCTTATTGTATGCTAGTTTCTAGATTGTTCAGAGAGGGAGATTTGTTGTCACTAAAACAAAGTTAACGCTATACTGTATAAACATAAGCCAATAAAGGAAATAATTCAACAGTGATTGATTATTGTTTTGTGCGGATCGGTTTGTAGGACTGATAATGGTGATCTGGGCTCCCGATCCATGCGTATAAGTTGTATGAAAGCTATCATGATGGCATGGTATAGTACAAGGTGGTCCGAACCCAGGCCCGCGGGCCACATGTGGCCCGCCGCTTCATTATCTGTAGCCCGCGTCACATTCGGAGAGTAATCGATAAATCGCATTTCGTGTTGTTTCGTAATTAAATTAATCAGAAAAATCTTTTGACATCCTGTTACATCACTAGTGTCAATGAATTTACTAGTGTTATGGCTAGCTGAGGCAACTAGCGAAGTTGAATGATGTGCTTGGCAATCTAAATTATTATCTGGCTTTCTATCTTTTTGGTCGGGAATATATGCTAACAATATAGGCATCATAGAGAACTAAAAATCGAATGCGGATTCTATTAGCCTGGGATGGCTATGTCTGATAACTATGTGTTTGCACAATAAAAGTGTTTGTTTTGTATTGCACTGTTCAACTATTCTTGGCACTATTGTGGCCCGTGAACAATGAAAAAATAAATTTGTGGCCCGCGGAGCCGACAACCTAGGACCACCCTGGTATAGTAAATGATGGCAGACAGTAAATCGTTCATATAACATAAGGATTAGAATTTACATATTTATCCCGAAGTAGAGCAAGGTCTATGAAGCGGCTCCTATTGCGAGCACCAGTCACCAGTGCATGTCGGGTATGCGATCAGTTCGCCAGTTATTTGTTTCAGATGCATGGACTTGATGATGGAAGAAGCTTTTACCGACTAGCGGTTACGTGAACAACCCTGAGGCGGGTAGGAGTCCAGTAACCTTCTTGCACATAATTATCTTCCGGGATTCGAACGTGCGAACACAGGCAGATTAATCATACTTGAGGTGACGAACGCATGCCTAGCGCTTAGAACGATGAGCCTTGTGGGATGGGACTCTGCCTTTGATGTGGCCCATTTTTGAGATGTTCTCCCCATTTTGAACATATTGTTTCCGACCATTTACATATGATGAGATCAGATAAAATGCTTCCCCGCGAATTCCGCAATGATATAGACTTTCTAATAGAATATAATGATTTACTGTGTCGAAAGCTTTCTCAAGGTTTAAAAAAAACAGATGTGTTCAATAAGAGAAAAAACTGCCGACTTGAAATTCAAGATTTTAATAAAATTTAAAACGAGTCGAAACTAGTCGTGTCGGATTTTCCCAGAATTTCAACATACAGTAGTTGTTTGAATGTGTGTCCATTTATTGATGATAGCTTTATGTTTCTCTGATTCCCTCAGGTCTATAAGAAAAATTATATATTTTTTTCTATAACAACAAAAACTGTATTATATGATGGTTGGATAAATAATAAAACTTCTCTTTCAACACGTCGATGCTTTGTATTCCAAATTGACCAACTGATTCCTCGTGACATAAAGAGAAAATCTGGCAAGCATGCTGAGGAATCAACGTCCCGTTTGTTTTGAAATCCAAAGATATTTCGGCTAACCTTGTCAACGTTCTCTGACGCTCGAGGTTTGCTATCTGTTTTTTGTAGCGTTATCTGTCCAGTATCGACATGGAAAAGCCACAAATAATAAGTCATATCGAGAAATCGCTAGACTTCACGTTATTTGACTGCAAATGGATACCCAGGAGTGCAAGGTTTGTTGTTCTCGGAAGTTATCCGCGCGGTACTGGTGCAATTTTGGTGTATGAAATATCCCATAGAGAAATCAAGAAAATTAATGACAAAGAAACACCAGCCTCTATGAAATGTGGAACGTTTGCTGCATCGTCATTACAGGTATGTCATATACTGATATAGGTTCTGACTTTGCGAACATTTGTACTGTATGGTACCGTAACGTCTGAACGTAGGTACGGTACCTGCAGACACAGAGACATGAACTGGCAAAAAATTCCCGGTTTTTATTATCTTTTTTTCACCGAATGGTATAGGCCTACCTAAAATCCTTTGTTATATGGTAGGCCTACCACTCTTTTGACAAACTTCAAAGAATACTAGACAGATACGAAGGCATGATCTTTTGTATCACATGATTTAATAATGTTTTACTTGTGAAATTTGTTGAGGAATAGTCATGTTTGACTCCCTCTCTATCATAGCATATGACATGAAATTGCAAAATATTTCAAAAATTTTAAATCACTTTTCAGTCACGGAATCTAGCAACTGGGGACTTTAGAGGGCACCTGACAGTATGGGATATTGAGACTATGCAGGATGTATATTCAGTACCAGCACATAATCAAATCATTAATGCAATTGATGGTGTAGGAGGATTGGGTGTTGGAGAAGGTGCACCAGAAATTGTCACTGGAAGCCGTGATGGTTGTGTAAAAGTGTGGGACGTTCGCCAGAAAAATGTTCCTGTGGCCAACATGGAGCCGGAAGAAGGGCAGGAGACGAGAGATTGCTGGACTGTTGCTTTCGGAAATGCTTTCAATTCAGAAGATAGATGTGTATGTGCGGGATATGATAATGGTGATATCAAATTATTTGATTTGAAAACAATGTCTATTCGTTGGGAGACTAATTTATCAAATGGGGTTTGTGCAGTTGAATTTGATCGGAAGGACATAGCTATGAACAAATTAGTTGCAGCTTCACTTGAAGGAAAGTTCCAAGTTTTTGATTTACGAACACAGCATCGTACTAAGGGTTTTGCTTCGCTTACTGAGAAAGCACACAAGTCTACTGTGTGGCTGTGCAAACATTTACCGCAAAACCGAGACGTGTTTGTGACAACTGGAGGTGCTGGGTCATTAAATCTATGGAAATATGAATATCCTCCCAAGAGATGTAAAACAGAAGACAATGAACAAGTCGGTGTTGTTGGTAATGTTCAGCTACTGCAGAATGCAATGCTTTCAACGCAACCTATTTGTGGATTTGACTGGAGTCCAGATAAATTAGGCCTAGGAGTTTGTACAGCTTTTGATCAATCACTGAGGGTAATTATAACCACAAAGCTAAACTCTTTGTAGTATCTGTGCACTTCACATGCTTTTTTACTGGGATAGATTTTTAAACAGTGCCCATCCTGCATCCTTGGCTTTCAATATTGAGATGAATATATAATACAAACCCAACTTTTTGATTTATTGAAGCTCTCAATTTCATTGTATGTTTGCAGTTGAAGAGAGCAATATAGAATATTTTCGTTTCAAGTAGTTTCCTTTATACTTAAATATTGACCTTTTTGTACAGTAATCCAAAATTAAAGTATTTGTATAACAACTAATTACTCTGTAGACCAGAGGTGGGCAAGCTACGGCCCGCGGGCCAAATCCGGCTTGTTGGGTAATTCAATCTGGCCCGCCTCATGCTGCCGCAATCAAACTAAAACCATATCTTGATGTTTCAGCTAAAAATAGCTCAAGGAATTTGTTGAGGTTGCGATTACATTTAGTTTTGGAACAAGGCCTATTGTTTTCCACTTTTGCTTCTGTAACACTGTAAATATTGTGCATAAAATGTAACATTTTACGTCACACTTACATGGCCCACCAGTCTAGATGGCTGAAATTTTTGGCCCCATGGTCTAAAAACCTTTCCCACCCCAGCTGTAGACGATGGTTTTTTCATATAGAAGTTGCCAAAATTGGATTTAGAATGTTTGTTATTCTTTGTCTCCTTACTGTGATTAGTTATTGTATGTTCCACACAGAAAATATGCCTTTGTGCTCACTGTTTGTATTTGGACGAATATTATTTTCTGTAATCTGTACATACTTTCCTAATGATTTGTTCTATTGTTTTTACACACCTATGTAGTATATTTTTCATAAGATACTTATCATTGATGAGTTGGGGTGGACAAGTGAGATCAGTGACTTAGCTTAGTTGAATTAGGCCTACTGCCCTACTCGTAGGATAATGAATACAGGTGCCAACATGTTTTATAATTTATTTTGTGGCTAGGAATACTATATTTGATAACTACAATCATGTTGCGAGCAGTTGACTATGGTCATCCCTCATATTGACTCATACGTGAGAACAGAAATCCAGTGATTGTTCACTCCTGGGCAGTAAGTAATACGCTGTTTATTTTTCATGTTGCTGAGAACGCACAAAAAATATGCGAATCGAGGTTTCAAAAAGATAGTAAATGATTAGGAATCAGAGATGCCGTCAGTGCGATCTAACAATACAATGTTAAAAAAAATTTGAACTTCATTCCTGATTTAAAACAATGGATGTTTTCCTTGACCCCAGAAAAATATTACCTATACTTTAATTTGCAAAATTTTGGATGCTCATATTGAAAGTATTTTCGATAACTGGCACTTACAAACTGATTTACATGCTGAAACCATCATTTTTCAATATAAAATGCGACCTCGTGCCTCTTACAGGTACCGGTACTGCTAGCTAATTTTCGAATATTGCAACTAAACATAAAGCTCATCGGAACACACCATGACAATTAAATTACTACATTCCCAACTAATTTTTGGAAACACAACCGGGAAACTGACAAATAACAGGCGAAAACGAGACAATGTTTATTATAACCATGCTTGAATATCTGTCGGCGCAAACGGAGTGTCTGCAAAAATTGCAATTGTTGCGTCCTCGTTGATTTTTTTGCTAATTGGCCATTTTTAAAGAAATCGATGCTCGGGGAAGCATCCATAGGATCTGAATTTCAGTGTAAAGTGAACAAAACCTGACACTTTCAAAAAGAAGGAAAATTATGGAACGTAGGGTACCTTGAATTCTCACTATAAAACTGCCATACCGGGTGATTTGAAGCGAAGTAGAAACAAGTCTTTGCTCATTTGATTATATCGAGCCTGATCCGTAGCCTATTATTGTCGATCGTCACCGGTTACTGAGTTAGCCTTTTTCGACAGAGACCACACAAACCCCCCCGATCATGTCTATATCAGAAAGGTATTCGACGGGCGTTTTATTCGCATATGGCATTCATTGGGGCCATATGATATATATCTAATCACAGTGGCGGCGCGCCAATAGGGCCAACCGGGGCAATGCCCCGGTTGTTTTTTCGGTATAATAAAGAAATATTCGAAAAATACCTCAATATCGGTTGCACAGACTGTCTACACTAGCCATATTCTCCCGACATGGTTCATTTTTCGCTCGCAAAGCCTTCGCCGAACGTCGACGGGGTGACGTCGATTTTGCCCCGGTTGCTCATTGTATATCGTATTCTCTCTTTTATCTTCCACTCGCCGCGTTTGCCTCGTTTGTTTTCTGTTTCTTTTACTAAATCAACGGGGCCGATCGGGGCTAGCCCCGAAATTATGACGACACAATGCCGACGTTTCTTACAACAACGTGTTGACATATTCACGCATTCCTTCTCGTTCGTTGGTTGCTTGAAGAGTTGATAGTTTCCTCGCCTTCGTTTTTGTCGCTTGTTTCGCTATTTGAATCAGTTAGAGACCTTCAGTCCATTTGCTTTCGATTTTCCACATTCCTTTTGAGCTCCTCACTTCTTTCCGGCTTCGCATTTCTTAGCCTTAGACCTCAAAATGAATAAGGTTGATGCACTACTTCGCACTCCGTTTTCGCAGCTGCCGCTGGAACAAAAATTAGAGGTACAACGTCTTGGGCCTTATCAACCAAAAAATTGTTCACTGGAACAATCCCATGACGGAGGAAAGCGTCGGCGTACATTCTGCGCAGAAACTTGGTATAAAAAACACGAATGGTTGTGTTACAGCAAGGACAAAAATGCACTTTTTTGTTTTTATTGCCTACTTTTTGCTACCGCCCGTGACTCACGTTGGTGTAAATTTGGTTTTAGAGATCTTAAACATCTTTTCGAGCGTGCCAGGGATCATCAATCTTCTATGGAGCATCTGGACAATGCAGTAAAATACCGAACATTCGGAAATGTTAATATTGCAGCACAGTTGGATGAAGGACGCGCGGTTTCTATGCGTCGGCACAACCAAAACGTCGAGAAAAACCGCCATGTTCTCGGTCGATTGATAGATGTTTTGAAGTTCATTGGTTGTCACGAGCTGTCCCTCCGTGGGCACGATGAACGGGCTGGCTCTTCTAATAGAGGGGTATTTTTGGATATGGTGGAATACACCGCATCCCTAGATACAGTATTGAGAGATCATCTTGATGCCGCAACTGTTTCAAAAGGGACATCTAAGGATATCCAAAATGATTTGCTCGACTCAATGTATAAAATTTATTTACAACATTTGGCTCTGGAAATTGAGAATTGCCAGTTCCTTTCGATTCAGTCTGACGAGACAACTGACATCACGTGCGTTTCCCAACTGGCTGTGATTTTTCGGTTTGTGAAAGATGGTAAACCTACCGAGAGATTTCACAGCTTTGTACCAATCGTTGATCGCACGGCTTGCGGGATATCGGCTGTACTGAAAGAAGTGTTACAGCCTCACAACGCGAAGTCAAAATTGATAGCTCAAACTTATGACGGCGCGGCAGTCATGAGTGGGTTGAAACAAACATGGTGTTCAAGTTTATATAAAAGAAGATTTTCCTCATGCGCATTTTTTACATTCTTATGCACACCAATTTAACCTCGTTATTAAAAATATGTGTCTTGATACCCCTCTCGTCCGTATATTTTTTGCAAATGTTTCGGGGTTTTCTTCATTTTTTTTTCGTTTCGCCGAAGCGCTCTGACCTCCTTCGCCATCAATGTAGCCACCGTCTCCCAGCTTGTGCACCAACACGTTGGAACTTCCAATCACGCGTGGTGCAGGGCGTGTCCGAAATTAGGTCTGAGCTCATTGAGTGTTTCAATAGCATTCAGAGCTCTCCGGTTTGGGACGAACGCTCTGTGAGGGAGGCGGCAGGTCTAAAGCGTCTGCTAGAAGATGGTGAGTTTTCATTTTTTCTCCACAATATTCTATCACGTGGATGTATTATACGGCGCATTGCAGTCAAGGCTAATGGATGGAGCGTCTGTGCAGTCGTGTATTTCAGATTTCTGCGATGCTGTATCTCGTATCCGGGAAACAATAAAATACGACGACACATGGAGTGCTTCTTTACGCCGCGGGCAAACAACGCAGCGTTTGATTTTGTCTGCAAAGGAATGCTGTGACATTCTGGTGAATCAAATAGGCGATCGTCTGCGCACTGAACACCTTGCCGCGTTCTCTTTGATGAACCCCAAAAATTTTTCAAAATTTGCACGTCAATTTCCCATCCATTTGTTGGCTACTGTCTCCAAATTTTACCCCATGATAAACGTGGGTAAATTGGAAAATGAATTGCGATGTATATACACCAATCAAACTTTTTTGAACATCACATCAACTTGCGCGCTCTATGGGTTCCTCATAGATAACACTCTAGTAACTAACTACCTTTGCGGCGTCTGCAAAATTTCTGGACATCATTTTGACGACGCCTATTTCTTCCGCCGACGCAGAGCGAACATTCAGCACGCTGAAGCGTATTAAAACGTATTTCAGAAACACAATGAAGCAAGATAGATTAAATTCCTTGGCTGTTTTATCCATTCACAGAGACGTTATATCTGGGATGCATGACTTTAATCATCGCGTTAGGATAGGATAGGATTTACATATTTATCCCGGGGGAGAGGAAAGCCGATAAGACGGCTTATCCATATGGCGAACCACGGCCTCTCGCCCGGTTACCATTCCGAGTCGGGTATGGGATTAGTTATATATTGTTTGTTTCCGGAAGCATGGACTTGGTGGTGGAGGAAGCCGTAACCGACCAGCGGTTACGTGAACCACCCAACGACGGCGAGGAGTCCAGCAATCCTCTCGCACATAACCATCCCTGCATGGGATTCGAACCTGCGAACCCACGCAGAGTAATTAGAGGTGCGGTGGCGAGCGTATTCCTAACGCTTAGCCCGTTGAGCCACATCGCCGCGCCGAGCATTTTGCTTCCAAGAAACCAACCGCGGCGTGTTGCATATATGTTCAAGCAGTAGAAGTCTAGCAGCATATATATCTATGAGTGAGCGACGCATGTCCTTATCTTTGCATTACCTTTCCTTTCTTCATAGTAACGTTTTAAACCCTATTTTAGGTTTTGTCTGCTTTCCCGAAGTTTCTGTTAATAAGTCATTGTATTTATCTGGGTAAATATTGCCTTTCCTTTTGAAAGAGGTTTCAAAATAAACTCTGTCTATATTTATCAATCCCTTGATTTGGACCGGTTTTAAAGACACTTTCTTATCGTTAAGAATTGTCGCTTTTGCCGATTGGTTGTTACCGATGGAATGGTTTTTATACTCATAAAATGATGGGAGAACTTACAGCGCTCATCCTGTCCCCTTAGATGGGGGTGACTTGGTCCCGCAGTAGCTTGCCCCGGTTGTCAAAATGACCACGCGCCGCCACTGTCTAATCATATGCCAGGCCTAACTTATATAGCCTCATCTATGCGTTTTCTCAAAATTTAGCAACAATCTTCATCTTAAGTCTCAACCCTCCGTGCCCCGAGTCTTTGACAAAAAAATACAAATATATCGAGTTCCATTAGTAAACCGTATTCAATTGGTGAACAGGAATATATGCGCTTTATCTACATCAGTGGTCGGCAAACTTTATGTACTTGCGGGCCAAATATACACATTTCCGGCAGCGCGCGGACCGCAATATTTCCGCCTTCGAACAATCGCTACATTAAACTTCAAATTATGGCGCACTCGCACATTCGCTGTGTTAAAAGCATGCAACAATGAGTTGTGTATGTGGCCTTTTATATAATCTTATCAAACAATACATCGTTTTTATTTACTTATTATCTATGTGACGGATGATGTTTTTATGGCAACTTGGTTGCCGTCGTCCAAATGACGATCTGACAAGCCAGTACGAAATTTATAAGTGTAATGCATTTTAGATAAAGCAATATGACTTCCGAACTTGCAGATTACACGTTTTGCACTGTCGCACAAATAAGCTGTGGCGTAGTCCCGGGGTCGAATTTTCGATGGCACGTTATGTAACGAGTTAAATCCCTTGATATCCTCGATGCTGACCGGGCATATAGAGCAAAGTAGTTTTGGAATGAGCAAAAAAGAAAAAAAATTCGCGTCTAAGCACTTTGGAATGTTCGACCCTCGTCCAAAATTTCCTCCGTTTCCAAGACATTTTAAAATTTTAAAAATCAAAATTATCTTGAACCACATATTACTGACGCTACTTATTACAAAACAAGCGCCGTACTGCTGCACTTGTCACTACATAAATCCTTCTAGAGACAATAATAAATTTAGGATCAATTTTTGTTATATTTATTGAATGTTAGGTCGTTGGGGGGCCGCAACAAATTAGCTCGCGGGCGGCAGTTTGCCGATCCCTGATCTACATGCTAAACAAATTATTTCAGGCGCAGACCTTGTTTGTACGTGTGTGCTGGAGGACGTACGAACAACAAAAGAATGTCTTTCATTTCACGAGTACCAGCATAAACAGGGCCGGTTTATCAAGTGCCATAAAAATCCCCTTTACATTTGGTCTTCGTTAGGCAATAATTGATAGAATAACAAATAAAAACCATCAACCTCATTTATGGAAAATATACAGGTGAATGGTATTTCATATCCTGATTGATCAATTTTATAAATAGCCTGATAGGATTTTTCACATTCATAGTTCAACAGTCAACTTAATAATAGTGGTAGCAATGATTTTTATACTCAGTATTTGAATGACTTATATGACGAATTTTTCGTTACACCCCTGTTTGTTTGTCTTTAAACATATTCTTCAGTGTCCTTAGCTGGAAAAAAAAACAGTTATTAATTTGAGAAGGAATAGGGAACCGAAATTATAACCGCTCTCTAATCTTGTGAATAATTTAATAAAAGTGTCCGTTTAGTAACTGATATAACTGAGTAACTAATTCAAATAAAATATTTGCTTGTTTGGAACACCGTATTTATATATATATATATATTCGCGCAAAAATTTGAAAAGGCCTGAGTGAATGATTTTTCAATTTGAAGAGATTAGAAATTCTTTGATAGATTCAATGATATCATCAGCAATAATGTTGTTCCATTCATACATCTGTGTTAACGAAGGACACAGACATGTCGCAATCTACCCGTCTGTCTATCCACAAATATATACATATATGTTTCATTTGATCGAAAATGTATATCACCTGTAGTGCGCAAAGCATCAGTATAAGTCCCACTGAGACAGCAGAAAAATTATTGATCATATTCAAGTTGGACGTAGTTGTTGAATAATCATATTTCAAGGTTGATCTTGAACTCAACATGGCTGATCGCATGTAATCTATTCTTCTTGAAATGACGAAAAGATCATCCTGCATTGATACAGATGAATGTTTGTTATATTTTCTTCCAATATTAGATAATTAATACTTAACTTATACTACAATAGAAGGAAGCCAATAGTAGGCATAGCCATAACCCGAAAGTCGAACCACGACTTGTTGACCCTTAGGTATATTCTGGTATCGGAAAGCAAACTTGTTCATTCTTTTCAGAACCATGAACTCGAATAGAGGAATATGCATTACCGGCATGCGGTTACGTGAACCACCACGCAATATCGAGGAACGCTTCAAGTGATCGTCACCATCGTTGATCGTCACAAAATACAAAAGATTCAAATCGCCAACCATCCCGATAAATAATATACTTTTATACAGTGCTAACTGGAGCTGTATATTATGCATATCCTGTACATTGCTACATATTTTGGTATAGTAAAAATACATCGATCCATTCACATATTAAACATATTGAAAAAATAAAACACAGCTACAGAGCCAATTTAATGTCTTACCAAAATATGAAACATGGTCCCGTTTCCAAGCTTATTTTCCTTGTGAAATTCCACCACCTTGTCTAGTCTGTATATTTGCATGAATATTTGAACTAAATGGTTTGATCGAGATAGTGTATTGTCCAAACAGAATACCAATGTTCCTAAAATTATCACGTTTCATGATTTGTAGCAAATGAGGTAGCAAAAAATTTATATTTTATATAAATATTTTATATTTTTATAAACGGCGGACCTAAAAGAGCACTTTCCTCTGCATAGCATGTAACACTCCACATACACGGATTCAGATTCCAGCAAATTAAGTATTTGTTAGTTTTCAGTTAAGTATCCAGAATTTGAGTTTAATTAGATAACTCATCCGTCATTTTGTCTTCGCAAGCGTTTTTAGTTTAGTTGTTGTAATCCAAAACAGTACCGAAATACAAGATAGACTGTATGTAATCTTTTGAAATTAGCAGCCAGTACTTTATGGTAGCAGAAGCCTCAACATTTAGAAAAAAACGTGATTTTGAAAATGTAAACTATATTGCATGCGCCGACACAATAATTATTCAAAATGTCGCAATGGTTAAGAACAGGAATAATACACCTGAAGTCAAAGTTCGGTGAAACATCCATCCTGACGCGGTTCAAAAATTTTTGTATTACTGATTTAGAAAATAATCCTGTTCCCCCCTTTTACTAATTCACACACGGTCTATGTTAGGAATGTATTAGGCTTTTCCAAAAACAATTTTAATGAGGCTTTTGAAAGCATTTACAATTACAATTTATGTTCGAAAGTCAACAACTACCTGTTTCGTTTGCAATAACTTCAAAATGACCGCCTCGTGAGTGTCGATTTTTCTGAATTACCGTTGAATTTTCAGCAAGTGCAACGAATGCTGCTATCGTAGCATCAGATAGGAAGGTTGGGGGAGAAACACACTGAAATATTGATAAATAGTTTTATATATATCATAATATGTCACTTTATTTCCGTTTGTAACCGACGGCACGGGTTTACAACAGAACCGAATAATGATGTGTCACAAATAAACTGGTCTTCGAGTGCGAATTTCAACAGTAAAGTATTCTCGGCAATAAAAATGATTGACATACCTCATATTCAAATAATATTTCTGTTGATCTTTCAACTTCTTGCATGAAACACTGAGTTTGTTTTCTCTTCACGACAACTTTAAATTCATATATTGAACGAAGTTTGTCATCTGTGAGTTCTTCCATATAGTTCGTGTATCTGTGCAATGCTTTTCTCATCTCTGACAAAACAATAGATTATATTTGTATTTTGTATTCTGAGTTGTATGCGCATTAAGATGGCGCATAACCTGAACTCAGGCTGTGTACCAGGTTAGGGTTCAAGTTATGCGACATCTTGGTGCGCATACTTCAGGAGTACCGTATTTTGTATATATCGTTTTAGAGCTCACACAGACACCAAAGAGTTACAAATTTAAATGTGATTCAATCGGGTACTGAGATTGTTTACCTTGACTTAACGTAACGTAACCCCGCTTATTGACCTCATGCTAATGGACTTTATTTTTTTAGATGCGTATAGCGCATTATCTAAAAAATTGATTGCAAGGACTATCACAATATGTAATCATCGCCTTTCAATGTCCTCTTGTATCGGTTTGTCGGATTCGAGTGGCGTCATTGAGTCGAGTCTAAGTGATCTTTAGATTCAATAATATATTATCTGAGTCAATCTTGTGAAGCATGTGGTTAGGAATCGGAAGAATATGTATATACATATGTAAAGATTGTGGCGTATTGCAGTGAAATTCTTACAAACAAGTTTTATACAACTACAATCATGAACGAATAATTTTTGCTGCCTTTTCGCAATTTCATATCATCAAATCAATATCAACATTTGACTTAATTTAGGTGGAAATTTAGCTTGAATATGCAACCTTTAAAGTCAGTTTAATAGGCTTCTTGAAAAATCGACCTACCTTTCATCATCAGTACTTCATGTTCCTGCGTTTCACAAATCTGGATACTAACAAAAATATTTAGACCTATCAACAAAAAGCCAACGCTTCTAATTGCACTTTTAGTGTATTTCATAATGTTCGTGCCGAAGCTGATACTGAATTTACTCGAAGCTTATTTAATATCCAGTTTTATGCTGGAATATCAACGAGTTGCCGGGTAGAGTCATACACAGATGATACATCCTTAAATATGAACTGATTTATGACTTCCTGCCGATGGGAAGTCGTATCGATTATCATTTTGACACTGCAGGCTGCTCCTGACAATGTTTAATTCTACGTGGTATATAGCCTAATATCCAACACACATAGCAAGCTTAAGAATTTGTTGCAAACTATTTATTATTATTATAAAAAAGTTTTTTAACGTGAGTAATCTTTTTAATTGTTGGGCAAGAAAATAGCGTTATCGGCTATAGGTCAAATATCTTTACATTGAATCTGTTTGCTTCAATTGCAAAATTTTGGAATCTCAATTTTTTTTTTAAATAGGACTTATCGTTTCACATGTTTTAATACCTAAGCAATCTTCACCTAGGCATGACTCATTTTGGAATACACGTACATACATCTTTCAACCGCAACAGCAAGCTGCTTTCAGTCACTTATTTCCAGTTCGTTGATTGGCGTCGGATGCTATCTCGGATTCTTTCACGTATATATAATAAATAAAATAAAATGCTACATTTTAGAGTTAAAGTTAAGATTTATATATTTCACATTGCATATTATGCTGTTGAAACGACTGTGAATAAAATAAAATTCATCGATCATGCTGGGCTCATATATGAATTTTATTTTGATCGTCTTTTTACATTATTTGTATTCCTATTATTATATCTTATGAAATGAGTTAGTGATGCTGTTACATATCAAAATAAATAGACACTAAACATGGTTATTTTACTCACACACGCGAAAAAGTAGTTTACACAGATGAAAGTTAATTTGGCAATTGAGGAAATATAAACATCACCTAGTTTCATTACTCTATAGTCCAGGTCCAGGGCTACTCAACTATTTTACCAAAGATCCGCATACAAAACTGAAAAGTTATCTGGGTCCGGTCTTTCCAGAAAATATATTTCGGCATCCTTAAACAAGCAATTCCTCTGCCGACTAATGATTGTTAGATAATCAAGATTGTTTGTTATGGCGTTATAGTTCTTTTCATATATATATACCTTTAAATCTATAAAAGTGATTTTATAAAAGGAAAGTTCAAAATTGGGGCTAATGATCCAAAATAAAGAATTATGCGCGGTCCGAATCAAATACCCAAAAGGTCGGATTCGGACCGCAGTCCGCCAGTTGAGTAGCCCTGCTCTATTCCATAGGTTCTCAAAGTGCTCCGTACGGAGCCCAGGGCTCCGCGAGAGTAACCCAGGGGCTCCGCGAGCTATTCGATTACTTTTCAAAATACTGACTTGGCTAATTTAAAACTGTTCCTAGAAGCAATAACAGTTTTGATGAAATTTGACAACAACATAGCCTCGAAATATGGCAAAGGGGCGGAATTAAGAAATGACATTATTTTTATAGGCAGGAGCGCAGCCAGGATTCTTAAGAGGGAGGAGGTTCAAAAGTGGAATCGGAAATTTACGCGCAACATTTTTGGCAATTAAAAAAAAACGGATAACGAGATTTCTGTTGCGTAAAATATTCAATTCATGACCGATGCGAGCATCTAAATTCTAAAGTGTCTTGTCGTAATAATTTAATTGTGCTCATCGTTACTCACGTTCGATTCGAAATTACTATTAGGATTACTAAAATGATAAAATACTATTCTAAAATAATATAAACTGCGTGATAAACTGCTAACTATAAATAAATTGGAGTCGTATTTTTGTGATCTTGGGATTTGTTAAACTTGATTTGTTCTTTCGCACTCGAGATTATTTTTAAGCAAAATGTCGCCGTTTGAAAAATCACAAGGTCTTGGCAAAATACGAACGATTGAAATTTATTTTAGTGCATGCGGCTCTGTCGGTAGTTTCAGAAAGGAAAAATGGTACACCACGCGCATAATTAATTGACTGTGTTTCAATTTCGCAGTTACTACGATGAATAACCGAAAACCTAACATAACACCAAATTTATGATTTACGATGTCTATAACAGCGTTTTTATTCTGACGTGAGTCTGCTGAAACAAAACTTATGGTGTTATCATCCATTTTAAGTTTTAGTTCTAATATTTTAGAATGCCGCTTTTTAATCGAGAAATTTGAATTGCGGATTTACCTCTTTATTAACTATTATTTTTAGCATTTCGTCGCCGATGATTATAATATGGTAACATGTTTTTCACATTGAACTCATAATTCCCCACGAGATTTATTTATGACATCTATTGACCCTAATAAAAGTGTTTAGTATTTAAATTGAGTAAAAGTACGTTTAACTTACTCAGGAATATTAATCGGAAAGTAACAATTTTAACATTTATTATGGGGCTCCGTGAATATTGGTCAACCTTTTCAAGGGCTCCGCAACGCCAAAAGTTTGAGAACCCCTGCTCTATACAACTAATGAAAAGTGAGGTTTTAATATGAAAGACACGTGTCGTGAATTATCAGGAAAAAAAAACGTGACCCACAATTGCTGAAGTCAGCCTAGAGTCGAAAGAAATATAACTTTAAGAATTATAAACTTATGCAACTGCAAAATTAGAGCTTATTTGGGTCAATGTTAATCAAACATTAAATGAAAAACACATGAAATTTTTTTAATATATCTTTTTATCTTAATAATTATCTTATATAATTTTTATTTTATTGTTGTATAGTGTTCTTTCCTGCAAGTTACAAAATAAATGTTGACAGTAATCTATGTCCTTTATTGAAACTTTTCATAGTTGGCAACCCTAATGATCATCCATATAAAACGTTATGCCTATTTCTTAGTTTAAACCAGAAAACAGCCAAGAACAGTATAATATTCCAGTAAGATATATATGAACTTGTTGCGATCCTGCAGGTGGTCACGAAACGCGCAAAAAAGGATGGGCCGCAGAGATCTTTTCCAGTATTTTGAGCAGGCATAGTAGGATTTTGAGCAAGGTGCCAAGTTATCGACGACTTTGTCATTGTAATGTAAATTCATTTCGTTTGGGGCGTAGATCAACTACAGAATGATCAATATGATGAACCCGATGAAAAAAAAAGCTTGATGGAAATTGTGATTCTACTTTACAGTCCAGATTCAAAAAAAGAATCACCATTACAATTTTGGATATATATCTCTTGATAACGAATACCCATCGCTAGGTAATCGAGCAATCAAACTGTTGTCCGTATTTTCAACCAGTTACTTATGCGTTATGCGAAAAAACATTTTCATCACTAGTTTTAATTGAAACGAAAATCGGCTGCACGCCCCTGCAGAGCTACGTGTTGCAAAAACTTCTTTAAGGCCTCGTTTGGCGTTTGCAATCCTATATTGGAAACGAAACAGAAGCGAAATTCTCACTAGAGTTAATTATGTTTGGCATGTACATGTTTTTATGTGAGATGTTTTATGTGTGCCTTTCTTACGCATAATGGGTGCCCCGCACTGCATTTCATTACGCAAATATATGGTATTACTTTATGTTCCACCCATTTCAATTTTTGGTCGGCACATTATTTGATAGTTTTTCTTCGTGTAAAATGTTTTCAATTGTGATTTTTTGTCTAAAAACATTGCATTATATCACGCAAATATATGTTATTCTTTCTTTTCAACTCATTTCAATTTTTTGTCGGTCCTCGGGTACGGTACATTTTATTTAATTTTACCGGTACGCCAGGGTAGAAAGGTTGGGAACCACTGTATTAGACTCTGTTGCGAATACGATGCAACGAATAGCTTCGTTTTGCAACAAAACTAATGGTTTCAGTGTTGTTATATTCGTCGCTCTGACTAAGAATGTCATAGTACCAATGAGAATTAAATTTCCTAAAATACCATAATCAGTTTTTATTTATTTGTTTTTATCAACCGTTTTATCGCCTATCTGCTGATTATGGAGTCGAAATAAACTTATCTTATCTTCCTGAAATGTAGCTAATGTATTTTAGTGGTGAGATGCCATCAATGAACTGTTATCTTCCACACAAAAAGGAATTTAATAATTACAGGGAAATACTACGAATACCGTGATGAAACCCGCGATTATCTCTCTATCATACATATGTTTTGATTGTGTATTTTTATACTTTTGCCAATTCAATTTCTATTGTAAAGTTATTTCGTAACCCGAAATGATATTCATTTAGTTTCTTTTGATGAAATAAGCTACTACCCAGTAGTTTGAGATTTGTATTTTATATCAAATAAACTGAAATTACAATTAATAAGCTAATGAATTGGTACAAATCAATATCAACTGGTCCGAATATGGCGTGAACCGATTTTGATGACGTGTCCCGTCCTCCAGTCCATACTCGTGTGTTACTTTATTATGCTTTCATTGTGATGCATGTTTTATAATGTTTGACGAAATATTAAATCTCTACGTGGTCCATTTTTGGTTCGTATATCAGATTTGTATCAAACATTGTGTCGGACCGGTCGGACCGATGACACATGACATGTTGTGGGACTGTATGAACAAACACAATGAATTCACCGGCTTGAAATGTAGCATTATTACCTTTCTAAACATACGTGAACGAAACAATACTACGTAATATGAAACCTTCTCAAGATTCGCGTTTTAGCATGGCCCGGGGCGGAAAGCATCTCCATATGTTTACAATTACGAGAAAACGGTTAATTCCTACACACGAAAACCGTTTGGACACGGGGAAGACTCAAATTTGTTTAGTTTCCTGGTTTGTACAGATTTTAAACCAATCATATTGCCACACGGTTATAACTTGAGGTCACAACGCATGCGCAATTCGCTCTAACGGCGCCACGTAAAAATGACAGTGTCTTAAAATAACCATAAGAGGCATAGGTCGCTCTATAGTTTTCTTTTACTAGTTTCGTAGTTGGACTGACATCTGTCGTCGTTTTAGATATAACAAGGTTTTAGGATTGACTAAACAAATAGGAAAAATGTTATTTCGAATTGTACCTGCATTTTTGGTTGCCCTTTTCGTGTTCGCACGGGGAGATGAAGAAGTGAAGACTGAAGATGATGTTTTAATTCTGACAGACTCAAATTTTGATGGCGTTATTGAAAAAAACAGTATGGTTCTTGTTGAATTCTGTAAGTATCTTTATGCATTTTACCGTATTTTACTTAAATTAGATATAACGCATTTGCATATGTACTGTATGTAAGTTACTTCAGTACTGCAGTACTTACAGCTGTGCAGATCTCTGAATCTGCAGATGCACCTTCTGACTGTCTGACCTTCCTGAAATTTGTGAAAAGTCCATTCTTAAATTCTGCAGTTCAAGTAATTCAAACTCGCTTCTGCATTGAAACTAAGCTAGTTGTTGATGAAGTCTGGAAGTGCTGACAGAGTGGAGATCATGATTGTATTGCACTAGTTTTATTGTCCCATGCTGTAATGCATTAATGGCCGGAAGGTTGAAGCATTGCAGCAGACTTTATTATCAGCATCACATCTGCACATGCCTGGCATGCCGTTAAGTATAGCGGCAGCGCCATACACAGTTCTCCGCTTGCAGGAATAGACCCCAAATTAAAAGACATCAATTACCGGTACCAGTTCTTGCAAACTGCTCCGTTTCAGTGCGGTAGGGTACTCTCGATTCCAAAATTAGCTCCCACATTGAACGGCATTATAACATTGAGTGCACACAACTCTATTACAGTATTATGAGTCTGTTTGAGTTACCATATCTGCACAAATCAGCAAACAGCACTTCACAGCTAAACTTAAGGGAAACCCAATCTGAAAACGCCACAGATTCTTCGAATTCGATATCCTGAAAAAAATATTTTATAGCAGCATCTGAGATTTTTTTGCAAAAAACACAATTTTGACGATGTGATGCCTGACGCATGTCAGTAGTTATTTAAATTGTTATCAGAGACGAGCATGGCACGATCTGGCGCATTCTGCATTCAGAGACAAATAGTTTCATTGAATCGGATGTCGGGACATTTTAGAATCAGAACTGTATCCTATTGCAAAGGGTCACTGAATAGCCTATTGTCCCATGTCCACTTAATCATCATCAACTGTGCAATCGTCAACACAAATGCTAAAGTGATGTTGTTGTTTCTTGCTCCATATTTTGCCTAAAGTTGTTTTTATCACTGTTTAATAATATTAGCTACCTATGCTCTGAACATGCTGTTCGCCAAACCATGGGTTTAATTCATAAAATCTGACATTTTAGTGTTATTATGTTTTGGGGTCACGCTGTAGAACAAAAAAATGAGACATAATCATTTTTGGCTTTACAACGACTATCAAGAGTTGGTATTTTTAACCACTTTCATTGTGAATGTAAAACAAGTCAAATCAAACCGCCTTGTCTTAAAAGTCTGTAAACACGTAAGAAACCCTTATTGTTTTAAGCTGTATTGTTTCTATGACATCCTATACTTAACCAAAGGAATATCCAAAATTAATTTCAGTAAATATCATCAGCCTATAAACTTGTTTTAAAAGATGCTCCATGGTGTGGACATTGCAAAGCTCTGGCCCCCGAATATGCCAAAGCTGCCAAGAAATTGCTCGAGAAAGAAATGGCACCAAAACTGGGAAAAGTTGATGCTACCGTAGAGAAAACATTAGCAGAAAAATATAAGGTCCAAGGATATCCTACCTTGAAGTTTTTCAAAAATGGCGTTCCATTAGAATATCAAGGTCTGTGTTTCAATACTTATATATATTACTAACATTTTTGATTTATATTGACCAGACACAGATTGGTGTGTTCACTGCGGTGATCTCGCCCCTGAATGGATAAAGATCGCTAAAAAACTGAAAGCGAAAAAATCTAAAGTTGCGGTTGCGAAAGTCAATGGTGATAATTGTAAAGAAGTGCTTCAGAAATTGAAGATCACTGGATTTCCCACTATTATGCTATTTAAGAAAAAAAAAGTTTGGGAATATGATGGCAAGAAATTGTGATTTAGAATACTGGGGTTAGAGAAATGCATGAATTTGGAAAAGGACTAGGAATTGCAATAGCTGGCAATAAATTCGAATTTTTGGCTAAAATATGTCTGAATTGAGCATGTGATATGGTACCGAGTATCCAACTTTTTTTTATAGAAAAGTTTCGTAATGTGAAAAATTGATTTATTTGGTGTTTATGGTTTAATGTTCCTTATTAGTGGTACTTTGAACATAGTTGACTATAGCATGATTAGTTGTAGTTATGTTTTTGTTTTGCTGATTGCTTTTTCCACAACAAGTTATATTTTTAATGTAGGAGGACGTACTGCTGATGAAATTGTTACCTGGCTCGAAAAGAAGACAGGACCACCATCCAGAGAACTTAAAACTAAAGAGGAATTGGAAAAATTCCAGGGAGACAATGATGTCTGTGTTGTTGCTTTCTTTCCTGTAAGTGACTTTAAATGCAACTTGTACTGTGTTTTTATCAAAAGTTAGGGTCAAAATATAATTATTGATGGTTTAGGTTCCAAGGAGTTCTGAGAAATGTGACGAAGTTCTAGTTGCTCAATGGCCTAGTACTCATAAATTTGTCGGAATTAATTAGTTAGCATTGTATGTTCCATGCCCACCATCTGACTCAACGTTGAAACAATAGACAACAATTTATTTTCAGAATAGTTTCGCTTTAAATCAGGGGTGTGTAACAGTTAATGTTGATATCAGTTGATGTTTAAAAAAGCACTCACATGGGTAGTGTCAACATCGGATTACAGTTCTTTCAAAAAATAATATCCTGACTACTTAAGAGCCTTGTTAATAACATGTTTAAAAAAAAGTTTCATGGATTTTTACTAACGTGTGTTATATTATAGGATGCTGAAAGCTCAAATTCTAAAGTGTACATAGAAGTGGCTGATGGAATGGATGATGTTAGCTTTGCTCATATTTCTGATGCTGCAGTCGCCAAAGAAGCTGGTATCGGTGAAAATAAAATTGTTGTCTTCAGAAAGGTTAGTTAGATTACCATAGTTTTAATTTTCCCTGTTTACCGTATGACAGATGAGTCGTAGACTTTTCAAGCGTAGAATTTAAACTTGCCTCGTTTCAATGAAAAAAATAATATCAAACTGCTGTTTGTATTTCAATGTATTTCAAATGTCAAATGTGCCACTTGTTAATACATGGTTCACATTGATATTTTTTTGTGTGTCAGTCTCATGAAATGTACTATGCTATATTCTAAAATTGCTTCATTGATCTTACCAAAGCATACCATTGAACCTTTTCTTTATTAAACTTGGGCTGGCTTTGAGAAATTCAAAATTTTGAGCATAGTTCATTGTTTATTTCATCCATTATTTCAAAGAACGAGCCCAGGCAGGTCTTCCAAGGCACTCTCAGTAAAGATAAACTGGGGGCCTGGCTCTTAGACAAAACATGGATATTTTTGCAAGAAATGAATGAACAGGTATTTCCTTTGTGGAGAAGCTCTTAGAAGAGTTTGGAGGGTGGCATATTGTAGTTCATCAGTCGGTTTGCCTAAATATATGGTATTGGGGATCTGCTGGATATATGTCATGTATCAAGCCACCATATTGTAATTGCATATCTACAACAAAACATGATGTATATATATATACCGATCTAGTTGAATGCAGCTTATGTGGTCCTATTTGGCTTTTACTCGAATTTTTGGTTTCCTAAGTTTATACATATAACTGTTAAAAAGCATTTTTGGTCTTGTCAGCGAATTTAAAAATTTGGTACTGGGTTGCTACATGGCATGTTGAGCAGATGTTTTACTTTTATCGTGTTTTACATAGTTGGAGTAGTTGCTAGAAATGGCATGTTTGATTTATTAGTTTGAAGATGAAGAACCAAAAATGGAATATGAAGGTTCTGGAACTGAGGCAGATAGCGTCAGAGATTTCATCAAGGGTAATCAACTCCCTCTCGTTAGTGAATTTACTCAAGAGGTAAGACTGGATATAAACCTTAATATCATTGGTCCAATAGATTTCTGTTGAAATCATCGGTCTTTAGGCCATGGTTCTGCTCTAATTTTCAATGATGAAAGGAATATAATGTTATCTAGCTGCAATTTTTGAATTTTGGTGAAAAAATATTTGGTAATGGCATTGTTGTGCATGTGTTTCATGGTAAAAGAGTATTCTAGTGTGCCTTAGTGCTCTGCTGAATGCAAGTTTAAAAATTTAAGAATCGTTGAGTAATTTTAGGTGCTTGGAACATTTACTTTTTGATATTAGCATTCAGTGAAGGAATGTGGTTTCCTCTGCTAAATTTTATAACCTAGTATTTTTGTGAACCATTTTCTGGTTTACCTTTTTTTTTTATAAATTAGGTTTTTCAAGTCTTTTTCACCTTTACGTGTATGATGATTTTCACTAACGGAATGAAAGTTTATTTTTTCAAATTATTATAATGGAATAAAACTCCTTTACTCTTATATATTCTATTCCATTAATCCAATTTCATTCCTATTACCGGTAAATCCCAAGTTACCATGTGTGTAATACCATGTATGTAATTTCACATTGTATATATAACCTTTCCCTAATACGTTACCCTGTATATAATTTTACGGTGTATAAATAACCTTTCCTTATATTATATGCTCAGTCTGCTCCTAAAATCTTCGGTGGAGCAATCACAACACACAATCTTCTCTTTATCAAAAAATCTGACGATGGCAGCAAGGATCTTTTACAAAAATTCAGAAAAGCTGCAGAATCTTTCAAGGGCAAGGTAAGTAGAGTATATATAGTAAAAAAGCATTTCTTCTCTGTAATGTACTGAGACTGTTCTAAAAAAAAAAATCACATCAACAGCATGTATAAGTCAGCGGTAAAAATAGGTCGCATTAAGTTGAATCAAATCTGTCAGATCAAAGTTTTTTTTTCATTTTTAAAGTTTTTTTCATTTCGTCGTAAACTGAATTGTTGCATCAATCGTCACTTATTTGGCTTCTCGGTAAGAACCAGAATAATCCATCATAAGTGATTTTTTTCTGGGAGTTCAATAACCCCCTCAAATTAGAGTAGATGTTGCGGCTCTGAGTAGATTTTGAGTTTGACTAAACGGATGCCAAAGAAAGCTCTTTCAATGCTAAAGGTTGCTGACCAGTGGGCTATTGTATTGAATTCAATAAATTTTTGAATTTCATATTGATTTTTCTTATTTTAGTGTTTGGGATCAACTTTTCACTTGAAGTAATTTCAAATTGTGGTTTGAAATTGTGCTTTTTTTAGGTACTTTTCATTTACATTGATGCCGATATTGAAGAAAATGCAAGAGTTATGGAATTCTTTGGTCTCTCACCAAAAGATTGCCCGGACTATCGTATCATCAAGATGGATGAAGACATGGCCAAATACAAGCCAGAATCTACTGAATTTACCACTGAATCTATCACTGAATTCACACAAAAGGTTGTTGATGGAAACATCAAGGTAACTAACTCCATAATATTTAATTAGTTATACCTCTGTATATTCGATCAAACTTGATCGCGTCGAACACAAAAAACAGAATTATTGTCGCTGTCACTGAGTTTTATTATATTTAACGATATTGTGGATTTGTGGTACATCATACCTAAAATACCTTTCTCCATTCGGATTTCTAACAATTTTCAAACATTTTTAGCGTCACATGAACACAGAGGAAATTCCAGAAGATTGGAACAAGAAACCTGTGCACGTTCTCGTCGGAAAGAACTTCAGAGAAGTTGCTTTTGATGCTAAGAAGAAAGTTTTCGTTGAATTTTGTAAGTGAAGATAATATTTTTAGCAAGTAAATCGTTTGGGTTTGTGAACTTCAATGTTAAAACAGATTTGTGCTGTGGTAGGTAGCTTTGCCATGGCTAGGTAGACGTTTTATTAAGCAATTCAAGATGATAGTCGTTTCTCTTAATTTTACATATGAATTTGTACAACTTTAGTTGTCCATTCTTAATTTGTAATCTACCTCAACAGTATTCATACTGCAATTGCTTATCGTTGTTCTTACGCAAAAAATTTTCATGCTTGTTCGTCCCTCCAGATGCACCTTGGTGTGATCACAGTCGACGGTTTGCTCCTACATGGGAGGTTCTGGGTCGTAAATATCGGAATGTTGCCGATGTGATCATTGCGAAGATCGACGGCTCGAAAAATGACTTGTTTGGCATCAGAGTAGCGTCATTTCCAACACTACTTTACTTTCCGAAATCTTACCGGAGAGAAGTGAGCATGAGCAGTTGATGTTTAGAAAACTGTATTCAGTATTAGATAATCATCCACGTAGCACAAGCTGAGAATATCTATTCCCCACAAGCTGAGAATATCTATTCCCAAAGCCCGGTGCCGAGTTGCGCCATGAATAGTTTTATTAGTTTCATTCATACATGATTGCACGATATTTTAATCAGACCGTGCATAGTCTACTATTATAGTTCACAATACAGAAGTCATCGTGATCTTAGTGCAATATTGTCGTCATGTAGCCAGTATATATTGTTTAGCAATATATATTCTAAGATGGACTAGTACGCAAGTCTCTGTTTCTACATGTGGTTTATCTATATTACATAAGTTTTAATCAGGTTCGAAAACAATTGTAATAATTGTTCGTGCATAACGAATATAAACTTAGTTTCATGTTCCAAATTCATTTGGATATTTTCTGGTATAAAACATCTTTCCATTTGATATGTTAATTCTATTCTCCAGTCATTACTAGTAATCAGATTCTTTCAACTAAACCACATAACATGCATGCGACATTCAGCTTTGTTGTTGTCCTTTAGATGCTCCATGGTGCGGTCATTGCAAACAACTTGCTCCCATCTGGGATAAATTGGGTGAAAAATACGCCGATAGAGATGACATCGTAATTGCAAAGATGGATTCAACAGCCAACGAAGTCGAAGAAGTCAAAGTATCGGGATTCCCCACCCTCAAATACTTCCCAGACGATCAAGAATCTAGTGTAAGATAGTGCATTGCTGCGTCATGGAGTTTTAGTAAATAACTCACTTCTGATGATCTTAAAGTGATCACAGATTATATGTGTAGTGTGGTATTAGATGTCCTAAAATTTTGAACATTGAATTTGCAGAAAACAATCGTATCGTTGTTCAAGGTTCGTACTTCGGCGTTAAATTTAGAGAGGCAGTGACACTGCGCCACTTTTTCTTCAATATATGCTACATTTATTTCTAAATAGATGGAATTTCAATGCTAAATCCTTATCTATTGTTGTGTGTAAATTGCACACCGGTTATTGCACAGTTTGAATAGTTCTTGGTTTGAATAGTTTGAATTCTCACTCCGTGGAGGCTTTAAGTTATGAGAATACATTGTCATCAACCCAATTTAGGTAGAGTTCCATCTTTGTGCCAAGATTCTTTTTAAGTATTTGATAAACTGATTTTTTTCTTTATATAGGTTGTTGATTATAACGGAGCAAGGACACTGGAGGCTATGATAAAGTTTATTGATTCCGACGGAAAAGATGTAAGTGGTGGTGGCGATGAAGAGGATGAAGAATTAGAAGAGGTGTGTAGTGATAGATTCCAGTCAGGAAATCTTTCGATTCGTCGACGTGTCTCCTGGTTACGTGTAGTCACACGTAACCAGGAGACACGTCAACGAATCATGATCTGGAAATGATTTCCTTGCTGGCTAATGTAGTTGAAGTTATGCCAATGCCACTCAATTTTGTGGCCTATGCAAATGTATGGTTTCATGAGAGTCATATTGAAGTAGATATGGTAAGTTTATGATGCCATGAATACATGCATTTGTGTGGTTAAAAAATATGAATTATTAATCAGTTCTCTGCTTTTGCCAGGATATTAAAATTGGTTTATAGAAATTTTTTATAAATATAAACAGCTTTCAAAATTTTTGAATTTGTACATTCATACAGAATTTGATCTCCCTTAAACATTGAATTGGTACAATAATGAATTTCCGAGAATTCGCGAATGGCGAACTTCATTAGTTGTAGCAGTAGTCATCAAATTGGGTTAATTTTTTGTTTCTAGCAAGAAAAATTCAACCACATAATTTTACTTAAACTTACTAACCAGTAGTCAGTAGAATCACAAACATAATTTGTTGAGTAGTGATTTAGTTTGCATTGTGGTAGTTGCTTTCAACCTTTTTTAATAGTTACTAGCGATTTTGCAGTAGTTATATCGGCTACCTGATCAGTTTAACAAAAAGTAATCGCAGAATGAAATGACAGAATTTTTGCAGTTTTCAAAATGTTGAAAAAAAAATTAAACACTAAATGCCTAAAAATTCCTAAATATAAAATCGATTTGCTTTATCATTTTGCTTGAGTAAAGCAACCCATATCTCCAAATGTAAATCACTACTGCATCGCTATCTCCAGCAAAAATAGTTTTAACTTAATAGTTCAATACTAATTGGTAAACTATGGAATGCAAGCTTTGTGTGCTTATCTATGATAGATCAGAATTGTTGGTTTTTGTAGATCTGAAATTAGCTCTTAGTAATAAAGGTATGGTGTGGATTCTGTGGAAATTACACAACGGTTTTGGATTTTTGTAGTATGTTATTCAATGCGCTCTGTTGCTCCAGTGTGCACTTGGTTGTTGTTAATTAACTCTGGAGAATGAGAAGCAAATGGCAAATGACGTAGTATTAAATATTGTGTATTTTAGTTTTACGTTGCATGTTGAGTAAGCGAAGGTATTACATGTGAAGCAAATAGGTTTAGTATTTCGACCTGTGTTCATTAGTTTTAAAGCTAATTATAATGCATGACCAAGTTACAGGTGTTTGAGGAGTTAATGGTATGGGTTTATTCAATGGTCGTAGTTAAGAATTGTTGGTCAAATCGGAAATTTGTTGGAGAACTCAGCAGTCTATCTATGTGGTACATGATGTCTTGCTGCTATCCCTTGTATATTGCCAGTGATAGTTAAAATGTTGATTCAGATTGTTCCACGTAAGAAAGGAGAGGATGAAGGAATCTCCCATCCAGGTGACGATCAGTTACCTGATGATTTAGAAGACAAATTGCAAGAAAAACTTGATAAAATGCCTGAATACCAGGAGGCATTGACTGCTCAGAAACATATGAAACAACAGAAAAAGGGCCAGGCTGGTCTCTCTGGTGCATTCGGAGGAATGTCGGAAGATGAAATCACAGCTCATTTTAAAGAAAGATTCAAAGAGATTGCCGAAGAAAAAGGTTTGAAAATTCCCGACGGGTTATACAATGCTACTTTGAATGCCACTGAGGTCAATAGTACAGCGCAGAATTTTGTGGACCCGTACCAGAATTTAACTCAAGAACAAAAAATGGAAAAGTTAGCGGAGCTGAAAAATAAGATGGAGGAAATGAATCAACAGTTTGATAAGGAAATGGCAGAATTCTTTGAATCGGTAATTTGTGTGTCTTAGCGTCCTATTCTATTAGAAAGTCTATATATTTACAGTTTTTATACTATTTAGATTAGAAGCATGGTAATGAATAGGTGGTACCGCTTACATTGTCTTTTCTTTAGTAATGGTGTATTTGGTATTCATGGCTAGCGTTTCTTATGAATTGGTTATATAGTTTCTGGCTTGGGATAAGCAATATCGTTAGTTATTAAAGGTTGGGAGAATTAGGTCTTGCAGTATAAGCATGAAATACCAGTGATTTTGTCTGACAACTAATTCTTCGGAAATTGAACTTTCAAGGGTTCGTTCATGAAAGATTTGGAAGCAAATATGCCACCTAGTGACGTTAAAGAAATGCCATCTGGAAATGATGCAGATGATCATGCTGAAGAAATGCCATCAAAAAGTGATATGGATGCATTAAAGCAAGCGACAGAAAAGTTGAAAGAGAAAAGCAAAGGCGATAAACAAGAACTTTAGGATTAAATTGATAAATTTGTTATAGAAAAATAGATTGCGAGAGTGAATTTTGATGGACTTGCTGTCGGTTGAACTGAGCTTGCTGTATTTCGGTCGTTTTTAACAAATCACTGAAAGCCTTTGTGTGGTGTATTAGGAAAATTTACTTGTTGATTTAAGTTTTAAAAAAAAAAGTACTTGGAATATAAAAGCGCTCATGAGAAATTGTTGAAATGAATCGACTTGCCAGGTGTTTATGATAGATTTCCACATCCAGGTCAGGAGACTTATTGCAGAGAAATATCAGATTGCGATTCGAAAGTAAATTAAAAAAACATAATACGAATATGAAATTGCTGCATTTTCATAACTCTGTTCTTCTGTACTGTAGGCTTTGTTTTAAATTATGCGAAGAATCTGCACAAGATTAATATATATAGTATTTAGTCTAAAGTAAGATAAAAATTGACATTTCATGATATGCAGGATGGAATCGTTTTCGTAACAACCAAACTACACACAATCATGACATGCTTGTAAAACAAGTGATGGAGAAATCTTATCTCCCGATGCACAGTATAATAACAAGTAAACTAGGCAACCACATTGCATAAAATAGAGCAGCCAAATAGATCACTACAGATGAGGGAAATTTAATTTGCATTCTATCCAATGAGCAAATATGAACATCTTTATTAACAAGACGAGGCCACACGCAGCTCCGGGGTACGCCAGAGATAATATTGCGCAATGATATCAGTAATGCAATAATCGGTGACGATAACCAATTTCTTGCGCGATTTGTTGGATTATCCAAATAAAACTAAAATTAATTTGTCAATATTACCAGTTAAAATTATAGACAATATGGATAACACGATCACAAAAAATATGAATTCCAGTGTTGTGCCAGTTCACTAGTCCCCTCCTGTCTCATGGGGTGAAATTGTGCTAAAACTTGCATTGTAACCAAGACTGTTTTCGTTGTTTGTGTCGCATTAGATCATCTTTGCAAAACTTAACACTAGAGCAAACTTTTAATTTTTTGAATCAAATCATTCCTGGTATGCATGACCTTAATGTAATAAGATAGTCCTGCCATTTTTTTTTACCAGAATATACTTGTGTTCTATGTGTGATTGTCCATAGCTTTGTTAATAGGATAATTTGAATTTCCCAACTAAAACATCCAGCTAATAAAAACGAAAAACGATAGTAGCAACATCCTAACAAAACTACTTTCATTTACTCTAGAATAATGTTTCACATCCTGATTATATTTTTCATTCCATCTTCGTAAACTTATCTTTGGATATTCTGCGCTTTAACATATTATGTTAACGAACGTTTTCTTTTTTCCCAGGAGGATATTGATGAAGAGGCCGAAGATCAAGAACAAGAGGAAGTTGAGCAAACAACCGATGGAAAAGATGAATTATAAAATGAAATTATTAGTCGTTTCGATTTTTTGAGCGTTACGCCTGGGACTGTGAAGCAGCAAAAGAGTGTTAAAGCCCCTCATGAAATAGCAGTAAATTTAGATGAAGGCATTTCTATTTTGTTTTGAGAAGTGTGCCATAGGAATTCTTGACCCATTTTTCGGTTTTACAATTTTTTTTTTGTGCCAAGCCAGCTATTTGCTCTATTGCTCTGTTAACTTTATTTAAAAGAGTCCCTTCAGATTAATAAGATGTGCGATTGACAGCATGAATATTTGAAATCTTTATCTTGGTGTCTGTTCAGCATCTATGCATTTAATTTCTTGAAATTTTGACGGGGATTAAATGAGGAATTCGGAAATCTTCCCGCGTTATTTTTTTTGTTAAAAGCATGTATTAGCAGCTTTAATGCTCTAGTGAGGAGTGTTTAGTGCGTGGTTGACTGATTGTAAGCTGGTCTTCCTGGCAATGCTCTCGAGAGGATATCCCTTGTCGGATCGTCTGAGCAGGTGGTAGAGAATGAAGAGTTCTATGTTGGGCACCTATTGCGTTAACGGCGGGGAAGACTACTACCTGCTCACAAACATAGGGTGCAATTCGGTTCGATAAGACCAGGATACAGCAATGTCCGTATCCAAGAACCAAGAAGTTCTTCGAACTCGGCGACGACGTTTTCATACATCGCCTCCGAACGAATAGACTCGGACAAAGAACGGTGGAATCACAAATCGGACCCACCCTCTACGCATGCACGTCCATGCCCATCCGCCTACACGAAAGGCAATACATATATATATTGGACAAAACCGAATATATGCAAAAACTAGTCCATAAGAAGGGTAAAAAACACAGCAGGTTTAAGATGTGAACTTCGAAAGAGTAGCCGGATTTCGAGGTCGTATGGGGCGCAATTGTATGTTAACTCGAAATAAGGATTGGTAATATGATAATAAATATGACGATCATTTTGTAGTGACAAGTCAGTAAGTTCGGAGGTGGGTTATGGAAAAGTGTTAACATGTTGTATATTTCTTCTGCTTCATTGACTGTAAGATTATCATGAGAAAATACAAATTTGTGGTAATATTGTTTTGCTTCAGTAAATCGACTCGATTAAAATAAATTATATGGACTAGAAACAAAATTTTCAGGTTAATTTTTATAATCGCATTGTATAAACCAGGGGTGTGCAGAATTTTTTGTTGGTGGTCCATATAGCTGGGCCACAACAAAATAGTTTTCCCATGCATACAACGAATGAAAAAGTAGCGACAATCTGGCGCCTCAGTAAAGACATGAGAAGGGAACGCGGCTATCTCTTACCCTTCCAACGATAAAGGCACAGGGCAAAACGCCGAAAGACTTAACACTGCAAAAGCAGGAAACATCATTATATATATAATATATTCATTTTTTACCCATGTGAGCGCCCCTTTAAACATGAACTGTCGGATTAGGATTTGATGTGGAAAAAATCGGAGGTTGCATCCTGATATGGACAGGGGATTTGCATTGTTTAACTTCCCATCTGTGTCGACTCTTGATGATACGATAATAATTTACAACATTGTCTTCGTAGCCAATTTATTGTAATGAATATTTTGAAATCATTATCGGCATTATGCCCGTGAATTAGATTAGACGATATGATACAACGAGCTTAACGACGCATAAATCTCTGTATGGTTCCAATATGCCGGGCCGGCCGCAAATATAGCTATCCATTTGATTGTTTTATAGGGAGCATGTTGTTTATCGTCATTGAGGTGGCATGTTCAGGAGTAGTCCTGGACCTGAACCGGCACCACGACCGCGAGAATCCCCTCCCTTTATCTCGCGCCCACAATAATTGTATCCATTAGATTTTTTACAGTAAGCGAGTTGATACTGCTATTTGAGTGACATGTTGGGTAAAGCAGATGTGACAAAATTGAAAATCGGCTTAGACTTGCGAGATTGTAGCATTAAGTCACGGTCGATGGTGTGGCGCATCGTGATAAGCGTTAGGAATATGCTCGCCACCGCAATTCTGATAACCCTGCATAAGTTTGCAGATTCGAATCCGGTGGCGATAATTATGTACGAAATGATTGCTGGAGTCATCACCGACGCCTCGGTGGTTTAGGTTACGGTTTCCCCCGCCCCCCCCCCCCATCAAGTACATGCATCTGAAACTAATAACTGGTTACTAATCCCACACCCGACGAGAGGCCGTGGTTTGCCATATGATTAAGTCGTTTTATCTCATTCCTCTCCCCCGGGATATTTATATCCTATCCTATTCATTCGATATCCGCTTATAAGCAGGTTTGCATGCCTATAAAGTAAACCAGTGATTTCTCCCCCTTCCATCCCCGAAATTTTAAAACCCCATGATTTGCCTCTTTCATACACGTTTCAAATGATGCTATTTTGAATGAAAACGTGTTATTTATAAGTAAATAGATATCGGTTTTCATATATTCTATATTTGAAATTCTCTACTTTGTAATTTTGTTTTTGATAAATAAAAATATAAGACCCCCCCCTCGAAAATAAGACCCAGTGTTATGTTCGAGGTAACAAGGTAACAGAATCAGGATAACAAACAAAACCGCACTACTAACTTTTGATTGTTGCAAACAAACTGAAAGTTTTCGGAAGTCAAAATCACCACTGAGTTATTCAAATCGTACAAAATATTGCAGACGTTACTAGAAATTGAAAAATAGCAGTCAAAATTACAAATACAAACTAATCTTCACCCTCGTGCCTTTAAATATGCCTCGAGTTTCTCAACAGCTGCTGAATTTTCAATTGCAAAGTCACGGTCTACATGGGTTTATTCGTGCTGACACCCACTGGCACCTGACAGTGACAACTACAAGCCGATTTTGCGGAAGTAAACAAGGATGTCGCTGCGGAAAAATACCTTATCCGTTATCGGTCAACACCGCATCAAAGTGACTATAAATCGTTTATAGTCACTTTTCACCGCATGAAATATTCTTGAAAAGCTGAAAAGGGTCGAAGAATAACAAGAATAAGAGGTATGGCTGGCTCTTGTTGCACCGTCGGTGTACTGACAGTAACTTAAGTGTCCTCGGAGTTTGAATTCTATTTTATAGCATTTTTCTAGTTCGGATGCAAGAACCAATCTGTTTCAGCTGTGTGCAAGTTAGTCATCGATCTGTACGGTAAGCAATCTCTACATCCTGCAAGCTCCAGTTGAAAAACGGTTTTGGATTTGGAATTATCTTCTGTTCTCAGTTCTCGAAATGCATTAACCTTAATTCTATTACTGCAGAACTTTACATTACCGGTACATCCTGAATACGTTGAAAACAAGGACACTCACTTTAATTTGGTGATCGCAAATGTCAGAATATATAAGTTACCTATCCTGTATCACAGAGATGTGAATTTGAGTTAGACTACATTAAATTGATAGTCTAGGACAGGGGTTCCCAGGCCCTTTTCAGGACGACCCCAAAGACAACTTTCAATCGTCCAGTGCGACCCCAGTTCAATACATATATTTTCATGGAACTTTAGAGCTTCTTTTACTGGACTTTTGAGTTTGGTCAACAGTGATGTCACAATACTGCAATGAGCACTTACATTTTCCATAGCAAATGCATAGAGCGATGCCTATTGGCCTGTTTTACAGTAAGCCATGGTACAAACTGCTAAATTTAACATGGTTTGTCAAATCTCAGATATTTTGTACATCCATTCTCTACCATACCTCTGCGACCCCACCGACCCAATGACCTGTTTGCGACCCTACCTACCTCTCACTCCGACCCAATTTGGTGTCGCGACCCCTGGTTTGGGACCTGTATCCCGTTATCGGTCCTGCACATGGATGCGCACAAAACAATGATCAATCACTGTTCTTACTGTTAAAATATTGTCTTTCAGTCCTTTTTAATTATGTTGACCCTCTCTCTCTTCATTCACGTTTAATCAATCCAAAATCTCCATTTTCATGCTCGTAACTATCATAGTGGTGAGTTGCAACTGTTCTCCGCTTTCATCATTCAGACATTAGTTATCAAGACCGATACACAGGCAGACAATAAAAGTTTAGCATACTTACTTTACTATTTTTTCTTTTATATTCCATACCAGTCAGCCAGTAGATATTCTAACCATTATTGACTATACACTGTAACATGAAGTTTTTATCTTTGACAACACTCGCACTTGCGCTTGTAACTGCATACATTTGCAATACTGTCTGGGTGATGTATACTTTATGGAATCCTAAGGAATGCTCTTCACAAAACAGGGGAATGTGTTTGACCTCTTATGGTTCAAATAAAGTCAAATGGAATGTAAGTATTAAAGTATGGAAGTGAAATCCTACACATCATTTTAAACTATTATCAATAGCCAGTTTCGAAAGGCACCTTTTAACGAAGGCTCAAAGTGACTAAGAGTAATCCGGACTTATCATATAACTGCCAGAACTTATTATCATCAACAATTTTTTGTTAAAAGTCTTTTTTAAATTGTGTAGTTAATAATTTATAAGTGATGTATTTCTGTACTTGGATATTTGTGGGATTTTTTCATCTGCATGACATATTATTATTAATACCGATATTCAAAATTTCTAATTATGTTTTGGTAATCAGGCGACACAAAGAGATTCTAATAAGACTATCACTGCAAAAAGCTTCCAAACAATCGGTAATCATAAAGCAAATTTTTGCGGCACTAAATCATTTTTTCTTTCAGTTGAAAGTGTATTGCACAAAGAAGAAAAAGGTTTCAAATTATTCGAAGAATGATCTTGTATGGGAGTTGAAAGATGTTGATTTCCAATCAAAAATTACTGAGTAAGTTAATCTGCGCATTCCTGGATAGGTACTGTTGTTTGAAATCAAAATGTCCCCAGCCCCAGTGCCGCAGTATAATCAGATCGTAGCTCCAGCTCGAGCTGATCTCGTTTCTACTTCAACATCTTGTCTCCAGCTGGGTCCCCATAGCCAATGATACACATTTGGTTTTTCTGCTGCCATGAAGCATCAGCCCATTCGCATTTTTGCGGCAGTAGGACTCAAACCATGATGAGGTTTTTAAAATTAAACTGGAGCCACTATAATTTCTGATACCTCTGGCTACCATCTTCATCTTTCCTAATCCTGGTTTTTGGGAAATATTTGAGATGTGTAGAGAACCTGGTTAACTGATAGTAAACTATCTTTAGTAAGTTACTAAGAGTTTAGAGACCTAATGCAATTACTGAGATAACATTTTTGCTATTTTTTCAGGAGTGTCACAATTCCTTTATCTCTACCTAAACATTCAAGTACCCGACTCTACTTCCATGTAGTCGTGCATGAGAACGAACAATCCAAAACTGGAGAATTTTCAGTTCATCAATCGACTAATATCACAAAGTATTCCAAGCCATTAACATATTTTAAATTGGTCGATGACAAAAATGAGGTGATTATCTCTTTTTTTTTACCTTTTTCAATTTGTGTTTATTTTTTATACCCCAATGATTGACCAGTCATATACAAGATGGAAAATGATGAATGATTTTATATGTCCTGCCTAACAAGTAGTTCATGAACATATTTTTTGCACACAAAGTTATCTTGGATATCATTTTGCCAAATTGCTGTCATTTCTGAGATGAAAAATTGCTGTTCCAATTTTCCATATCAATAACTATGCCACCACATGGTTTTTCTGTCATTAAATTTTATGATTTAGTGCAAAACTAGGATTGATAAATTCTTAGTACAAATTATCACTTTGTGTCAATAGATTCAAACCTTGTGCTCTTATTCAGAATAGATCACAAATGTTCTTTTTATTATCACACACGCTAGGCACTTTATTACTTGCTTTAGAATTTCAATCACAGAGTCTCTTAATCTTATTATCTTAGTATGACATTATTGATCATTCAATACTATAATTTAGACATTACATTTAATAATTAAACTATGAAATATTCATATTCACAGACAAAATCAAACTCAACAGATCAGGTATTGCATTGGAGAACCAAAATGAATGTTCATGTCATGCATCCGTTTTTCAACTTCGATCGAACAGAATTTCCTATGGAAATTTTCAAATATATAAAGTAAGATGGGAGATAATTTTTTTTGAGTGTGTTGATTAAGGAAATAAAACTAATAAACATGGTCACAATGTGTGGGGTTTTCAGACCTTTGACTCAACATGAGTGGGACTCGAGTCATCTTTTATAGGAGACTCGAGTCATCTATATTAAAGGAATTGAATGAATGAACTCATACATAACCAACAGTCAGAGGCATTTGATTGATTCAGAATAGTTTTGAGTAAGAACTGAGCAACCCTCTCTAAATAATCTCTAGCTAAATAAATATATCTCATATAATGAAATTGAGGAACTTCTGGGATGTAGATTAATAGAGATTGTATATCCGTTTCCTTCCCAAATTTGTACCAAAACAAGATTTAGTCGTAAATTGCTCAAGATAATGTCAGGAAGTTAAAACTCTTGCTGATCGAGATCAGATGAAACTTCATAAAAATATCTTTGTGTGCAGCAAGGCTTTTAAATCACATGGACTGGTCTTTATTCCTGCAAGTGCATTCTTGCATTATTAGATGAGGTACCATATATATAGTTAGTCTGGCGTACGCGTAACGTTAACTGATAGCCGCAAAGTTAAAACTAGTAATCTATTTTAATTATTTATTATATTCAAAGGCAAACAAAAAGTGGAAATTATCTTCCAGTCTTATTCATAGATGAGCTGGCATATTTGAAGTCTGATTTAAAGGTAGGCTATTTAGTATTTTATTTTAGTATATAATCAAACACTTCAAGTTAGTCCCCATATTAAGCTTTTTGGCTCGATAAGTAACCTCTGTTTCATTTTATATTTCTGCATTGTTTCAGTATTTAATTTTTTCATGAATTAAGGGATTTTCTCAAGCAGCAGTTTTATTTAAAAAAATTGTAAGCCGTTCAAACTACAGTCTCCATTGTGTATTGGTGTTGAATCTTTGACCGAATTAGAGCATTTTTATTCTAAAAAACATTGTTTGAATTGCTAATATCAATTTTGGCTACACCTGAAATAGTTCACTCGTATGTGATAATTCATATAAATATAGTATCACTAAAAATAAGTTTTTATATATCTGTATTTCTAAATACATTAAATTTAAATCCCAGAGACTTTCTCATAAGCCATTCTTTGATTGCAGGTAGCTTTTCATCTAAGTTTCTAAAATGCCTCTTTGTTATTCCATAATTCCATAATTTCTAACCCAGTCAATAGTTATTTATAATAATTGTTATATTTCAGGAAATCAAGCAAGACATGACAAACATCAGTGTTGATATCACATATTCTCCAATATCAATTGGAAAATTAAGATTGTGGACAAATCTACTTGTATCTATGCAATCCATGAGAGAGCTAGGTAAAATTTGGAGATTATTCCAAAGATGGTAGAAGTCATTAGAATTTGGAAATCTATTAGTCTAATGCTTGATATTTCACCCCAGAGTTAACTTGTTTTCTATAATTTCCGCCACCACTTGGCGTCACAACTCATTGCTCAGCCATGATTCAGTTATGTCTGCAACCAACTTTTGTCATTTTAGCCGTTAGGCAATTTACGGTGGTCTTTTAATCTATGTGTCTGTATTTAATTTTAGCATTGTTAACTTATAATTACCGATTTGCATGAAAGCCCAAAAGCGCTTTTCAATAGATTTTTCATATTTTGAACATCTTAACTAGGTAAGGTCAAATAATTCACCATTCCAAATACACTCTGTATGAAATATTTTCAATACAGCTTATTTTGTGAAGCTACCCATATTGTGGAGGCAAACAATGTAACAATTTAAATTTGACAGTATTTCTAGAAGCATCCTTAAATCTATTGTGCATGCAAGTTATCTACTGCCAATGAAAAACCCATTCTACAATCATAATCATTGCTACTATTCATTGTATGATGTTAAACAAGGAAAATCGCAACCAAGACCTTTTAGAGCAAAATTTCATATAATATCATGCAACGAATTTCCACTACTTATAATTTTTTAGATAAAATTTTTTCATTTTTAACAGGATTTACAGAAGAAGATACTGAACAAATCCGTGGCTTATTTACAGATACAAATATCATGTTTTTGGCTTTAACTTTTTTTGTTTCAACATTTCATGTAAGATTTATAGTTTTTAACCCATTTTTATGAGCATATATCTTTTGTTAGGATTCACATAGGATTAGGATTTTACGAGGGAAAGTCAATAAGATGACTTAACCATATGGCAAACCACGGCCGTTACTCCGGTTAACAGTCCGTGTCGGGTATGGGATTAGTTAGCCAGTCATTTGTTCAAGATGCATGGACTTGATGGTGGAAGAATACGTAATCGACTGTGGACCACCCTACGATGACGAGGAGTCCAGCAATCTTCTCCCACATAATTATCCCCTATGATTTAAACCTGCGAACCTACGCAGGGCAATCAGAGGTGCGGGGGTTAGCGTATTTCCAATGCTTAGCACGATGAGCCACATCGTTGAGGTTGTTCTATTACTTAGTTTAAGTGAGAATTATTCTGTACGGGTTGGAATTCGTCTTTACATAGGAGTCTATTTTGAATAAAAATCAGATTATCCTCAAAAATGATAAATTTTACCGAAATTTCTTTCGAAAGAAATTTTTTCGAATATTGTTTGAACAAATTCATTTTCATTGTATTTCAGCTTTTATTTGAATTTCTTGCGTTTAAACATGATGTGCATTATTGGAAGGAAAGGAAAACAATGGAAGGTCTTTCATTAAATACTGTTATATACAGGTAAGTTTTCTGTATTAAAAAGTATATTTCTTAATCTCTATTCTCAAGTAAAGTAATTATCATATTTCCCGGCGAATAAGTCGCTCTTCTAGACCCAAATGATTGGGGCCCCAAATGGCCTGATTTTTTTGGGGGGGGGGGGGTCATCTTATTAGGCGAGTATGATAATTTTCATTTTTTTGGTGTCGCCTTATCATGTATTAGGTAATGTTCTTTTATGGTGGAGGCAATTGCGAGTCAAACACAATTAGATTAAAATTTAAAAACAGTTTGAATCCCCGTAGTTATTATGGATTGAATATTACGCTACAAGAAAACGTAATTTGAGATTCCGATGTTGATGCGATTTTACTACTCCGACTTATTACTTACTCCGAGGTTATATTATCGGGTAGACTTATTTGCCGGGAAATACGGTATTTATATGTGCAATACATATTGCCAGTTAATAATATTTCTATATGATACCCTTCAATACTATTTTGTTTGTGTTTGCCCAAAATTTCTTTTATGTGTGACATGTATTCTTAAAATTTATCCTGGCCATCAAATTTTGAATAACATTTTTGTATAGATACAAAACAAGTAAATCAAATGATCTGGTTGGTGTTTTTTGTTTCATTAAACGACTTCCAAGAAATGAAGATTTAGTACAGTGCTTCCCAAAATGAAGAGATAAATTGGCTTTTGTAAGCAGTGTACTTTTTTATTATTATTATTTTCCTATTAGGTGTGTGAGCACCTTCATTATATTTCTATATCTGATGGATGAACAAACTAGCTATATTGTCTTAGTACCTGCTGGCATAGGATCTATTATTGAAATATGGAAAGTAACGAAGGCATTAAAAGTTAAAATCATTAAAAATGGTTGGAAGTTTTCAGTGCAATTTGGCACACTTTCTGGAAAGGAGAAAACTACTGATAACTATGATCACCAGGCAAGTTTGATTTTTTTTAGTAAAACCTAGGATATATCTATATCTTATTTATGTAATTTCTAATTGTTGCAAATCTCAGAATGTGAAAAAAGGATGAAAAACTGAACTTTGCTGGGTTTTTTCATACTATCATAGAGATCCAGTATACAGCTATTTCATCAATGCAATTTAGCTTAACGTTGTATGGCATGAACTGCATATTATTATGACTAATATAATATCACCAGAAAAAAAAAAAATATATATATATATATAACTACATTTAGGCCAAGATAAAAAGTGGATTAACTTTAATTTTGTTGTTGAAAGTATACATGATAAGTTTGTTTTAAAATTCTAATATCTGTTTTATACAGGCAATCAAATATCTATCCTATATTCTTTATCCATTGAGTGTGTTTGGAGCAATTTACTCGCTCTTCTATGTCCCTCAGAAAGGGTGAGTAGAATGGTAGTTAACTTATAAGTAAACATTATTGAAAATATTCCCCCTCTCACAATATCATAAACAATGGGTCCCTAGGGGAGATTTTAGGGCACTCCCGTTACCCTAGTATATGTACTAGATTAGGGTTAGGCAATCATTTTATTCCGATTTTCCGCTTTCTAGTGTAACTGGAACTATTTTAGTTCTATTACGAGTGTAGCCGATCGAATAAACCCTTATAGGTTTCAGTCTCTTTATACAACTTGATGAGAAGTAGGCGAACAAAATTAGTTACCTCCATATTGGTACATACACTTCTGAAGTGCCGATTTTAATACATTGAAGTTACAGTATCACACTTTCTGAATATTGTCATAGGGACATACATATTTTCTATATGATTTCAGTACTTTGCGAAATATTTGTTACTTCCTCATATCTAATGCATTATATTCTAATTTCAGATGGTACTCTTGGGTGATCAATAGTTTAGTTAATGGTGAGTATATTCTCATTGCCTTGGAAATATATTAATTTTTATTAAATTATATAAGTTGGTAATAGGCAACCCGTAAATATGAATTAATATTTCAATTTTCTGAGTCTTCTCGAGATTTTTTTGTTATTGTTGATACTATGTATGTAAACTCAAACTTACATCTTTTTTTATACAGGTGTATATGCATTTGGATTTCTATTCATGTTGCCACAACTTTTTATCAATTATAAATTAAAATCGGTAGCACATTTACCATGGAAGGCATTTACATATAAGGTATGATACTTTGGTTTTTCCTTAGGATTGACTACGCCTATTAATAATACAGTTTCATTTATTTAAAATTCACAAAATATTTGATTTTACTCTTGCTGTAATTGTTCTTATTTTAGGCATTCAACACCTTTATTGATGATGTTTTTGCATTCATTATTAAAATGCCGACTAGTCATAGAATTGCTTGTTTTCGTGATGATGTCGTTTTCTTCTGTTACTTGTATCAAAGATGGTAAGTTGGTATTTCATTTTTTTTAATCAATTTTTTGTGATACAGTCTACTTTTATCATGAATTTTAATCATTTATTTTGTACAAATAAATGTTCGTATTTTTAAACCAAAAGTAAAATGATATTGATGAAAGAGTTGCGCTTGTGGAATTTATTTCTCTGACTTGTGTCCTACCAAATTGTCCACCAAAGAAATCTATTTACAACTGTTAACTTGTCAGTAGTTGTAGTCATTTCCATTTTCTGAGAATTGTCTTTGAATTAAAGTGAGGATTTGCTTTGAGCAAACTTGTTAATATTTTGGGATTTCATATCTGTTTTGCGCCCAAATGGAAATAGTTTGATCATGCTTATATTTAGTTAACAGAAACGATTATTTGTTATTTCTTTATGTATTATTAGGTTATATCCTGTGGATAAAAAAAGAGCGAATGAATATGGCATATCTTATGAAGAAGACAAAAAAGAAAAATAGTTTCCACTGTTCCGATGAAGCTTTTCCTAATAGTTTTATACATCAACAGTGTTTGAAGCTGCTTATTTATATTATTTTGTTCCATTTGGTCTAGGAAATGACTTGAAGCGTGTACTCGTGTTTGGTTACTGAATTAAATTTTAATGGGGGAACTCGGATATTTGTATTGAACTGCAGGTCCTTTCTACTTGATTACCTTCTCTTCCGGATCCGTATGTGGTACTCACCACAAGGATGCTTGAACAAGATAGTAAATTTTTAGTATTTAGAACTTCTTTTTCGAATACCTCATCAGCTCTTGTTGATTTCAATATATGGACTTGTTTCTGTCCCAATACTTATTGCATAAATTATTTTGACACATTTACTGCTCTGTCTAACCAAATAAATTCAGATTAAAGAAAAGCATACGATTGATTCGTTTTTGAAATTTGTAGCCTTAACCTACCTTATGAATGAAAAAATTATCAATCAATGAACAAATTAAAGGGCTTGGCTTTGAATCCCATGTTCATAATTATTAAGTGCCATCGATTTAATGGACTATGTGGTTCACATAAGCTGGTTGATTATTGTCCATTGCATCAGAGGCTAAATGGTTCCATGTCTTGCACCACAACACCAAAGTCCTGTGTACTGAAATTTTTTCTCTCTTTGCAGAGTTTGTTACAGGCAGAAATTTTACTTTCGTGAATTAACCAAAGTTTTGGCAATAATGGTGCAATACTCTTATATCAGCTTTTTTATATTCATGCCCTTGGTATTATCATAGTGTTCTACTTGGTGTCCGAAACAGTGCAATAAGGCCTGGTCACATAAGTTTCTTTGTTAGATGCTGCGGTTGGTTTGCAAATTGTAGGATTTGAGTTGTTGGGCTGGAGACACAAATATATTGTAACCGGACGCGCCATACATACACACAGTAGATTCGTTATTCACTGTGCTACACTGCCGTTAGTTATACTTGCTGTGGAATTTTACTGGACTGTGACTTGTAATACTGTGTCGAGGGTTAGCTACGGAAGTAGATTGACAACACCGCCCAATAAGCAGAAATAAGACCTGTTGAACCTCGAACTCTACAGAGTTATCTAATAATCTCAATACACCGAACAAGATTTCAACTCACTCGCTATGAAAGTATATGAACCTGGCAGAGCATTTATTAGTATTCAGCTGGACCTACCCACACTGGCACAATGACAAACACACCTCATTGACTAAAGTTTGATTGAAAGTGGACACCAGCGTATAAATTTTATTCCTTCACAGTGGGAAAGTATTGAAACATAGCAATTTAGATACTGAAGAGCATGGTAAAAGAAGATTTCCATGAAAGGCAGGAATACATGAAAGATATCAACCCAAATCAATACATAATGTGCATGCCTGAGTGTGAAACTGGAATTCTCAACATTGAAAAATGACCGGTTTGATTGAATCAGAAGATGACCTTTGCCCCCCTCTCTCCTGGACAAACCCATTCAATAAACTCTTCCTCCATGCTAGATGAAATAGGTTCTGGTGAAACACTTGGTACGAGCACTCGATCGTGATAATAGGTATATACTTCAAGATTCCGTTTCCTAAAATCAGAGAATTATTCATTTGTATTTTACAGTTGACATCTTCTCTGGTGATTCAAAAAGACTTCTCTCTCATAATAGTTTAATGAATGTCTTGCAACCCAACCCAGTCACCCCATCTACGTGGCAATAAAGTGGGTAGACTCCAGCCATCCCCAGAACTGTAGCTCCTTACATATAATTGGGAACGGCTCATGGAAATATCAATAGACATGTTTGCCTTTCAAAGAAATCTTATGACACATAGCAATTCTCAAGTACACTGAGTTTGCTGAAAAGACAAGCATGATAGAATAATAAGTTCATCCCTTTAATTCAAAACAGCAAAATTATGGGAAGCATATACAAAACACAGAGTTAACAATTTTATACATGACCAACATAGCTTACTGTACCAACCTGCAAACCAAGTCGACCAAGCAGTCATCAGGCATATTGTTACAATCAGTCAAATCTAAAAATTCCAGTCTAGGTAATGTTTTATCCAAATCATTCAACCATTTATCTCCTTCAATACCGAATAAACCAATTAGCGACATCCGTTTCAGTTTTCTGAACAGAGAAGAATATAGATATAGTGTATAATGCCAAAATTCTCATTTAAATGCAACTATAGATGTGGAAATTGGTTTCAATCAGTGTTGAGTAGAGGTTGCAAAAGTGCGACAAGTCGAGTCATTGATCATCCAAGTCTCGAATCGAGTAAATGACTCAAGTCTCCTCAACTTCTCCCAATAAATAGAAAATAAACTCCTTGGGAGTCATAGTAGATTTTATAAACAACAATGGGTTAGGTATCTATGAGTGAGGTGATCAAATCAAGTATTTGAAAAGAGGGCTTAAGCCTGGCCCTTGACACACCCCAAAACACTGATGCAGCCAACTTCAATTATTCGCACAACTATATCATTAAATAAGAGATGACTTGAAAATAAGTTAGAAATTCCATTTTATATAGTACTATGTGATATAAGGGCTTTAAGAGATAATGATAGCAATTTGATGTTCAAGATAAATATGAACAAATTTAGTTTATATTTCATTCGCAACCTATCATACTTGCAGTTATCAACGACTCCACACATTCCTTTATCAGTGATCTTCCAGCACCAATCTATAGTGAGAAGTTCGAGTTGTGGGCAGCTTAAAACAGGAAATTTTATTTATAACATTAGCGGCTGAATTAGGTTACTCAACATTCATTTATAGCAGCAACATCTTGTGTTAACTCCTATCCTGGCTTATATAGCTGCCATTTGTTGTTTTATGCGAGCTTGACCACAATGGCAGGTAACAATAGTTTTACTAGGCTATTTTGTTTCCCTCTTATTGAGGTTATCTGGAAAGCCCAGATCTAACTATATTTATAAGAGTATACCATATCAGAAAATGTTATCCTAGAATATACTATGTTGGCTCAATCATATGGTGAACCACCACCGGTTACCAGTCCGTGCCAGTTACTTGCTCCAGATGCATGGACTTGATGGAGTAAGCCTGGACCGACCAGTGGTTACCGTAACCAGCCTGTGATGGCAAGGAGTCCAGTGATACTCTCTTACATAATTATCCCTCACAGGATAAGATCTGAGTGTGAAACAGCAAAATGTAATCAGAGGTGTAATAACAAGCGTGTTCTTAACACATAGCACTATGTGCCAACTGCCGATGGTTCAAGATTCCAGTTAATAAAAAAAAAAGGCAGATAATTAATTATCAACAATACCTGTATGACATAGAAATAAGTGCATCATCATCCATGTATTCACATTCTGTTATTGTAAAACTTTTAATATTAAATATAGAAGACGAATGAAATAATTTGCATATTGATGCTCCGGTGAGGTTTGAAGCTTTCCTGAATTTCAAACTTTCAAGTCTATAAAAATAAGAAGTAAAATTATTTTAATGCATATTTATAAAAAAGGGGGTTCTTAATTTAATCAAACCAAAAGATTTAAATGATGAAAAAGAATATTCAAACATTCAAACATAATATGGTTTTTTTTCCTGTTCCTTTTATATTTGATTGTTTCTAGAATCAGTTGCCGAACTATGAACTCTTCAGTCTTCACTGTCACTAAATACAGCTTTGCTGTGTTTATTTTACAGATATTAAACAAACTGTGTTTTTCGCAAGTTTCAAAACTTGTCTATCCAAAAAAATAAACACTTCAGGTCTTCATGTGGATTGACTTAAACTGCTTCAAATCTTGCATCAATCAAAGTTTGCTAGCATCTGATGCATAGCATATATTCAGTAGCTCTCAGTTTAACTTAAAGTTGCCCACAACTTTGCTTAGATATGACTCATATAAAAGTAATAAAACTCCTTTACTTCTGGGTGGGTGTGTCTCTACTTTGAGCAAATTATTTATAAATAAGTTTCATAAAACAAGGTAATAAGAGCAATTGTTTGCACTTTAAACCAATTTCATGTATAACATCCCTCCCTTATTATTTTCACTAGAAAACTTACTTATATCTTCCTTGAAACGAATAAACACTGATATCGGAGAGTGATTGACAAAAAGAAAGCTCAAAAACAATTAATCCTGGTAAATGTGATGTTGCAAATAAAACAAGGTCATCTGTCATTTCTTCACCATCTAGAATTAACTTTTCCATTGAAGGTTGATGACGTATGAAATTGACCAAACCACTGTAGATTGAAAATTCAAGAGATCAGACAGACAGTAACTAAAAGTATCATGTGCAAGTGATATGTACAGGAATACATACCAAAGATATTTTCAAATATAAGAATCAAGAATATTTTTTAGTTCTATGGTCTAACAGCCACGGTGCAAGCCCACCACTCACCCAGAGTATAATAAATTGGGTATTTGTTAATAACTTCTACAAAAATGAAAAAATTTATTAGATTTTGTTTTGCTTCAACTTCTGTTTGTGCATGATTGTACCCGAAATTTCCTGATCTCGAAACTCAAGGCATGAAAGATACAATTGCAAGCGTTGCGCAAAATCGTCACAAATCACAAACACACATCACTATGGGGATTTTTCTGATTTTTGTTGCAATTGCAGTTTTAAGTTCACCAATTGATTGGGGAATGTTCTGATACACCCCATCCTTCGAATACCCCCACAGATAAAAAATATGATGTGTTCAAGTCCAATGAGGTGAGGGATTGACTGAGTTGGGGATTGCCAATTTGAGTCTGCGAATACAAGTCTGTCTCCTATGCTTATTAAGAGGTGAATTGGAACATTTTCTAGAGAGAACATAACTTATGTGTAAAACGTCCTAGATTCCTGGAATTTTTGGGTACAATGATGCACAAACAGAAGTCCAATTAGAAAGTAAATCACCCTTATTTTGGGTCACCCTGTAGAAGCGAACTCAAAGTTTTACTAACCTTTCAGTAGTTCGCATTACTCCGTCGCAACTAAGTTCTTTAAGATTAGGAAGATGATATAAATATAATAAGAATTTGTTCGTCAATAAGACACAGTATGATACACACAATTTTTTCAGCTTAGAAAGCAGAAATATTTCAGAAAAATCATCATCTGCGATGCAACTAAAATGAAACAGAAAACGAAAATAGGTATGAAAAAAGTATATTATCCAGCTATGGTGTTTAATCTTCTTACAATTGGAAGAGATCACCAACTCGGACAAAGTAAAACAGACAATTGGCTAGAAAAATCAGAGGCAAGTGACTAGAAAAATCATTTGAAAATAATGCATTTTTTAGAAGTTTTTCCCACGCCTATTCTATGATGCATTGTCGCTTGGTGGCATCACGCTTTTTTACACAAGCTGTCTGGACATTCCACTTGTACTATTCAACAACAATACCATAAACAAGCATCACTTGGCCATATGCCAAATAAAGAAAATCAATATGAAACCAGGGTATGTTAGAATCGGCAGTCTAAAAATAAATCCTACCTGCAACCTTCCAAGCAAAGAGATTGAAGATTTGTGCAATGTTTACAAATAGTTGATAAATCCACATCATCACAGAATCCAATATCTAATTCCTGCAAGTTTGTGCACATGCACAAATACTGTAAAGTTGTGTCTTGTAGCCCACAATCATTAAAAAATCTGCTCATCTTTATCGAGTATACAAATGAGTGGAATATCCTTAATATTGTTTCAAAATCAGAATTAGACACATTCGAAGGTGCCATATCACCGTGTTTTTCAATCATAACTTGAATATCCTTATGCATTTTATGAAAATCAATGTCCCTCCATAGTGAAGTGTCACGACATAAATTATTCCATCTTTTGCAAACTTTGCATACATTAAAATACAGTTCCGCTTGTGGTAAATATTTTAATATATTTAACCATATTTCTTGAGGTAATGATAACCAGTCAACATTCTCCACAAAAGGTTGTTCAGCACATCTGCTGTCGATCAACGAGACAATCTCTGATGACAAATTACAATCATCCCCCATTTTCAAATTTTCTATTTTTGTCCATTGGTTATCAAAACAGATAAAGACTATCAGATTCTGTGATAAGATACAGAAGAAGAAGTTTTTGGAAAGTAATATACAAATTAGCGATTTAACATGTCTGCATGTGCTTATCAGGTAGCAAAAATTGTTGAGCCAGGCCAACTAGAAGTACGTACGGCAGTTAGTGAACATGCGCCAAATAAAATAGTATAATATTCATCAAAACAATAAACCCTGAATGATCTGCTGGGGCATGTTCACAACACGACGTAAGTACTACAGCACCGGTATTAGGGGTCTTCTGAAGTACACGCCGCAAGTACTTTTTGGGTGACGTACTCAGGTGGGGTTAGGACTATTGGGTCTGGTATAGTTTAGTACCACATGCACTTCTAGTTGGCCTGACTCAACCATTTTTGCATATGCCAATCTTAACCCCCACCTGACTACGTCACCGAAAAATTACGTCATTTCGACGTCACATTGGCGTAATAACCCCACCACAAAGTGTGCAGATGGTCGCCCAAACGCGCAGACGATCACCCGAGATCGAGCAATCAATTTCTCCCGTTTTCTCGTCACAACAATCACGATAGGAGAGAGATCGCCAGCTTTAGCAAGTTTGTTATCGGCGGCGCGGATGCCATTTGCCCATTTCGGGCGATCGTAATTATACTTTGGCAATCCCTATGACGTGATGGTGACGTCACAGTGACTTCATTTTTGGATGACATAGTCAGGTGGGGGTTATGAATAGCATATGCAAAATTCGTTATGCTACGCCCACCGGAAGTACTTGTGGTACTATACTAGACCCGATTATTCATGCAGCAAACTTTCCTATGTTCGCCCATTGCAGTATTGGCTATATTACTAAGAAATGTATAAGATGAAATGATAAACGTTTCAACAGTACAGCAGTAAAACACATAATACTGTAATAATATTGGCGCAATAAGACTAGGAAACCACCCACCATCCATATTATTCAGTTATTGATAAATCAACCATTTTCACCAACCTAAACAAACCTGCAAACACCAGACCACTGGCGGGATTGTAGAGTGCAGAGCAGATCAAGTCCAAAGTGACTATAAGTCGTGTTGTGCAGGGAAGCCATGATTGATGATTTGAGTGGGATTTTCCGCGATGGAGAAAAGGATTTATGTGTGAGTGAGGAGTTGGTTTTGACTCGATTAATGACTCAATTAGATTTATTTTATGTGATAAGGTTTTTGTTGATTGAAACGATTTAAGTTCATTATTCTTTCATTCAATAAACTATCTATCTATCTATCTATCAATATGCGTCGCCCGAGAGCTGCACGATAGCCATTTTTCACGTAAACCCTTCCTATTGCCATTTGTTTGTCTTTTATTATATCGAGTTCAAAAGCAAAACCTGGGGCCGTGAATCAGAAGTTTAGGTTGTGCACGTTTAGGAGCCTGTGAGTGAATAGGCAATGGTGATGGTATCCTAGCTTCAGCTATGGTAGGTAATTATCTCTACCCAAATAGGCCTATATTGCGTCTGTTTAGACAAAATCCTAATTAAGCTCAGATACCGTAATTACCGGAATCATTTTAAGGTTAATTTCAATTATAATTTTATTAGGTCCAAGCCCAATTGTCTGATATTACTACAGAAAGTCAGCATGTTGGTTTATGTCAATTATCAGATTATTGACACAAACCATGTCCGCATGTTGTATAACTTGTATTCATAACTCAGTAATTGCAGTATTGTGACTGATGTTTGCCTTCTAATTCTGCCTGAAGTTGTTTCATACACTGATGCTGATGTTCTTTCCGCAGCTTTATTTTGAATAATCCATGTTGTGAACCCATCACAAAAAAGTGGGGAGCATTTCGCTTTTACCTTGATCATAACGCATAAGCCTACTACTGTACTACAGCCTGACAGCGGTGGTAAACTACAGTCAGACAGTTGTGTGATCTTAAGATGGCGTTTAGTTTTGGCAATAAAACTGCTGGAACTGGATCATTGTTCGGGCAAAGCGGCACAACTTCAGGTAATTTTATGATTCATATTACGGTGCTATAATAAACTAAATACAGAAATATGTTTTGATAAAGAAAGCAGTACAGTCGGTTTAGTAGGCCCACATACAGACATATGCCATACGTATTTGCCATTGAAATTTAGAACTTCATGTAACCTCAAGGCTGCAATTTGCGAACAAAATTGAAATTTATTCACTAATTAGTGCAGTGATGACAATTCTACATGTTTGTATTAAATACCCGACTGTTAGTACTGTGATTTGCGATTTTTTGTGTTGTGTTATTTGTTAAAGTTAAAACAGTTCAAAAATTGGCATTCGTTTGGTGGATGAGCTGAGTTTCTTGTGATTTTTGACTTTATTACCCTTCTGGCAGTATGGTTACCTACTCCAGTACTCTACTTATTTGTTTGCTTAATTTTACTTTTTCAATTTCCATGTTTCATTTTAAAGTAGTCAAAAAAAATCAATGAAAAAAGAATGTTTTGTTTAGCTAAATAGTAAGATGTTGCTTTTGAACCACATAAAACCTGCTGTTACTTGGGATTTAAACATTTACTATTCCAGGACTAAAAACTGTGTTTTAATCACGCTTCCTTTATCTTGCATTTCTTCAGGTCTGATGGTATATTTTTTTATTTTACAGCTTTTGGGGCTAAACCTGCCACAACTGCTTCTGCTTTTACATTCGGAGCAGGATCTTCTTCAGTCACAGGTGAGAAAAATTGAATGGTTGAATCTTAGTGTACTTGTTTGTACTTTTAAACATTATATTATGAGTTTTATTTTTTTGCTATGAATGTGGTGATGTAAAACAGGGGTGTGCAAAGTGAGGCCCGCAAAGGAAAATTTTGCTGTCGAATTTATTATCTATGCCTATGACGTTGCAACGTCCTGACAGCAAGGCAAACAACTTGATTCGCAAAGCTGTCCCCTGCTGAGCAGCGAACAATTTAAGAAAAATATGGAGCAGACGCTAATGAACTTGTAAGAACAGGCAATTGAAGTTTAGGCAACTGGCAAGCAGTTTAGCAAGAATTTATATTATAGATATACAAGAGCTAAATGAGTTCTGGTTTCAATGTATCAATTGATTTTGTCTAAATCTAATCTAGAATAACGAAAACACCAAGATAACTTTCTACATTTAAAAAAAGTCGTGGCTTCAACTTTGGCAATATCATGCGTTTCAAACCATCATTTCGGCAAGGAACCTCTAATGATGGCATGAGATCAATAGCAAAAAGACACTATTTTGTGCCTGCAACTAATAGAAAGCCTACGTTAAATGGTGGTGTGGCTCGCGGCTCCACCCAAATTGAATTGAAATTATTGAAATTTGGCCCGCCTGAGAAAAAAGTTGCACACCCCTGATGTAAAAGATTGAAGTTTTTTTATTCTTGATTTCATTTCATATTTTATATTCAATGCTTGGATCAAATTATTTATTAAAAATATAAATTATTTTGTCAATATGAATTAAAAAATTTTTTTTTATCTCAGTAAAGTTAATGCAATTAAAATGTTGTTATTTTCAAAATTTTATGTATTATTATCAAGTGATTAAAAATAAAATGAATTTCAACTTTTGCCAAGCCTATGTTGGTAACCGTCTTAATGCCCAATATAAGGTATTCATATTTTTGCAATTTTGTTCAAAGGTTTTGGAGCCAAGACTACCGCTAGTATATTTGGGGGAGGAAATACTGGTACTTCAGGTTAGTGTGTATGTGTAAGTATATAATGCATGGCAATGACATAGGACAATCGAAACTTGACATCGTGGGACTGCACACAATGATAGCGCATGAAAATAAGAATATAAAATAGATGTAGTCTTCATTAACTTCCCATGTTTGATGTGAGTTATAATTGGATAGTTTTCTTCACCTAACGTTATCTTTTTATTACATCTAGCATTCAGTGGATTTGGAAAGACGACAACAACTGCTTCTACAGGATTTTCAACAGGTATTCAAACCTGATCAGAGAGTGTTTTTTCCACTCATTCATATTCATGTGTTACCGCAATGCTCTTATTCTGGAAGCCCGATTAGAGAGTATAATATCATCATGTTTTTTTTCACATGTAGCCTATCTATGTCACAAATGATTCCCTTTAAAAATTTGTCATCCTGACCTGATCATCTGTCATATGTAAATATAGTCGACATCCTCTATTTGCAAAGATGTGAATAATTCAGTTTTTTTCAGCCCTGAAGTTAAGTTTTGTTGTGGTGAACCAATGATTCTTTTCGATAAATGTTATTTAGATCAGGGTGGTCCAAGGTCGTGGGCTCCGCGGGCCACAAAAATATTTTGGCATTGGTCGCGGGCCACAATAGTATCAAGAATAGGTAAATAGTGCAGTACAAAACAAGCACTTCTATTGTGTAAACACATAGTTATCAGGCATTGCCAACCAAAGCTAATGAAATCCGCATTCGATTTTTAGTTTTCTATTATGCCTATATTGTTAGCAAATATCCCCAACCAAAACGATAGAAATCTAGGTAACAATTTAAACTGACCATCACATCATTCAACTTTGCTAGTTGCTTCAGCTAGCCATCATACTAGTCAATTCAGTCACAGTGGTAATATAACAACAATATGTCAAACGATTTTTCTGATTTATTTTATAAGAAGCAATTTAAAATACAATATTTTGATTACTCTTCGAATGCGGCGCGGGCCACAGATAATGAAGCGGCGGGCCAAATGTGGCCCGCGGGCCTGGGTTTGGACCACCCTGATTTTAGATTCCTTTTACTTTGACTGTTAGACATACACTTTTGTTTGAGCTGCTAGTATTTTTTCAATTATTTTTAATGAGTATTTATTTGAATTTTAGGATTCACTTCAACTTTAGGAGGAGGTGGATTATTTGGAGGAAATCAACAACAACAACAGCAGCAACAACAACAAGTTCAAAACAGTCAGGATCCCGGAACTACACTTCTTTTAAATACAGCTTCAGCGCTGTCTGCTCCTATCGTGTTTGGTGATGAGAGAGATGCGATTCTCGCTAAATGGAATCAGATTCAAGCATTCTGGGGAACTGGTAGAGGTTTTTATCGAAAAGATGGATCACATGTGACTTTTACTCCAGAGAATCATTTCTGTCGCTTCAAGGTAGAACATTTAATAGCTGAATGAAATTCGTCCTTAAGATTTTGTATCACGATTTGAACATTTTCTTACTTATGACGAATTTCTTGTTTTTGGCCAATGGCCATTTCCGTAATGTTAACCGGTTCTTAGTTGAAGATGGTATAAGATTGTGATATTTTTCAATAACATGTAATTGCTTTTAGATTGACCAATTAACATCTTTTTTATATGGCGTATTTAAAAGTTTTTCACTCTGAACAAGGCACTGTATAAGCATCCACTGCTAGTGCTAAGCAAAGTGCTAATATACAATGAAAAGACCAATATCTTCCCCGTTTGGCATTGCCTCCTCAATTTAGTACCCTGGGTTGGTTGTGTTCATGGGATTTTTAACCTGTGAGACTGTGATATAGTTGATGCAGACGTTTTAACCACTAACCATCGGGATAAATATCGAAATCAAAATTATCATGTTGAGATCTACATGCTTTTCAACTGCTTATTTCGATGGATCCTTCATTTGGACCAATCAACAAGATATTTATTTAATCATTATGTCATTCCTGTTTGTTAAATTCTAGTAAACAACTGATGTTTTTTGAATTTCTACAAATCTTAATTAGAGTTGAATTATATTTTCTCTCAGGCAGTGGGATATAGCTGTCTTCCAAAAACGAAAGATGATGAAGGACTGCTTGCAATCGTGGTGAATAAAAAAGAATCCGAAATTACTTCAGTCGGAAATGATAAAATATCAAGCGTTATTCATGGGATATTAGAATCAAAACCCAATTTGTCAGTCAAAGTGGATTCCGTCAGATCGCTACCAGGAGACAGGTATGTATGATACGTTTTTCAAAAATGGATCAGCATTTATATTTCTCACATTATAGATATAAGCCTTTGCAAATAATTACAGCAATTGGATGTGATTGGTTGTTTATAAAATCTGTAAGTTTTTTTTCCCATTTTACTTATTTATCTATCTATCTTTGCAAACAAATGTCTCTATACAGAACAGAGATAACAGTCTATGTAGAGGAGCAGTCGGCTGCCACTGGCACAATTAAAAGAGTACCAGCATCAGAACTCCACGCATTCGTCAGCCAACGTCGTATACAACAGCAACTGCAACAAAATATGGCTGCAGTATCATGCATGCCCAGAGCGGCTATGAGACCTGAACAGATTAAACAGATTTTGGAAAATCCTCCATCTGGTAGATAATTTTAATTTAGCTTTATTTGTGTTTTTTCATATCTTGCTATTTCCATATTGTTGTTTGATTTAGAAGTATTGGGATTTGGGTAGGTTTTTATATTTATTCCATAAGTTTGAGTTAAATTGATAGCATGTATGTTGGCATATCATGCCTGTTGACATAGCTCCTTTAAAGACATTTTGTTTGAATCAAGATTTCTATGGGGACAATTATGTTCTGTCAATTCACGGCTGTACTATTTACAAGCGACTCCGGTGTAAGAAAAATTTTGAATCATAGGAAAGCAAGTTTTGATAACGAAAACTTTGGTGTATGCGAGCTTTCGTCGATAAACTGTTAACTCATTGTTTTTGAGGAAAGTTTTGACTACCGGTACTTTAACCTCTAGTCAAAGTTGTTGATTGGAAATTCTAATTTTTACTCTGGGGAGTTATAAATGTAACTCTTTTGATCGACTAGTTGTGACATTATCTAAACCACAGAGTTCGTGCATCTGTATCGATTGACAGAATAACTATTCCCATATCCAACCTGAAATAATCAGAGGGGATTCTGCGATTCACCGTCCTATAGCAATTGATTATTGGTTTAAATTCAATGAACTTTATCACACAGCTACGTCCCCCTCTCCAACTGAACTATAACAATAGTTTGTGCCTTATTTTAAAATTTCTCAATACTTTACTTATTTCAGGAATCGATGCTGTAATATGGGAGCAAGCTAAAGCAGATAATCCAGATCCAACATCCTTAATTCCAGTTCCAATGATTGGATTCAGTGAATTACAGAATCGTCTCATGCATCAAGAAATGATGGCCAAACAACATCAATCACGTTTAGATGTAAACCCCTTTTATTTTCCATTAATCTGATAATAATTTCTATTGCATAAGTTTTTCTATATTTAGAGAAATCACAAATCATTTGTTTTTATTATTGCTGGTAATGAAGTACAAACTTGAACCTTTTTTGTTCTCAGATATTAAGCAACAAATTACATGATCTTCAACAAATGCAAGTAAACGCACAATCAATGATTGAACAAAATAAAAGACAATATTTACAACTATCACACAGAGTTCTGAAGGTTAGTCTTTTTATTCTCAACTAATGGATTGTTGTACCAACTAGTTGGGGTTGTTGCAATAGAATGGCATTGGTATGAGCATAAAAGTCCGTGGAATGCCAAAAGCTTATAGTTATATTTCAATTTGTAGTGATCACATGATAGTTTTGAGAGTATTGCTAATTGTGCAATACGTTTGGAACACACTTGTCATGGGTTCGGATGGGGTGTTACTATGTGCGATGAGGATTACTGGACTCCTCTGTTTCATATGGATGTGGCTCGGGTCTTGCTTCCTCTACTTTCGTCAATCCATGCATCTGAAACAAATAACTGGGGATCTATTTCCATATGCAACATGGACAATAATCCTACCAGCTTCTTCAATGATAAACATGAGATTCCTTGATACTACCGACCACAGTAGAAAAATAATTCTTGTTCGTAATCGAAAATGTACATGCGAAATTGGTATTACCTTATCAAACATTTCACTACGATACTGCAATAAATACGACGCTAAACGACAAGTAATATTGCTATCTTATTAAGATAAAAATGGGTTTCTATTTACACAAAATTTATAGGTGATAATTGCACAAGAGATTTGTAGAAAAGCAGGATTCGCTATTCAACCTGATGAAGAACAATTAAGAGTTCAGCTTGAGAGTATATACAGTGAATTGAGTGCTCCAACACAATGCAGAGTGAGTTCATTTTTACAAAAAATTTAGATTCTATGCCAATTTTTCTGGTAACTGCTATTATTGTTTTATCCTTTATACACTTGATTTCGTTTCCAGTTGAGTCTTAGTTTAACAAATATTACAAAGAAGATAAAGTTAATGGGCATGATGCTATGAGCAGGCTCTGCAGAACTTAAATTGCTATTGTGCTATGGGGCTGCTTGTTTCGGGCTCTGTTAGAAGCAAGAGTGTAATCTACCTCAATGATGTAATTTCAATATATAATTTACATATCACAGGGAAGACTAAATGAAATGTTATCACAAATGCGAATGCAACATCATCACAATACTTTGGCATCATCTCTTACTTCCGGGCAAAATAGAAGCGACAGAGAAGGCATCTTAGACGATGAGGCTTTATCGGAGATTAAGCTTCATTTAAAGAAACAACAAGAAGGCTTGAATACACTTATTGGACTATTACGAGAAGATTTTGAGGATTTGAAATTAATGGAACATGGTCTTACAGATGAAGATGCATTGGTTTCTGGTATGGGACAAACAGGAATGAATCCCACTGTTGGTAGTAGAGGCTCAGCATATAGATATTATCGATGAATCTGAATGAAATTGCGAGTCACAAATTTGTTTTGTGATGACTACCATCACGCTGAGGCTAAGTGATACAGATTCCATCATTTCGGATGGTAAAGTGCTGGTATTAGGTATGCAAATGCCATAACGCGAAGATTGCTTTCTATACTTCTTCGCTATTTGTCTGATATCCTGAACAGTATTGATATATAAGGTTTGGACAAAAACAGGTTGAAATTGAAACTATTGGTAAATGTGTAATGTTTTGGGGGTTTACTGGATGAAAAATCAATGAAAATTTGGTTCACACATGGTGTTTTCATCATTATGAACTTGAGTGAAGCGTTTTTTAAATACTATCTGCTTTGAGATATACCTAAAACTAATATATTGGCAATGTTAACAAGGAGCACTCGTCCGGGTCATTGTGGCCATACAGCGCACACCATAGCTTATGGTACAAATAAATATGGTATATATATACTCGATCAAAAATAGTTTGGTAGCACTTTACTTCTGAATAAAATACACTGTACATTTTACCAGCGATGAACAGATTCAGAGAATGTAACATTGAATCGATGTGCCAAAAAGTAATGTTCTTCAGCATAAAATAATTGAATAGCATCAATCAATCGATTTAAAGAACTATTGGTCAGTTAGCCCGAAATTGAGGTTCGTTAGCGTATTCCAGTTGAAGACTTCGTGTGCTTTGATAGTACAATAAAGTTAGAAGAAACTTGACATCCTAAAAAGACCTCTGATGTCCGAAAGAATCGCTTCAGACTGAAATTTGAATTTGAGCAACACAAAAATTCGATATGGCTAAAGTTCTGATTATATCACCGAGCCGTAGCCTACATTGTAGTCTTGAGGGCGTTTTTGGTGATTTACCATACTAGACAAAAAAATTAGTCTGCTGACAAATTCATCAAAAACTGTGTCATAATCCTTAGCTCCTATCTCAGTACTCAACATATCATTGCTGAAAATAAACTGGGCATCAGTCAGAAACTGATCAAGATTGAAATGTCTCATGTCCCGTTTCATTTCAGGAACATGCCTGGAGGGTACATAATCCATCTCGAGATGGCAAAAAATAGGAAAATGGTCTGACGGACTATCATGCAAAAGAATTGGTTTAATGTTTTTGTCTACTATGTTTGTGTTCATATGATCAAGTAAATTAGCAGTAGTACTTGTCACTCTGGTAGGAAGTGTAATCAATGGAATTGTGACATGGGATCGAAGCATTTCTAGATACTGCTTTGTAAAATTGGTATTTGCATTGAAGTTGATGTTTAAATCACCAACTATAAAAAAAAATTCTTATCATGAGTTAAATTATGAAAACTATTTTGTAACTTGTATGAGAACTCTTGGTAGTCCGAATTGGGGTGGCGATAAATTATACCCACAGTCAAGGAATAGGGTTTGGCTGTTCTAATAGCAACCTCAACCCAGAGCTCTTCACATCCAGCAACATTTAAGTAATTATCCTCAATAAAGTTAGGAGAGAAATGAGTCTTTATATATAAGCCAACATCACCAGCATTTGTACTAGATGGTGTATGATAGAAGTCGTAGCCATCTAAGTTAATATTAGTTACAGGTTCGGATGTAGTGAGTAGGTTGGATTTGCCGTTTCAATGTAGTATAGGCCAGGGGTTATAGACCCTTTCTGCGTGTCCACACTCCCGTGTTATTGAACACACGTTAACAGAGTGTAACTCCGATCTGAATTCCCTCAGAGGTCAATAAGCACACAATGTATTGAATGCCGATGTTGTTATAAAGATGCACAATCCAATTGATCCAAGTAACGGGTAATAACATGCACTATTAACAATAAGTGGTGAAAATATTGAAATACACAGTACCTACCTCAATGTACTCGCTACAATCAATGGTGCAAAATGTAAGATAATTTGAAGAAATTCATCGTTCTGCGCGTTGAAATGGATTTTCACGCTATTGTTGTTCGTTTAGCCATTAACTTGGAAAAGAATAACACAAAACGTGTATACATAGAGATTGAAGAATCTAGTTTTGGAAGCCAGGTGGGTACGGTGCCGTTTTTGGTCTAGCTTGTGAAATAAGTAAAATTTGTATGTGATCGGTAGAGATAATGGTTGTAATACCATGACACCTACTATATGGAACCACGTTCTGTCCATTAAGTAGGCTGAAATGAACGGTTTTGCAAGATTATTGAAATACCGTACCTAATATATCTCAGTACTGCAATAGCTAATGTATAAGTTTATTTCGACTCCATAATCAGCATAACAATAAAATGATTGGTAAAAAAAATAAATAAAAACTGATTATGAAATCAGGAGAGCAAACAAAACCTTAGATACGGTTTAAAACGTACAGAATGTATACAAGATGGAAGGTTTTGCCAAGAAGAAGTGGTACGTGTTCACTCACCTAAAATAATGGAAATATTTCACACACGCTCACACACACACAACCATACAGAAGTTATAAATTACATACGGGTAGTTAAAAAAAATAAATGAAAATTACTTGCCACACCATATTAATAAATTTATAACGTTTGCCACTGCCGAATTGATAGATTTTATAAATGGGAGTGAACAGTAGAGATAAACTTTTATGAAAAATATATTGCCAAGCTGATTATAGTTGGAGTCAAATGCCAAAAATGCCCAACCAAAGTTGCCAGAATTGGGTGCATGAAGAGGTGGGCTAGCTAGACCACTTCATTCCCCAAACTAGAGCCTATTATTGCCAAATTATAGTCCAGATTGTAATAAGTATTTAAAGGTACAAGTAACATATAAGTAATTATAATTAATTAAGGTAGGACAACGGGGAATAGGAATATGTTGGTTACCAAGGTTTATAACTAAGGTTTTTTTAATCTTAGATATTGACTTCTGCAAGGACAAAGGAATTAGGATTGGTATTTCACAGGATCATTTCTTCGTTTACTTAATGTAACGCAATTGTTGTCAATTCAAATTTATCATAGACATCAGACTGCCAATTTTGATGATGTAGACACCCTTTATATTCAATAAGCTAGCCATTGAATTGGCCATCACAAACGACCTGAAAAACAGAAAATAAATCTGCGAGTAGAATATTCAAGGGTTACATATTAGGAAATAACACTCACTCTACCCTACACTTTTGTTGAGAAGAAATTATTATTTTGAGTAAATATTGATCATTAGTTATTTATCTTTAAAACGCAAGTTGAAAGACCTGAGTTGAATTCTGGTTGGGACACAGGGTAAATAATCTTCGCAAACTATGCAAGAACTCTCAAACCACACTAACCATTTGTATGTTGGCCTTCACGTTAACTTCACAGCAGAACCTTAACGACCTGAAAAACAGAAAATAAATCTGCGAGTAGAATATTCAAGGGTTACATATTAGGAAATAACACTCATTCTACCCTACACTTTTGTTGAGAAGAAATTATTATTTTGAGTAAATATTGATCATTAGTTATTCATCTTTAAAACGCAAGTTGAAAGACCTGAGTTGAATTCTGGTTGGGACACAGGGTAAATAATCTTCGCAAACTATGCAAGAACTCTCAAACCACACTAACCATTTGTATGTTGGCCTTCACGTTAACTTCACAGCAGAACCTTAACCTAGGATAAAATTTTGTATACACACAAGACAAATCATGACTTCGCTAACTAGGTTTTGCTCGATTCTGATGGGTCTATACCCTGATACCTAATGCCATGTCAGTCTAGGTCTGAATCAATGAACAAGCCCAAATTGGGAATTGTTGAATAACTGTATGTATGTATGTATGTTTATTCGTCTCGTAAAAGCAATATAAAAGAGTAAGTACTTATAAATACTGAAGACGGGATGTATGCACAAGACCATATTGGCCTAAAACACAGATGTGCGGCATACACCCCTTTGATTTATATAAATTATAATAGGGTAAATCAAATATGTACAATATGGTCCTTTATACAGGCAGTTGTGCGAGGAGGGTGGGTGGATGCGGTAACAGGGATATGGGTGGAGTGTACAAAACTGTTTGTACAAAGGAGTTTGTTAGACAAAACAACATCTATAAATAGAGACACAACACAACATGAAACACAATGCATATGAATATAGTAATAAAATTTTTTTTTTTTAAAAAAAAAAATTAAGAATTTGGATGAATGTACAATACCATTGAGTGATGATACCACATACTATAAAACGCGGGAATGGTCAAGTTTAAAGGGTGTGTACATATATGGTATGCATCACTCAAGGGCGACAGTGTTATAAGTGGTCTATGGCTGTTCTGGCCAAAATGTGACCCTACAGGTTTTGGCGAAATATGATAAAAAAGGTATGTATCAAATGACTCACTATTATAAGGTTTTTTTTGAAATTCTGGATTCAGCCAAAAACAATGGAGTTTCAAAAAAAAAAAAAAAAAAAAATAAATAAAAAGAATTAATAAAAAGCATTTCCACAAAACCTATTATGGTTGCATTTCAGCCAGAAGATCAGAAAGGTATAAAGGTACAGTGGGATAGGGAATGATAAGTTATAAAGAGAAGCCATTTTACCATGTCATGGATTTTCCAATGTAAATTAAAATAATAAAATTATATGGTATCCTGGGATGAGCAGAAGAAAAAGTGTGATTCGGTGATAGGTAGCAACAATGGAAATAAATTGAACAGCATGCTACTCAAACAAAAACCATTGTCCCTACTATTTGAGCATTCTATCTATAACCTAAATTGCTGTGCTTTTGTTGTTGTCTTATTACGCATGATAATGAAATTAGAATGGTGTGCTAGTTATTAATTCAGTCCATTGTTCTATATTGAATCCGGGTGAAGTATCCTGTGGAGTTATTGAAATTGTCAGCTGGTCTATGGTGACTGAAGAGGAGGACAGTTTCCTGATAGTTCATTCAATCCAAATAATCAACAGCTCTCCCTTTCAGTGTTGAACTGACCTTAAAAAAATAATCTCCAAACAGTAACATGTTCAAAGCAGAGAAAATTGCTAATATGATGATAATATATATTGTTTAAGTTTGGAACGAAATTCTGAGTTCGATTTTGAATTTTTGATGTCATCGGGTAGGGAATTCCAAGCTTTTGGTCCACATACTGCGATTGATTCTTGTGAAATACTTTTACTGACAAATGGAATAAAAAAATTATCTTTATTTCTGCTGTTTGAATTTGGGTTTGCTTGGAACAGGCTGTTCAGGCTGGACGGAAGCTCTCCAATGTGACAAGAAAACATCATATTACATAGTTCGAATTTAGCTAAATCCACAACTCGTAGTAGCCTATGCTCTTTAAATAAGTCATCAATTTTTTCGCGATTACCTCTATGAAAAACTCTTCTAATAAAGCGATTGCAAACACTTTGAATTTTTTTGAGAATGGACGATTGGCGATGAACATAAGCTGAGGCACAATAACGAATATGGCTTTCTATCAGAGAGTGGTATAGAGATATTAAACAAGATGTATTTAAGTAGTTGGCTATTTTCGTAATGGCACTAAGAGACGACCTTGTTTTCGATAGAACCATATTGGTGTGTTGTTTCCAAGACAATTTATCATCGATCATTACACCCAGAAAGCGAGTCTGATTAACTCTTTCTATATTTATTCCATTTAATTCCAAATTTTGTTGCAGAGTTGGACACTTTTGCTTCGGCGTGCTAAATATCATATATTTAGTTTTATCGACATTAATAGTGAGTTTGTTCGCAGACAACCAAGCTTGAATATTTACTAAGTCGGTATTTGCCTTGGTCAAAAGTTCAGGCAAGTTTTTGCCTCGAAGATATGGCGTTGAGTCATCAGCAAAAAGTATGATATCAGAGTGAAGAAGAGAATTCGGAAAGTCGTTAATAATGATTGAAAAACATAATGGAGCCAAAATAGAACCTTGTAAAGTACCTACAGTCAAATTACAGTATGTGCTAGATGCTACATCATTGTATATAACTACTTGTTTCCTTCCTGATAAGTAGCTTTTAAACCAATTATAACTCTGACCTCTAACGCCAATATGGTGCAATTTGGCTAGTAATATGTCATGGTCAATACTATCAAATGCCTTGGAAAGGTCCAAGAACATACTGAGAGTATACTCATTCTTATCAAATCCTTCTAGAATTTTACTGACAAGCAGGGATGTTGCATGAGATGTTGAATGATTTTGACGAAAGCC